TGTGTGTGTGTGTGTGTGTGTGTGTGTGTTTCTGGGGATGGAACTGGGGCCTTCCACACAATAGACAAGTGCTCTTCCACTGAATTATACTCCAGCCCCTGTGAACCACCTCATGTCAGTACGTGCACATCCACAGTGTTAGGGTGATGACAGCCTCAAGTTCCACTTGAAGAATGTGCCATCTTTTGTTTAGACAGTTCTCTGTTGTTAGCATTTGGGTTATTTCTGTAGTTTTATAACATTTTTCTTCCCTGACAGCAGAGGTTGAACCTAGGGCTTTCTCACTGAGCTGCATCCCCAATCCTCAGACCTTTTTTTATTTTTTATTTCAAGACAGGGTCTCACTAAGTTGCTCAGGTTAGACTTAATTTGTGATTCACCTGCCTCAGCCTCCCAAAGTGCTGGGATTATGGGCATGTGCTGCTGCTCCTGGCTATGAGAGGTGGTTTGAAGAGCAAACTTCTTTCTGTCTTCTCTGTTCAGTTGTTTTCTTGACATATATTCCTGCAAGTAGAACTGGTGGGTCAAAGACTGCCTGTTGTAGGCCATTGTACCTTCTCTTGGTGTTGTCTTATAGCAGAGGAATAATCATAATGTGTATCCAAATAGAAGGAACTACCCCTCATCACAAGAAAGTATTACCAGGAAGTATTTGAGAAAACTTAGATATCTGGGCTTAGGGCTATTTGGAAGCTATATATACTTATCATTATTAATATTATTTGTTTTGTTGTTGTTTTGGTTGTTTTTTTTTCGGTACCAGGGATCAAAGTCATGACCTTGAGCTTGCTGGGCAGGCACTGTGCCACTGAGCTAAATCCCCAGCCCTGCATTATTAATATTATTTTGTGGTGCTGAGGTGGTCTTCTCAGCTAGACTATAGCCTCTAAATATTTAATTAATTTGAACATGTTTTAAAATGTCATTATAAATTCTTACAAAGCCATATTTAATACATTTATTTATTTATGTGTTTATTTTTAGACAGGATCTTGCTATACACTTCAGGCTGGCCTTGAGAACTCATGGCGATCCTCCTGTCTCAGTCTTCAGAGCACTGGGATTATAGGCGTGTGACACCACGCCTGACTTACTGTTATTTATTTAGATCATTTTTTTTTTCACTCTGATGTTTTACTAAAGCAGTTCAGACCCCTCACTGGTGGAGGGGCTTGAGGGCAATGTGGTTGTGTTATCCCAACAGCAGTGGTTTATTTGGCCATGTTGAGAGCATCAAGCAGTTTCTCAAAGGCTGGCATTCCAACTTAATCCCTCTACATGGCAAGGATTTGGGGAAAGCCCTCTGCTGTTCAGGGCTGGCCTGTTAGTCACCTCACTGTGGGCCTTGTGCCTTTCAGGAGAACAGCTCTGTTGTCCCTGATCACTGTTGCCTCGTGTGGGGAGCCATGAGGACACCCCCCGGGCAGGTTGCCAGTGAGGCCTCCATAAAGGGGCTGCTCCAGGATCCTACCTGTCTGAAAATCTGACAGGATTTAGAACACTAACCTAGGAGAAAGTGCATTTTAGTTTAAAACGTGCCTGGAGCTGGGCATGGTGGCACATGTCTACCATCCCAACTATTTAGGAGGCTGAGGCAGGAGGATCAAAAGTGCCTGGACAACTTAGTAAGACCCTGTATCAGAATTCAGGTGAAAGGGCAAGGAATGTAGCTTAGTGGTAGAGGTAGCGTGGTGACAGAGAACTTTGCTAGAATATGCAGGCCCTGGGTTCAAGCTCTAGACCTACAGTAATATGGTGCTCCCTATTCCTATGAGATGCCCTCATGGCCCCCAGCTAGAAGCCCTGCACCCTAGCAGTTGAAGTAAAAGTATCAGTATTTTCAGGAAACCAAACAATTTCCCTTGAAGTATAGTTTCTGTAAAATAGTCGTAGGTTACTTAATAGAACAGAAATAAGGACCACTTAACCTTTCTGAGCAAAATAGACTACTAAACTAATACTTTGGGCTTTGCAGTGGAATTTCTCTGACCAGCACACAAAGGTGTGTACTCCTGCATTTACAGTGCACCTCCATGGGCTCAGGGTCCATGGTCCCGGGGCTGCCCAGCTGCCTGACCCATGAAGAAGTGGTTGGAAGTGAAATAGTGAGCCCTGAGGGCTGAGCTAGAACAGCTCAGGCCTCACAGTGTGGTGAGCAGTGCCCCTGGTGGGACAGAAGGCAGCAAGTGGTGACCATGGGGCCTGGCACCCTGCAGCGTGACAGGACTTTAAAAGAAACACTGCCTATTGTAACTGGAGGGCATGGTTTCTCACCTGTGGTGCTGCTGAGTGTTGGGACTGGATCACTCCGTGTGATAAGACTGTTCTGAGTATGGGAAGGTGTGTGGGTGTTTGTTTTGTTGATAGTTGGTCTTGATTTTTTGAGACAGAATCTTGCTATGTAGTTCAGGCTGGCCTTGAGCTCACTATGTCGCCCAGTGTCACCTCAAACTTACAGCAGTCTTCTTGCTTCAGCCTCCTACATGCTGGGATTACAGGTCTGTGCCACCATGCCTGGCTGGGAAGATGGTGCCCTGGTCCCCACCTACAAGAAGCTGCCAGGCTGGCCACCCTTCCCTAGGTGCTAAAATGTCTTTAGACATTGCCTGTTGTCTCCTGAGTGGGGGCCAGAGGACACACACACACACACACACACACACAGCTGCTTCTCTTCAGCATGGAGTGCAAACTTAAAAGTGCAAACTTAAAAAATAAAAGATAAAGTGGAAGCTAAGAAACACACATTTCACCAGTTGAAGAGGCAGACTAGAGTCACAGAGGACGAGAGATAAATGTGTATCAGACCTGGTGGAGGGGGGCGTGGGATTAAAACCAAAACTGGAAGTATGCGAGAAGCAACAGGTGACTCCACAACTTGGGAGAGCCGCGCTCCCCAGTGACAGCAGTGGCAACGCTTCTGACCAGACAGATCCAGCTGGCACCCAGGGACCACTCCACGCAACACTTGTAGGACACATGCCCCTCTCGGGTCCACAAGGGGCTTGCCAAGACTGACTATTCTGGGCTGGACAACACCTGCACACCGAAGAGTATTAAAGCACATTGAGGCAGGCAAATACCTGTAATCTCACCACTCTAGAAGGCAGAGGCAGAAGGATCCCAAGTTGGAGCCCCACCTGGGCAACTTAGAAGATTCAAACTAAAGAGTGAAAGAGGGTTGGGGATGTAGCTCAGTGCATAGGCTCTGGGTTCAATCCCCAGTGCTACAACAAAACAATACAAACCAAAAAATGTCATATTGCGGCGACATGTTCCTTAACTGTGGGTGAGCAGAGGGGAAAACATCTGCAAAATCAATAAACATTTGGAAATTTAATACCACACTTGTAAGTAACCCAATCTTCAGGTAAGAAAACTTCCTTAGGGAAGACTTTGTTTTTTGTAGAAGAAACTTCCAGATCTCATCATCCTACCCCAGTCCACTAAGAGTGAGCTTAGAAACTTCAGGACTAAAATAGTGAGCTCAGTTAAGTTCTTGTTTCTTCTCCACTACCTGAACCTTTTGAAATTAAAGTCAACTCAAAACTATTTATGTAAGTGTGTGTTTTAAATGTCCATCAAAGATGTGTAGACCATCTAGAAGAAAGTTAGCTGTTAACGTTAGACAATGACAATGTGGGCATTACAGATCTGTCCTTCAGGTAAAAGTGACCCTTAGGTTAGGGGCTGGGATGTGGCTGTGTGGTAGAGCACTTGCCTAGCATGCGTGTGGACTTGGGGTTCTATCCCTAGCACTAAAAAAGTTATGTGAAACCCTTAGTAAATAGTGAACCTGTGTTGATGTTTTTCATAACCTCTGTTACTTCCTTGCTTTGTTAATTTTCTACTTGTCAACTTTTTTGGGGTCTCCAGTACAGAGCTGCAGAATCAGCATTGTTTAAAGACCTTCGTTGAGCTCACCTGCTTGGTTTAACCCAGGACACTCACAAATTCATCAAAAGACCTAGCTCCTGGTGAATTCTTTCTTTCTTTTTTGTATGCAGTGCTAAGGAACAAACCCATTGCCCCATGCATGGCTAAGCAAGCTCTCTACCACTGAGCTACACCTCAGCCTCAATTCTTCTTTTTTAAATTCTGGTAAAACATACATAATTTAGTATGTGAAGCTCTTTGAAGTGTGCAGCTCATGGCATTAAGCACATCACATGGCTGTGCGGCCATCCCCAACCTCCATCGCCCCAACTCATTTACCCTCTCACACTGAAACTCCGTCCCCAATCCACAGGACCTTCACCATCCTACTTTCTGATGCTATGTGTCCACTGCACAGTCCCACGGTGTGTGTCCTTTCGTGATAGCTGCTTCCATACCATGTAGTGTCCACAAGGTTCTTCCATCTGAGCAAATTCTTAAGATGCTCTTGTTCACATTTCATCCCCATGTGACCTTGAAATCATGTTTGAAGTCTGAACTTTTTTGACTCCTGGCTTTGTGCTCCTTTAATCTGGGTTTGTTTTGTGATCTCAACAAGGCCCTTCTCTCTGTTGTCATTTTCTTTTCTCAGGAATCAATTGCTTCAGTTTATGAATAAAAACAAACATTTGCTATATGTGGATGAGTACCTCTTCCGGTCCTGGTTTAGTTTGCTCCCACTGAAAGGCCTGGTTGAATACATGGACAAGGCTGCTGAGTTCCTGAACCATGCGCCTGCCCATGTGCTGGACTGTTTCCTGGGCATTTACTATCGGATGGCAGAACTTCAGATCTCTCCCCAAAGTGTGGCGGTGTGTGAACATCTGGGGCTGGTGGCTCTTTCCTGCAGGATGGACTGGGGTGGGGACAGCACTGAGAAATAAGAACCAGAAGGGTCATTATATTTTTATGTCTAAAGTTTGATTTCTCCAAGTTCGTTTTGTTTCAGTAAGTACAACTCAAGAAAATAACAGCCCTTTGTTGTTCACACGTATGGGAGGCAGAGATGGCAGGCACTGTGCAGTGACCTGCTTCATACTTGCTGTCTCCTTTTACAAACTTTTGGATATAGAAAGTGGTGTGAATCAGGAGGTTAGTGTTTCTGTAGGGAAGAAGAAAGTGATTGTTACACTATTCAGATATATCTAGGATTTTTCTCAGCTTTGCTTCCCCCAAGAGAGCATGCGGGAGTTAACCTGTCATTTCCCCTTCTCTTCATGGTCCTAGGATGTTGAGAAAGTTTTTAAGAAGCTGTTGCAGCTCGTGGACACTTATCATGGCGTGTAAGTAGAAAAGCCAAGTGCAGCCTTCTCCCAGGGTTGTACCTGCTGCCCCTGCTGATCAGCAGCCTCTCACACTTGCTGTCGGGATGGGAAGGTCACAAACCAGTGTATATACCCACTTCTTTTTACAAGTGACTGATCTAATCATTTCATTTTTAAACAAGGAAGTAATAGCTACCAGTGGCTGAGAATCGGGGTTTCACAGGATTTGTGCCCCTTCCGGTGTTCCCTGCACCAGGTTCCTGGTGTGTGTGCGCTCCAGGGCTCTGTGCGTATCACACACCGGGGACTTTACTGAGCTGCCCCAGTGGCTGCCGTATCACCACTCTCATTCTCTTATGAACTTCTGTCATTAAACAAGAAAGCAGGTCCATGAGGTGTTGGATTCAGCTCCACACATAGCTTGTGTTCTTTTTCTAGCATTTCTTGCTCTCATCCCTCTCCACCTGGAAGCAGAGCTGATTTTCAAATGCATATAGTATTTTCATAATGAGTAGCTTAGATCCCTTGCTCTTTTTCAGAATAAGAGGTTGTGTTTGTAGGTATTTTAACTCGCTTTTGTTAGAACAGTTCATACTATAAAGGCAAAACAACTTTGTTCCCTCTTTCTCTGAGTCTGAAGTTTAAGAACAATTGAAATTTTCCAGGCATGGGTCTAGGACAGGTTGGAACAGTGCCTTTCTTGCAGGTCTTTCAAAGGGAAGGAGCTGGGCATTAATGGGCATTGTTTTCCCATTTCTTCTGGGTGACGATGATTTCTCTCCACTCTGGGTAGAATTCTGGAGAACACCCTGGTGCAGTGCTACCTGCCTTTGTGCCTCAAACTGCATGAAGCTGTCTGCCACAGCACCAGAGAATGGAAGTTCTGTGAGATTCCATCCTTGTCTGCAGAGCTCATCTCCAAAATTATTAATCTTCAACCGCTACAGGTAAGTGGAATTAATACCTCTAATATTGTGCTCAGGAAGTATGGAATTTCAAGCGGCCTCCATTTAAAAGGAAAATGCACCAGTTCTCTGGATGGCTGAGGTGAGACAAGGATTGATCCAGCTGTAGATATGCATTGGGTACCTGCTCAGTATTGGGCTCTGTTCTGTGTGTCAAGGGTGTTCCAGCAGCCCGGAACTGGAATAGGGTGGGTATTGAACCCACCTTCCATGGCTTTTGTGGGAGGGAGGGATGTCCAGCACCTAAGATGTCCCTGGATAGACTATAGTGCTGACAGAGGCAGCTTGGCAGCCAGGCAAGGTCTTGTAATAAGGTGACCTTTCTGTGTGTCATAGAAAATGGAAAAATCAGAGTCTCCCAAAATACACATGGTCTTTCTCCTCTGGAGCTCTTTTGTTTATGTTGCTATATAGTACAGTAGCTGAGTCTACCTCCTCTATGCACAGCCCCGTGGCCCTGTGTCCCTGTGTCTTTGTCACTTTCTTGTCACTGGGACAAAACACGCAACACCTGCAGATTACAGGAGGCAAGCTTTATTTTGGCTCACAATTTCAGTCTCTGGTCGGCTGGCTCCAAGGCAGAAACAGGATAGCAGAGGGCATAGAGGAGGAAAAGTTGCTCACTCATGGCCACTAAGAAGCAGGACAAGAAGGGAGAAAGTGGGGACCAGAATATTCTCTTCCAGGTCTCTCCCAACAGCACATTCGGCTCTGAGCTCTGCAGTGGATGACCCCATCGATGGGTACAGTGCCCCCATGGTCCAGTCACCTTCCAAAGCCCACCTCCAGATGCAGGAGACTCGGGCTGCATTCTATACCTAAACCGCAGGGGGATCCCAGTCCCTGCAGGGCCTTCACCCTCCATGCCCCAAAGGGAACCATGTTCTGCTGTCTCCCCCTTAGGGCAGTTGCGGCTTCTCTGAGCATCACACTGAGTACCTGGCTTTCCCCTCTCACCCCTGTGCCTTGGACCCATCCTTGGGGCCACAGTATCAGGGGTTCTTTTTTCATGGCTGCGATGTCACCCACCTGAGGGTTCTGACTTCCCTTTGAAAGTGATGTAGGATTTTATACTGGGTCTGTTTCTCAACCTTATTATAAGTCAAAACTTTGGCTTTAGTGGAGATAATTTACTCTTTTAACCTTATCCCTTTCAATTTTTCTTCAAGATGTGACAGAAACCCTGTCAGATTTAATTTTATTGGTGAAGGGAGCACTCCTGAGTAAGCACTGTATAATCCATCGTAGGCAGATTCCAGCTCCCAAATACATTGTGTTTAAGAACTGTAGCAGTTATACAGGATTTATTTTTCTATGGAAATGGCTGTCTCATTATTGGCTAAGATCTTGGGTTAGTCAAGTCCATAGTGGCTTAGCAAGAACACTACCTATGCCATATGAACAGGAAAACTTTGTATTACTAAAATTGAATGTAACAGACTTGATGTGACAAGTGTCTGGCTCTTTGGCTGGGTGGTGGACTGATCAGAGGCAGGTGGAGAAAAGTCACAAAGTGGAGTTCGCTGAGTTCAGCCTCAGGTGCTTCCTTTAGGCTGCTGCTTTTCTTTTTCTTTCTCTTTCAGTAGCAGGATTGAAGCCAAGGCCTTCTGGCCCAGCTACATCCCCAGCTGTTTTCATTTTTTATTTTGAGAAGGGTCTCACTACATTTCCCAGGCTGGGCTGAACCTTGCAGTCCTGTTGCTTTAGCCTCCTGGAATGCTGGGATTATAGGCATGTGCCCCATGCCCAGCCCACCTGGTTTTTGTTTTTGTTTTTGTGATGGTTGGGGGGTTGAAGGGGTTGTGCCTGGAGTTTTGTTTATCACCTTGTCTGGCTTTCAGTTTGCCTCTTGACCCCTTCACCCCGCCCTCAGGGCTGAGGCTGGGAGGGAGCTGCCTGGAAAGGGAGGTGTCTCAAAGGAGGGAAGGAAGGCACTGGCTTTCCAAAGAGCGTATTAGAACAGGGCTCGCTGACCTCTTGGCAAGCAGATGGGCTGTTTTATCATATGGTTGCGTGTCCTGGGCTTTTCGAGCTCTGGGTTTCAAGGCATGGTCCTTTTACCTAGTCTGGGGGAGACAGGGCCCTCTTCCTGAGGGACCTCAAAGGACACAAACGCTGCGCCTCCTCCCCCGTTCTTACCAGTGTTGCCACCTTTAGGTGGAGCCCAGGGTTCTGGAGTGGACAGAGTGCTTGCACAGTGGGCTTCGAACGAGGTCTTTGAGCACTGGCTGGGATGAGGGAGCTGCCGAGCGGAGCCAGCAACCTCTCTCTCGTCCCCACAGGACACAGCAGGCCCAGGGGCTGAAGCCAGCCGGAGTGTCTTCCAGGGTGCTCTGACTGCCACTCGAAACTGGCTCAAGAAAGTGTTTAGGAAGAGCATGTTGTGTTCAGAGGTGTCATTCGCCCTATTCTCTTACCCTGAGGAGATTCAGGTAAGCTGCCGAGGGCACTGGGTGGGGACGTGTGCCACGGTGACCCATCACCGCCAGTTGGCAGAGCAGCATCCAGGCCCTTTGTGAGCCTGCCCTGAGCCTCAGTGTGCCTGCCAAGGAGAGGGTGTCGCTGCTTACCCAGCAGGCGTCTGTGTGGTCCCAAGACTTGCCAGAATCCCTGGGCAGTGCTCCCGCACCAGGCATTGGCAGTGGTGACAACATGTCAAGAGCACTGCCCTGAGCAGGCCTAGCCAGGAGGGACATAAGGGGTCTGTGTTAGGACTGAGGGTTCCAGTTAGATGCATGGCCTTGGAAACAGAAGGCAAACGTGAAAGGAAGAGCTGTTCGTGAGGAAACTGAGGCAAACTGTGATTGCACTGTATTTCTGAATAGCCAGAAATGGGGAGGATCCTACAGGAGGGTCACCCCAGAGCAGTGTGAGGAGAAGCTGCTAGGTTTGTTCGGCGGGGTTAGTGATACCAGGAACCCCTGGAGGGCTGCAATGCCCCCACCCCCGCCGACATGGGTACAAAGCACAGAGAGGTGAAGGCGGGAGGTCTGGCTGCCCCCTCTCCACAGCACAGGCTCTGTTTCTGCAAGCAGCAGGGTTGTCCCTTTGCAGCCACCTTCCAGCTGTGGGGACCCTGGGGTCTGCCCTAGTGACCTCCTCCTCACTGAGAGAACTTCCTACAGGTCCCATTGAGGGATGAGTCAGTCCCCACAGGAGATACTGTTCACTTGAAGACTAGAGCTGTGTCAGTCCCTGAGGAAAGCACAGCAGGGGATTTGAGACAGCAGACCTGTGATGGGGCTACCCATTTAGCCAGTGTAGTATCCTTGGCTACCGGGGTTAGTGGCGGGTATCTGTTCCCACAATTAACACCAGCCTGTCTTCAGCTATCTGTAGCAGCATCTGTGTTAGGCCCCTTTCACCAAGGCAGGGGGTTACCCACACCAGCCTGTGACTGTTGGTCAAGGATAAGGTGATCCTTCCCCAACTGCTACCTGCAGTTTCAGACTAACAGGCGACATGCCACCCAAGTGAAACTGAAGTGTTACCTGTTATTCTGCTATTTGAGAGGCTGAGGCAGGAGGATCACAAGTTTGAGCCCAGTCTGGACAACTTAGCAACTTACTGAGACCCCATTTCAAAATACAGAATGAGAAAAAAAAAAAAAGGTTGTCAGTGTAGCTTAGTGTGAAAGCCCTGGATTTGATCTCTAGTACTAAAAATGTAATACCAAAACATTCACCTCCTGTGACCCAGTAGTAATGACTGATTCGAACAAGAATATCTAGATGCTGAAGTCAATCCCTGGAGAGTTGTAGGACAGGACGCCTGCAAACTATCTCAGTGCAGGATTCACTATCATACTGGAAGAGAGCACTTTTACAGTGGAGAAATCCTGCAGGCCATGCCCACATCATTGTCAGCCCCAGTGGCACAGAGGAGTTACCTGGCTTAAATCAGGCTTCGGGGGCAGAGGCACCTAAGGCATTCAGGTGGGCAGTGTGGAATGGTGCAGGTACTCAGCCATGCCTGACTTGCCCAACGTGCCTTTCCCTGGGGCTTACCTTGTAGTGTTCCTGCCCCAAATACCTTAACTGCCAGAGAACAAGTAAGTCAGATGGAGAAACAGTGTAGGAAATAGCCTGAGCTCTTCATAAATGCCAGCTTCATAAAAGTAAAAGCCAGATAGTGTGTGTCCCAGCTGGACCTGGGTGCAGTCAGAGCATAAATGGGCAGCACGGGGCAGGCAGCTCGTGTGCCATTGTGTCTTCATCCTGCTTGGGACACGAGTCCTCCAGGATGCAGCAGCAGGGTGGGGTTATGGGAGACATCTGCCCAGGTGTGCAAGTTCGAGTGTCATGAGGTCTGTCACTCACCTGCAAGTGTTTCTGCAACAAAGGGAGAATAGAGACAGAGAAAGCCGCTATATTAAATGAGGAAACCTTGGGAGTGTAGTGCAGAGGGTATGTGGGTCACAGCTGTCCTTGTTGATTTTTTTTTTTTTAAGTTTGAAATTTTTCAAAATACAATAGTAGTGAGAAATCCTTTATGCATCAAACCAGTTGTAGAGCTAGAAGGACAGTGGTGGCTACTGGTCCAGTCAGGGCCCTGGGTTCACAGGCCGCATGGGTGGCTTCACTCCGATGTGCCACTAACAGCTCACAAGTGATGAAAATGGGACCAGAGACCGGTATCTGTGTGACCCAGTTCCCTTTGTATCGGGCTTCCCATGGTTATTGGGCTTTCTTTATTGTTTTTTGTTTTGTTTTATTGTTTATTTGTTTTATTTTTTGAGGCAGGGTCTCATTGTGTAGTTCAAGCTGAATGAGTTCAGCTCATTCTCCTGCCTCTGCCTCCTGAGTGCTGTGGGATTACAGGCATGTGGCCCCATGCCAGGCTTTGTGTGAACCCAGGGCCTTTGCACTGAGCCTTATACCTACACCTTTTAAAATTTTAAATTTTGTGACAGGGTCTTACTAAGTCACTAAGTTGCCCAGGCTGGGTTGAATTTGCAGTCCTCCTGCCACAGGCTTCCCAAGTGCTGAGATTACAGGTATACGCCACTACCATACCCCACTTGCCTGACTTATTTTGAGACACAGTCTAAACCATGTTGTGTACACTGACCTTGAACTCATGGACTCAAGCAGTCCTCCTGCATCAGCCACCTGAATAGCTGGGACTGCACGCCCATGTCCCCACACCTGGCTGCCTGTCTTTTCTGTAGGATCACCCTGTACAGCTGTCCTGGTGGCCATCATTGACATTTGGTTTTGCAGGTCTGGCGGCGGCTGGTGGGCATAAACTTCCCTGTGGCACATAACTGGAAAAAGTCGTTGCTGGGGGACATGGAAGGGAGGCTCAAGCAAGTACGGGACATCGGGGATGCTCTTCTTGCGGGTGGCTGAAGGGACATCAGTGAGACCAGAACTTCAGAAGGACCAGTGGATGTGAACGAATGGCCCGTCTGGCTGTGTGGGACATGCGATAAACCATGCCTTTGTATTTCTCTTTCTGATCTGGCCTTCAGTTTGACCACAGAAAAGAATTTCCAAGTTCTAGTGTGATATCCCTGAGAACAGTGTAGGAGCCTTAAACATATATGGGGCAAGGTCCTCCCCCAGGCAAGGGCTCCAAGCAGTCTGTGGGTGACAGGAGCCTTAGTAGAACAGGGTGACAGTGGAGAGAACATAAAAAGCACTCTTCATTTTGAATGCAGGCCTCTGACCTCAGGAAAATCAGTTTTTATGTGATATGAAGGTTTTACATGTACCTATCGAAGGGATCTTTTTAGGAAAATGGAAACATGGGGAAAGTGAATTCTTTTTCACAATTTACTTGTTCTCCAAGCTGCTGTTTTTGCAGAGCAACAGAAAAGACACGTGGTTTTCTTTTTGCTCCTGTGATGATGGGGAACAGAGAGGGTATGCTTAGCATGAGATGAGGTCAGAGTCAGGGACCAGGTGGGGAGGTGGGAATGATGGGGTGCTCCACGCCATGGTGCCTTAGCGCTACCTCCTAGCCCTCACACCCCTCTGTGTCTGCAGGCAGAACCTCGCCTCCAGATTGCTGCTTTCTGCAGCACTCAGTGGGATGCCACCGGCCTCGATGACAGCGTGGCCACAAGCTTCCAGAATTGTGTCTTCGAAGCTGTGAACTCCACCTGCCAGGTGACTCATCTCTCCTGCTTGGGTTCCCTGTAGCCAAAGGCTATTCAGTGCTTGCTAGTTCTGAGAGCCTGGGCTGAGCAGTGGCTGGATCCTGGACATCCCGCTCCCTGCCTGGCTCTGTGGCACTGAAGCCCAGTGCCCTCTCCCCACGTCCCGAAGCTGAGGCTGTTTATGCTAAGTGAGCCCGCACCCACCCACATGCAGGCCAGTCCACATATGAGCCTATTCTGAGCAGTGCGGCTCACTGGCTTTGTCCTCTGCTGACATGCACAGAAAGACTCCAAAAGGTTGACAAATCCTTTATGAAAGGAAAACATAGGAAACCATAAAGTTTGTATCAGGATTAGGGGTGTAGCTGAATGGTAAAGCAGTTTGCTAGTGTGCACAAGGCCCTGGGTTTGATCCTCTGCAAAACAGAAAAACAACAAAAAAGATACTGTCAATTCACTTAGAGCTCTTTCTGTTTTTGCAAAGTGGAAAGAGATTGTCCCTCATTGGCTGGCAGAAACAGTCCCCTCAGGACACCACACATCCAGGCTCCCTGCGGACCCTAGCACCCCTGCTCCTGTTTCTAGTGCTGGCCTTAGCGTCCCAGTGGGCCAGCAAGTAGTTCTGGAAGTACAGATTCTCATCTTCCAGGGACCAAGGACTTCTAGTCTTTGTTACTAGCTAATAACTTTATGAGGCTTTCATTTTCTTATTTTATTGAATTCATTATTCATCCATTGACAGTTACAATTCAGTGGGCTTGGGTTATTCACAAAATATATAACCATCATCACAGATTTTAAACCATTTTCCTCACCTCAGAAAGAAACCCCTCCCACCTGCCTTAGCTGTCACCTCGCAATTCTCCATCTACCCATCCTCCAGCCTAGCCAATAGCCGGTCTAGCTTCTGTCTCTATAATAGGTTTCCCTACTCACCGTGACAGGAATGAAATCATACAGTGTGTAAGTATGTATGTATATACCACATTGTATAGAGTTGCTATTCCTTAGTCCACTGATGGATAGCTTGGTTGTTTCTGGCTTTATAAATATGCTGGTGTAAGCATTCATATACAGTTTTTGTGTGGACAAATCTTTCCATTTCTCTTGGTGAAATTCCATACCTAGCTATGGAATTGCTGGATCATATTTGGAAAACTGTCAGACCAATTTCCAACACCGTTGGACCTTTCATATTCCAGCCAACATTGTAGGTTTCCAGCATCTCCACTTCGCCACCGATCATGCTATCTAACTTGGTAATTTCGGCTGTCCTGGTGGGTGTGAAGGGGAATCTCATTGTGGTTTTGATTCTCTGATGAGTAATAATATTAAGCAGATTTTCATATGTTTTTTGGCTATTTCTATGTCATATTTGGAGAAATGTTTCTTCAGATCTTTGGCCTATTTTTAATAGTTGTGCTCTTATTTTCCATTGTAAGAGTCCTTTATATGTTTCTTTTTTGTTGTTGTTGTTTTTGTTTTTTTTTTTGTTTTTTGGTTTTTTGGTTTTTCTCTGGTACCGGGAACCGAACTCACGACCTTGCACTTGCCAGGCAGGCGCTTTGCCGCTGAGCTAAATCCCCAGCCCCTTTATATGCTTCATATATAAGTCTCCTGTCAGACATATGACCTGCTAATAGTCTCTTCCATTTTGTGGATTGTCTTTTCTTGTAGTTTCTGTTGATGTTTTTAATTTTGATGAAGTCCAATATCTTGGTGATAGTTTGTGCATGCATGTGTGTCTGTGTGTATGTGTGTGTATGTGTGTGTGTGTGTGTGTGTGTGTGTGTGTGCGTGTTTTGAGGCGGAGACTTCCTACATAGTGTAGGCTGGCCTTGAACTTTATGTAGCTCAAACTGGCCTTGAACTCACAGTCCTCCTGCCTCAGCTTCCTGAGCATTGGGATTACAGGTATGCCTCACCACACCTAGATTTGTTGCTTATAGTTTTGCTATCAGAGAATATTTTATTAAATTCTAGGTCATAAAGATTTAAGGCTGTGTTTTCCTCTAAAAGTTGTTTATTTGTTTTGGTTTTGGTGCTAGAGATTGAACCTAGTTTCACGTACATGTTAAGCAAGTGGTCTGCCACTGGCGTACCTCCTTTGAAAGTCTGTTTTAACTCTTTACACTCTGCTTATCTGTTTCTCTAAGGAAATGAAGCATAATTCTGATAGGGACTGTGTCGAATCTGTAGGTTGATTTGGGGGAATGTTACCATCTTTGCAATATCACATCTTACAATGTGTGAGTCTGAGATGTCTTTTTCCTTTTTTTAGGTCATTAATTTCTTTTCAATAATGTTTCATTTTTAGAGCCTGAGTTGTACATCTGTCTTGTGAAATTTATTTCTAAGTACCTTATTCTTTCACAGTTGGAACTGGAATTAATTTTTGTTTTAGATTGTTCGTTGTGAATGTACAATTGTACATGTAAAAATACAATTGTAAAATTGTATAATACAATAAAAATACAATTGTACCTTGTTCTTGTACTCTACAACCTGGCTGGGGTCATTTTGTAGCTCCAGTGGGGGTATCTATGTGAGAGAGAACATATATATATATATGTATGGTTTTCTACATGGGCGATGATGTTATCTGTTCATGGGGATAGTTTTATTTCCTGCTTTTTAGTATGAATGCCTTTTATTTCTTTTTTTCAGCTGATTGCCCTAGTTGGAAATTTCAGTACTATGATAAAAGCAGTGAAATCAAGCATCCCTGCTCTAATTTAGGGGTGTTGGATTTTGTAAAAAACTTTTCCTGTGTATAACAAGTGATCATGTGGTTGTTTGTCTTTTGGTACTTATTGGTATTATTGGTATTATATTGGTACTTATTGGTATTATATTGTTTCTTTCATATTAAACCAATCTTTTTCCCCCCTGGGATAAACCTGACTTGGCCATTATATATAATTCATTTCATATGTTTCTGGATGTTTTGTTTTGTCATTTTAAGTGGCAAGATGTATTTGTTCTAAATTTACCCTATTTTTAAAAAAATATTTGCTGAAACTTTGAAAAATTTTGAACCTAAAGGAGAAAAACATTTTGTTTCCTGGTAAAGAATCAGAAAGGGAATTAAAATGTTTGTGGTTTATGCACAGTCTTTGAAAAATTATGGTTTAGGAACATGAAACAAATGATGATTAAGATTTCACTCATTAATTTTCATATTTTTCATGATATAAAAGTCTGGGAGAGATATAAAACCTGGCAACGAGCCAGGAGAAGGCATGACTTGTGGGGAGTGGGTGTTGGTGTTGATGTGTGTTACTTCATATCTCTGGTACTGATCACTTAAGAAAATAGTACAGAGGAAGATGAAAGTGCTCAAAAAAATATTAACTGTCTTTTGTGTGTGTGCGCGCATGTGTGTGTGTACACTCTACCACTGTTCCACACCCCTCGCCTATATTTTGGGTTTTTTTGAGGTCTTACAAAACTACCTTCAGTAGATTTCTGAACTGCTACTGGATACCTTATTTCTGTTATTAAACAGCAAACCAGTAATAAAAATTTCTAGACTTTCTTCTTTTTATTCACTTTCCTATAGTCTCAGACCAGTATCCTTGAAGGACTCTCCTGTCAGGATTGCCAGAAACTTGGCATCCTCCTGTCTGCTGTGGTTACCAAGTCCTGGCCTCAGAGTAATGGACAAGCTGTGGATGACCCAGACGAGATTCTGAAATACCTGCTTACCTGGCGAGATGTGGAGCAGCTCTTCAAGTTGTATGGTACAAGGGTGCTGCCGCAAATGTCACGTGGTGTGGTTGTCCTCCTGGACTTTGATGTATGAGTGTGCCTTGTTGCAGTTCCCTTTGCTGTTCTGCAGGGGTTCAAAGCCAGGCCATTCTTACAGACCATGTGTAGTCCAAGACATATATGTTCATTGTGTTAGGAGACACAGGCTGTAAAACCCTAAGCAGTGTGGTTCTCCTGGCTTAACTTGGCTCCTGGTGGAAACCTCTCCCCAGTCATGCAAGCCATGCAGGAGACAAATTAGGGTAAGAACTGAACCTCCAGAGCAGGAGCAGAGTCGGGTGGAGTAACAGCACATCTGAAACCTCCTGCTTGTGCTGTGTGGGAGTCAGGCCAGACCCAGAGATCTTTGTGAATGCCTATGATACGCACAGGGAGTGGGAGGCAGGGAGCCCACTGTTTTAAATGTATTCTTCCTCTGATCAGGAACCAATGAGAAAATTTTAGCCAGTATTACAGAGGAAGGCCAGAAGTTGATGGCTATAGCCGACTCTGTGTTCACAAAAGTTGCTGGTGACCTCCAAGATGGGACTATTTTAGTTGGACAATTGGAGCTGATCCGGAAGCACAGGACTCAGTTTCTGAGCATCTGGGAATTGAGTAAGTGCTGGGTGGAGACGTGTACTTCCGGCTGCTGAGGAATTACTGGGATAAGACACATGTGCTAGCATGTGTGTTTTTGTAGTCCTTTTAATCAGTATCTCTTTCCAGAAAGTTGTGAAGAATGGTTTACAACTCTCAGGAAAAAGTGATAAAATAACGTCAAAGCAAGAGTGCCTGTTCATTTTCATTCCACACTGCCGAGCCCGTGGCTCCACTGAAGCCCTCCTGGTCCCTTCTCATGGGAGCAAACGCAGAGGGAGGGGGCAGAACGGGTTGCCTTGGAAATCGGTATATTTTGTTTGGGCCTGTTGGGTTACTTGGCTGTTGTTTCAGAGAAAAAATGTCCTTCGGGTCAAGAGAACCAGTGTAATATGAAGGAAGTGCTGGACTGGAGATGGAAGGAGCTGCGAATTCTAAAGAGAGAGGCAAGATGGGTCGACAGCCTCCTGAAGCTGTGCGGGAAGACGAGACACCTGGTACCAGGTGGTTCCTGTTTTGCGCTGTGTGGCCAAGGGGGGTGCGGGGCAGGGCTGGAGGAGGACACAGTAGAAAGGAGTCACAAGCGCAGAACTTGTTTTGCAGAAACAAAAACAATTTTTAACCAAGTTTTACAGGTATTTGCCAGGGGAAATCAGCTGCATTGCTTAGATCTTTCTGATTTGGTATTTACCTCCAAAGACCCCACTGATTTCCCCTGTGCCAGTGTCATCTGTTGACTTCCCCGTGGTGGGAGAGGAGCATTTAGGCCCCTATTTTCCAGGTTGTGTCTTGCACATGTAGTCTTGGGCTTCCTGGTAGTCCCATATGTGGGCCCCAAAGCATGCTATGCTTATTCCTTTTGGTTGTTGTTGTTGTTGTGAATGAGCCCAGGACCTTTGCACTGAACTACATCCCCAGCCCTAGTTTTTGTTTTTTTTTTTAAATTTTGCAACAGGGTTTTACTAAGTTGCTAAGTTGCCTAGGCTAGGCTTGAACTTGTGATCCTCCTGCCTCAGCCTCCCAGAGTACTGAAATTGCAGGTGTACACCACTATGCCCAGTTTATTATTTTAGGTTTCTTACACAAACTTTCGGTTTCTATGCCATTACTCTCCTTGTCTTATGTCCTTTTCCTCTTCATACGTATTTCTAAGTCAATCCTGAACTGTACCAGTTGTCTGAATTTCCCCATAAGACTCTCCCTGAAGTAGATGTCATCGTCCATGGGTGGGTATGTAGCCTAGACTCCCTTCACTGCTCCCTGTCTTTGCCTCTGTCCAGGTGGGGTGAGTGCAGTGTCCCTGCCTGCTTATTTGCCCCTTGTGCTTGGCAGAGGCTGCACAGGAGGCTGGACTCTGAGCCCCACCTGCCTGCGAGCATAGCCCTTGTCCTCACAGCATCATTGGGCAGGTCCTGACTCCTGGTTGGAAGTCATTTTCCTTAGGAATGCTGACTTTGTCACTCCTTTTGTCCCTGAAATGCTGCTATTAAGATGTCTGGTCCTTCCTATGTGACATATTTGCCCTCTGGGTGTTATTGATATCTTTCTGTCTCTGATATCCTGAAATTCCATAGTAATGTGTCTTTGCATGGAGCTCTTTTCCACCCACAGTACTGAACATTAGGAGGAGGTCTTTTTAAGCTAGAAATCTTAAGTCTTTGATACTTGTATTATTTTTTTCCCTCTTACTGGAAATCGCATCAGTTGACTATTGGACCTCCTAGAATAATCACCTGACTTTCATAACCTTTCTCCTATTTCTTGTTTTCTTTTTTCTTCAGCTTTCTGAGACCTTTCCTCAGAACTTGATTTTCCAACCTATTAGATTTTTAGTTTCAGCCCTCATATGCATATTTCATTTAAAGTTTTTTTTCTTCTCTGAATGATTCTCTTTTACACCATCCTGTTCTCATTCATGGTTATAGTATTTTTTCTTTCTGTGATTATTAATATTTTTAGAAGTTTTCTTTTTCTCTTTCCTGCATATTTACCTATTTCCTTCAAGTTGCTCCCCCCATCCCATGGAGTTGGGGTGAAGCCCAGGGTCTTGTGCACAGCATGTTGTACATGCGCTCTATCACTGAGCTGCACCCCCAGCCCTGCTGGCTTGACATCTGTTTTCCATGCTAAATTTTCTACACTCAATCTGGAGATTCTTGTTTGCCTGTTTCTTTGCAGAGACAGGATGGAAGAAGGCGTTGACAGCTTTGAGGGCTTCTGGGCAGTGGCTCATCAGATACTGCGGCTGCCTGGGTCACATTTCCAGCCCCATTCCTGGCCGCCAGGTTTTGGAAGTCAGGACAGGGAGAGAAGGATGGGGTCCCAGCATCCAGTGTTTGTAGTGGCAGTCTGCACCTCCTTCTACTTCCTGGGTCTTGGGTCTTCCTCTTACTTCTCAGATTGAAAACTTCTTGTCCTGTGTTAGCTTCCAGAGAAAGGGCATGTGTCTGCAAATGATGTCCCGCCCCTCCTCTGCCTTACTGTTTCTAGAAGATACAGGTCACTCGTCAGGTGGGGGCGTCTACCTGCTGTATTGTGGGGCAGGCTCTACGTGAGTGTAGTGTACTTCTTCTTAAATAGATTTTGAAGCCACTTCTTGTCTCTGCCTTCTGATTTCCAGTGACCTATAAAATCAGAGTCTGGGCTTTGAGGAAACCCTGCAATGGAAGCTAGCTGAGGCTCAGCTCCCCCAGAGTCACAGGATTCCATGTTTGCGGAGCCCATATCTCACTTCCACTGGTATGACCAGTTCTTAGCTTCTGGCTTGTGCAGCTGCTCACTTGCCTTGCGTGCCTTCTCCTCCCCTTATCAGGCTATGACTTTTTGTGTGGTACTGCAGTTTGCTCCTACTACTCACCCTCCTACAGTGCTGGGATTATAGGCATGCACCACTATGCCCAGCATATAAAAATAACTTTTATTCTGTCACTGGAGTGCGATTTGGGAGGGAGTGAAAATAGATGTATGTTTTCCAGATATCTTTTTCACCCAGAGATTACAGTGCTTCTGTACAGTTTTCACTGGTGAACAAGCCTCAGAAGGGAGAGAGGAAAAACCTAGAGGTTGGATTCCGTTGGGTTACCATAGAAAAGTGATTAGAGTAAATACAAGGTAAATAGCATAAAATGCTACCAGGATTAGAGGTTTAATATCCTACTTTTCCTCATGGTTTCCCAAGTGGACTTTGGAGAGATGGAGGCAAAACACTCTGAAGACCTCAACAGCAAGAGACTAAACGAAGCCGTGACCGTGACACTACCCACATCCCCCATCTCCAAGCACATGACACATTACAACCTGAGCTCTCAGGTCCAAGAAATGGCTGAAAAGATAGACTTGCTGAAAGACAGCCACATCTTTCAGGTTCTGTGGGAGGAGATGGCACAGTCGCTGAGCAATCCTGAAGAAGAATTGGAAAGGCAGAACCTGCAGCTTACAGAGGTCTATGAATACTTGTACCTTCCTTGTTACGCAAGGTTCACTGAACTTTATCACAATCTGAAATCAGGAAAGGTTACCTTTGCCAAAATCAATGACATCTTCAAGGACTTTGTAGATAAATATGGTGACTTGGATTCCGACCTCCAGCTCATGTGTCTTGTGAATCCCGGTGCCCGAAAGGACTGGATCCCTGAACGCATCCAGCAGATCAGAGAGTACCACAGCCTGAACCAGGCCATCAGCTCGGCCAGGGTCATCCAGCAGGTCAAGGAGAACTTTGAATTGACTGGGGACTTCAGCGTTCTTCACACTTTATTAAACTTTGTAAGTTATTTGCTAGGGACTCCTGGGCTTGAAGTGTGACCTCCACTCCTTGGGAGCCTCGGGGCTCCTGGTTTTAAAAGCTGGGCCAGCTGGTGCAGCAGTCTCTCAGGAGCTGTCATTCTTTTTTATTGTACCAAGAATTGAACCCAGGGCCTCATGCTTACCAGGCAGGTGTTATGCTGCCAAGCTACATCCCCAGCCCCATGAGCTGTCATCTGTGCTGAACTTGAGGCCGAAATATATGAGGGGTTCCATTTTTACCTTTGTCTATGGCTGGTGTGACTGCTCTTTAGCCAGTGGGTTTTCTTTTTTTTTTTTTTTTTTTTTTTTTTGGTTTTTCTCCGGTACCGGGAACGAACTCATGACCTTGCGCTTGCCAGGCAGGCGCTCTTGCCGCTGAGCTAAATCCCCAGCCCACCAGTGGGTTTTCTTGGACCTGTATGAGAACCAAGAAGTCAGGAAAGGGAGCACCATCCTCTCTACAGAAGAATGGGTTCTTATTAGGTTATAAAAGCCCAAGAAGAAAATTCTATGTCAGCTGTCCAATTTGCCACTGTGAGAGCTAAGATATGAATATTCCTTCACTAGATGTGCATTTATAAGGCATAATGTGGCCCTAGTAGTAGAGAAAAGTATGAACATGATTAAACATTCTTTTTCTTTTTTAAGACAGGGTCTCACTATGCTGTTCAGGCTAGCCCTGAGCTCACTTTGTAGCCTAGGCTGGTCTCACACTTATAAAAATACTCCTGCCTCAGCCTCCCAAGTGCTGGGATTACAGGCGTGTGCCACCATGTCTGGCTTCAACATGATTAAAATTTAACGCAAAATTTGGAATCATACACACTTACCCTTGAACCCAGCAGCATGTCCTTTTGTGAATCACTGCCCTGGGCCTGTGTCTCGATTGATAATGCAGAAAAAGACAGCAGCATGGACCTGGAGGGTGATTATGGGGAACAGATTCAGAGCTCATGTGAGCTTCTTAGGAGGATGTCTGGTGCTGGCAATAGTAATGACTCTTGGCCAGCCAGGAGCAGCAGTGGGGCTCACGTTGTCTTCCTCCATATCCCTCTTTGTCCCCCTGTTGCCATAGCAACTACTCATCCAGAGTTGGGGAGGGCAGCAGCTCGAAGTGGTTGCTGTGGCTACCTGCAGACTCAGGTGTTCCAGCAGCCTTCGCCAGCCCCCAGCACAGCTTTGTCTTGTAGAATGATGACTTTGAGAACTTTTGCCATGAGACCCTGGACCAGATCAGCCCACAGCTCATCCAAGCCAAGAAGAAGCTGCAGAATATCAGTGAGCCGCGTCGCCGGTGTCTGGAGGAGCTGTCCCTACAGACAGAGCTTGTCAGCTGGCTCCACGAGGCACTGGAAGGTATGGCCAGTGCTCTGGGCCTGCTGTGGCTGCCAGGGTCTCATGTGGGTCCCTGTGTGGGTTTCCTGCACTTTGTGAGATGCTCACGAGGCATACCCATGTGAGTCCTATGTGTAAGATAAGAAAGTGTTGCTTGTATTTGGAGCAGGGGTTGTTTTGTTTTGTTCCCTTTTGCTTCTGTGGTACTAGAGATTGAACCCAGGGCTTTGCACTGACCTGCATTTTTAGCCCTTAATTTTATATTTTATTTTGAGACAGGGTCTCACTAAATTGTCCAGACTAGCCTTGAACTTGGAATTCTCCTTCCTTGGCCTCCCAGAGTACTGGCATTACAGGTGTACATTACCATGCCAGACCTGCCTGAATTTTTTAAGTAGGTGAGCAGTGCATGCTTCATTGGCTGTGGGTAGAATTTATATCAGGACATTTCTCAGGTCTTGATGTAAAAACTTTTTGCCACTCCTCTCACTCTGTGGATTCTTGCTACAAATAGCTAAGGGTCATTTTCATATAAATTCTGTAGCTCTTCTAGGTGTTTTGTGTGTATATGTATGTGTGTGTGTGGGGGGGTTGTTTTGTTTTACCAAAACACAAGGAGAACTCTTGTGCATGGAGAGTTACTCAACATGCCCATGCACATCTCTTCTAGCTGGGGCCTTGGCAGCCTGTTTGGTTAGGTGGACTGGGCTGAGGAGGTGGGAAGCAGGCAGACAACAGGCACGGGTGTGCAGTGGGGACATGGATGTGGGCTTCTTCCTACTGACACAGGCTGCACCAGGTCCAGCTTTTGCTCGCTTTGCTGTGGACTCTTGGATCTACGTTCATGCACATTCTCTGATTACTAATTAGTTCCAGGAGAATTGACTTGATTTATTATACTTAATTGTCAATATATTATTTACCAGTTGAACCTCTGCTTATTTATAAGTGATGACACTGGGCAGACTAAAGGAGATTAAGGTGCATACAAGCCTAATGTGGTACCTGGGACATAGGTTTCTGGGTATAGATTATGTCTATCAGTGGCCAACATGTATTGCAAAAGGCAAAGTGCCCAAATATTTATTGAACATAGGAAGTGCTAAAGCCTTGAACGTTCAGTAAGTGTTCATTGATAACTTCTTTTTTTTTTTTTCCGGTACCAGAAATTGAACTCAGGACCTTGTACTTGCCAGGCAGGCACTTGTGCCACTGAGCTATATCCCCAACCCCGATGATAACTTCACTAGGGATGATGGCCCAAATCTGAATGTCATTCTGTCCAGGAGTGGTGCCACACTGACCTATTCTCTTGTCTCCCCAAGGTATCAATGAACTCAAGGTGTTTGTAGACTTGGCCTCCATCTCAGCGGGGGAGAATGACATCGATGTGGACCGTGTGGCTTGCTTCCATGATGCTGTGCAGGGCTATGCCTGCCTGCTGTATGATCTGGATAGGACAGCAGGCTTTGAAGTGTTCATGAGCCATCTGACAGAGCTCTGGAAGGCTCTAGACAATGATGAGAACTTGCCCAATAAGCTGGTATGTCTTGTTCCTGGTTCCTTGTTCCACGGCAGACTGAGTTAGAAAAGTGGCACTTAGAGGCCCTGGGGGAGTGGCTACGTGTAGGTTGGCAAAGCTGTGTGGCAGAGACATGGGCAACCATTCAAGTTGGTGCTTAGAAGCCACTTTCTACAGTGAAATGCTTTCTCTGTCTTTGGTTAGAAAGGGAAGTAAGAGAATCACACGTCAGCAACAGTCTCTACCCTATGGAACAGAGAAGACTGAAGGGAAATAGATTAAAATGTTCCTAGTAGCTTTCTCCAATGGTAGTGTTATTCTGTTACTTTTCGGTATCTTCACAATTGGCTTTTTTTTCCTTCCAGTACTGGGGGCTGAACCCAGGCCTCCATCCTGAGCTATATTCCCAGCCCTTTTAAAATTTGTTTTTAAATTTTGAGACAGAGTCTTGCTAAGTAGCCTAGGCTGGGCTCAAACTTTTGATCCTCCTGCCTCAGCCTCCCAGGAAGCTGGGATACAGGTATGCGCCACCATGCATGGATATGTTGATTAACTTTTAACTTTTGATCAGGAAAAAAAAAATTTAAGTTTAGTCAAATGTCCGTGGCAGGGTCTGAGGTATCTTACACTCTATACCTTGCCTGATCAGCTGAGGTACTGCCTGTAGCCTGGACTGGCCTCAGGACAGCTGGTTCTGCATGTGGTGGGAGGAAGAAATGGGAAATGAACAGAAGTAGTGATTTACAATTTTTATGCCTGAGGCTACAGACATGAGCCTCTCTTGCAGTTTTTCTTTGATTCCTGTGGTTTTCATCAGGGACCAGAAAAGAATATTAAAACTTAGCACTTCTCAGTAGCATCACTCCTTGGAAAGCTCTGTGCCCTGAGGACAAGCAGAATGGTGGCTCATAGAAGAGCAGACTTGTGGCTATCTACCCAGCCACCTGGGGGCCCTCCATATATCCATGGGGACACCAGGCACCAGGGGGCATGTGAATGATGAACTTCCTTGAGTGACATGGATCCTGAGGGACAGCAGTGGCACCCAATCAGTCATGAACTCTGGGCTAATAGCCATACCCAGAGCCTTGGAGTGGGGCAAGCAGAGCCTGCCCAGTGAGGGCAGAGGCAGAGGAGGTTGGGAGGGAAGATGGCCTTATGAACTCTAACCTGTACTCTGCTTTTATCCTAACAGCGAGATTCTGCCAGGAACTTGGAGTGGCTGAAGACAGTAAAGGAAAGCCATGGGTCTGTCGAGCTGTCATCTCTGACCCTAGCCAAAGCAATCAACAGCAAGGGCATCTATGTGATCAAGGCACCCACAGGTGGCCAGAAGGTGAGCTCCCCGCCCATCAGAATCTAGTATGACTTTAGGTGCTGTGCATTATTGTGCTGCAGGTTTGGGGGTGCCTTCAGAAGTTGACCTCTGAACCTGTGCCACCGCCCAGATTTCCCCGGATGTTGTCCTGAGCCTGATCCTCCCCGAGAGTCATGGTGGCCTGGAGGAAGTGCGCAACTACTCTTTGGAGGAGCTGAAAGAGCTTTTGAATAAGCTGATGCTGATGTCTGGCAAGAAAGACCACAACAATGAGGAAGTGGAGAGGTTTTCAGAGGTGAGGTTGTGCTGGCACTCAGCAGGTACCACCGTCACCTGGGGGTAGACTGGGCACTTTCACTGCCATGCTGCCTGAGAAAGCTTGAGTTGGCATCTGATGGGCAGAATGATTCAGCTCATGGTGGATCTGTGGGTGTTTATAGCCCCAGGTAACAGCTCCAGAGAGATAGAGAGCTTAGGGCAGACCCTTAGTGTAAGCAGTTCCTCCTTGAGACTCTCTGAGTGAATGTGCCACTAGTCATTAATCTACTGTGCTGGAAAGAAAATAGCCCAGTGAGTAGTTCTTACAAAGAAGTGTAAATTGCTTCACTACCTTGCAAACTGACAAAAATCCAAACACCTGCTGATTCTGATGCTGAAGGAACTGTATGGACACAGGAGTGTTGACTAATGTAAGTCCCACCCTTGTCTTGTGGGGTCTGCCCTTAAAGTTCATTTGAACTCTACAGTCGGCATTCATTGACTTTCACCTTCATGCTTCCTTAAGAAAGAGACCCTCTTATTAGGCTGATCACATTGATGGGGAAGGAAGGACCCATTTATAAATACTGTGTGAGCCAGTGGATGTAAGTGAACACAAGTCCCCTGAACTATAACCCTGTGTGTGTCTAGACTCATGTGCTGCCTGCTGTCTCTTCATGGCCTCTCCTCCCCAGGTGTTCTCTGGCATGCAGCGGCTCCTGCAGGCCTTCCTCAATCTATACACTGCTGGCAACATGCTCTTCAGGGCCTGGACGGCTGAAGTGTACTGCTGCCCCAGGCAAGGTAAATCCCTCCACGTGGACTTTGGCTTGGAGCTGGTGACCCAGCTGTCAGAGAAAGGGGATGTCACCACATGTCTGGAAGCCCTCTGCAGGAAGATGGAGCATTTTCTGGACCGCTGGAAGAGATTCGTGATGGAGAAGCGTGCTGAGCACTTTTACCTCAACTTCTACACTGCTGAGCAGCTGGTCTACCTGAGCACTGAGCTCCGGAAATCCTACCCCAGCAAAGCTGCCCTGACCATGCTGTCCTTCATCAAAAGCAACTGCACCACAGGTGATGTCCTAAAGGCCACTGGAAGGTGCAATAGTGAGCCTTCCATGTACCACGTGAGTACAGTGATGACAGAATTATCACTGCAGCTGAACTCTGAGGTCAGCCTGGAGACCAAGCTGCAGTTCATCATGGAGCAGTCCCTGGAGTGCCCAAGTGCCTTCCTGCCTGGCTGCCTTGACTTGGATGCCCTCGGCCTCTGTCTGGCTCAGCTGGCTCGCATGGTCAGCATCACCGTGGAGCGGCCTCTCCCGCACGGCCTACAAGTGGGCCAGCCCAACCTGATCTTGTGTGGCCACTCTGAGGTGCTACTTGCCGCCCTAGCCATCTACATGCAGGCCCCAGATGAGCCCTTGCCCACCTTTGATGAGGTGCTGCTGTGTACCCCAGAGACCACGTTTGAGGAGGTGGCCCTGCTCCTACGCCGTTGCCTTACCCCAGGTGCTCAGGGGCACAAGATCTACAGCCTGCTGTTTGCTGATCAGCTGAACTACGAGGTGGCCTACCAGGTAGAGGCGCTCTTCCACAGCCTGTGCACACAGTGCCACCGTGAGGACTACCAGCTGGTAGTAGTCTGTGATGCAGCCCGGGAGCACTGCTGCCTCCCCTCGGCCTTCAGCCAGCACAAAGCCCTCCTCACCCCGCAGGAATCCCTCTCTGATATCCAGGCCTACCTTGAGCACCACTACAAGGTCCCAAAGCTGACCCTGTCAGCGGGTTCAGTGTTCAGAGACCGGATGTGTGTTGGAATTGTTACCTCCGAGAGAGCGGGTGTCGGTAATGAATGGGTGGACTCCTGTCTGGGGGTGGGGGTTGCCAAGTGGTGCTGCCCTCTCTGGCTGTGGGTGGCTCAGATAAAGCCCTTCTGCAAGTGGAGAGACCAAATCTCAGGAAGGTCTTACTGCCCATTACCTGTCCTAACTAGAACACAACATTCATTTCTTGGGTTGCAAATTTAACAGTTCCTAGGAACTCCCTCCCCCAGGCATTGTTCTCTGCACTTTACTTTCCCCTCTTTAACTGCATTGACCTCTTTAGTATCATGTAGTATCATGTTGCTTGTTAGAAGAGCAGGTGTAATGCTTGGACTCAAGCGGGGACAGAAACCTCTCCCTCCCCTTCCTGTTTTCCCATGGAAGGAAATGGTGACTTTCATTCTGTTGATTTTTATCCTTCCCCCCTCCCTAGGGAGCAGGCCTTTCTTCTTGCCTTCATTGTACTTGGGCTGCTGTCAGTAGCAGGAAAAAAGTGAGGGTCACAGGTGAAGAGTAGCCAGGAGACTTGGGGGCTCAGTGTACATTTATGCACTGATGTCAAGTTACATCAGGTTTGAATTTTACACAATAAGAAGTAACTTTTAATAGATTTATGTGGAGTCTTGGTCCATAATCTTGGGATCTGATTTACATATTTTAACATCACAGGAAAGTCTCTTTATGTGAAGCGACTGCATGGCAAACTGGAGGAGAAGTTCGGTGGAAACAGGGTCCCTCTGAAAGTTATTCGGTTGACCGACCCTCGGGTGGATGAGAACCAAGTCCTAGGCTCCCTCTTGCCTTTCTTGGATGAGCGGTATCAGCAGAAGCCTATGATTTTCCACTTGGACGTGACAGCTTCTGTAAGTTCCCTGGAGTGTCAGCTGAGAGGCGGGGTCAGGAAAGACATTGTTCCTACCTCCTGACCTCCCTCCACCTTGTACAAAGAGACCTCCTTCTATGTATTGGTGACCAGGGTCATAGTCTCAAACGAAAATGCAAGAAGGCACTTAGGGCCAGGAGAATGGCCTTCATCTTGTGTGTTTACAAACCCTTGTGTTTCTTTCTTTTTTTTTTTTTTAAAAAAACCCTTGCATTTCTGTCTTTAGGTGCAGACTGGAATTTGGGTCTTTCTTTTCAAACTCCTCATATTACAATATCTCATGGATATAAATGGGAAAATGTGGCTTCGGAACCCACGCCATTTATATATCGTGGAAATCCTGGAAAGAAAGTCAGAATTGCCAAACACGTCTTCAAAACTGGTGTGTATCACAGAGCATTTCTATGGGTCATGGGTAGCTTCAGTTCTGCATCGCTAGGGCTTGGGATGACAGGATTTTGTAGTTCCTGAACTTTTACTCTATGGAAACAGCTGAGTATGGTACAATGTTAGTAAGGAAAAATCCATCTATCAACTTTTTCGACATCTGGAATAAAAATACTCTTGTAAAAATTAATAGTACCCTAAATGTGCCTTGTTCCATTTGGGATTAGCCCTGTATGACCAGGTTAAACCCCAGCTATGTTCTCAAAGCAGGGAATCAGTAGACAGTAGTTCTCTCCTTCATTGCCATTTAAGGTGGCAAGGAGCTAAAGAGGGTTTTGTGTCCATATATAACCATACTCACACATGCTCAATGAGAAACTGGATCTCAGAAACTTGAGTTAGAAAATGATTTCCTGGTTAAGGATGCAGCTCCCAGAATTCAGGTTCTGTGATACCTTGTGAAAGAGACTAATATGTATGAAAGAGAGGCTCTGGAAAACTCTGGGCATTCAAGTAAATTTTTTCATAAAGGTCCAGTAGTGTAGACCATGTAGAAAGTTAAGACACAAAAGCTGTCTCAGGAAATCTATAATAAATGTATTTATGTCTCTCCTCTGCAGAGTGCACGTGCCCTCCAGTTCAATTTTCTTGACATCTTCCCCAAAGTCACCTGCAGACCTCCTAAAGAAGTGATAGACATGGAGCTGACTCCCAAGAGGCGCCACAGACAGCCCAGAATGGACGAGAGAGAGTTCCGTAGTGAGACCTTCCAGAGACCTTACCAGTATTTAAGACGATTCCACCACAAGCAAAACCTAGACACATTTCAATACCAAGAAGGCTCTGTGGAAGGCACCCCAGAGGAGTGCATCCAGCACCTCCTGATTTACTGTGGGGTGGTAAACCCGTCCTGGTCAGAGCTTCAGAACTTTGCTCGCTTCTTAAACTGTCAGCTCAGAGACTGTGAGGCCTCTGTCTTCTGCAATGCAGAGTTTGTTGGGGACACACTGAGGGGCTTCAAGAACTTTGTTGTAACCTTCATGGTCTTCATGGCAAGAGACTTTGCCACACCAACACTGCACACCTCTGACCAAAGCCCAGGAAATTTTACAATCACCTTGGATGGGATTGAAGAAGAAGACCTAGCCCCCTTCTCTCTCCGAAAGAGGTGGGAATCAGAACCCCATCCATATATTTTTTTCAATGGTGATCGTGTGACCATGACATTCATTGGCTTCTACCTCCAGCCCAACAACAATGGCAGCATTGATGCCATCAATCACTTGAGTGGGGAAGTAATCAAGAGAAATGTCATGACCTTAGAGCTATACAGGGGGCTGTTGCTTCAGAGGGTGCCTTTCAACATTGACTTTGATAACCTGCCCAGACATGAGAAACTTGCAAAGCTTTGCCAGGCAATAGGGATCCAATGGGCCATTGACCCGGATGAAACATATGAGCTTACAACAGACAACATGCTTAAGATCCTGGCCATTGAAATGCGATTTCGGTGTGGGATCCCAGTTATTATCATGGGAGAAACCGGCTGTGGGAAAACCAAACTCATTAAGTTCCTCAGTGACCTGCGGCGTGCTGGTGCCAACACTGACACCATGAAACTGGTTAAGGTCCATGGAGGAACAACTCCCACTATGATCTACCGCAGTGTCAATGAGGCTGAGAACATTGCCTTCATCAATAAGCACCAACACCAGGTGGACACCATCTTGTTCTTTGATGAAGCCAACACAACAGAAGCCATAAGTTGTATCAAAGAAGTTCTGTGTGACGGGACAGTGGATGGCCAGCCTCTGGAGAACAACTCTGGCTTACACATCATAGCTGCCTGCAATCCTTACCGGAAGCACTCACAGGAGATGATCTGCCGCCTAGAGTCAGCTGGTTTGGGATACCGGGTCAGCGCTGAGGAGACGGCAGAGAAGCTGGGCTCCATCCCCCTGAGGCAGCTGGTGTACCGCGTCCACGCTCTGCCACCAAGCTTGATTCCTCTGGTGTGGGACTTTGGACAACTGAATGACACTGCCGAGAGGCTCTACATCCAGCAAATTGTCCAAAGACTGGTGGACTCCGTGATGATAGATGACAGCGAGATTCACATGATCACAGAAGTGCTCTCTGCCTCACAGGGGTTCATGAGACAGAGAGAGAACGAGTGCAGTTTTGTCAGCCTGCGGGATGTGGAGCGCTGTGTAAGAGTCTTCCAGTGGTTCCACAAGCACAGTGATATGCTCTTGGCAAACCTGAACACGTTTCTCTGCAAGTCCAATGCCAGCAAAAATAACTTCAAGAGAGATCCTGTCCTCTGGTCCCTGGTGCTGGCCATTGGGGTCTGTTACCATGCCTCCTTAGAAAAGAAAGAACCCTATCGGAGAGCCATCTGCAGATTCCTGCCAGAACCATATAATGACAGCAAGGTTGTCCTGGATGAGATCACTCAGGTACAAGATCTTTTTCTGAGTGGTGTACCCCTCAGGAAAACCATAGCCAAGAACTTAGCTTTGAAGGAGAATGTCTTCATGATGATCATCTGCATTGAGCTGAAGATCCCCCTCTTCCTGGTGGGGAAGCCCGGCAGCTCCAAGTCTCTTGCCAAGACCATAGTGGCAGATGCCATGCAAGGCCAGGCTGCGCACTCCAATCTCTTCCATGCCCTGAAGCAAGTCCACCTGGTGTCCTTTCAGTGCAGCCCACACTCTACCCCCCAAGGTATCATTGGCACCTTCAGGCAATGTGCCCGCTTCCAGCAGGGTAAGGACCTGCAGCAGTATGTCTCTGTGGTAGTACTAGATGAGGTCGGATTGGCTGAAGACTCCCCCAAAATGCCCCTGAAAACACTACACCCCCTGCTGGAAGATGGCTGCATTGAAGACGACCCTGCCCCCCACAAAAAAGTTGGTTTCATAGGTATTTCCAATTGGGCCCTCGACCCTGCCAAGATGAACCGGGGCATTTTTGTGTCACGTGGCAGTCCCAATGAGAAAGAGCTCATAGACAGTGCCAAGGGGATCTGCTCTTCTGACAACCTGCTCCTGGACAAAATACAAGGGTACTTTGGGCCCTTTGCCAGAGCATATGAAACGGTGTGTAAGGAACAAGATAAGGAATTTTTTGGGCTTCGTGATTACTATAGCCTCATCAAGATGGTTTTTGCCACGGCTAAGGCATCTAATAAGAAGCCTTCCCCACAGAATATTGCACAGGCTGTCCTTCGGAACTTCAGTGGCAAAGATGACATCCAGGCCTTGGACATTTTCACAGCCAGTTTACCCGAAGCCAGGTGGACGGAGGAGGTCAGCACCATCGAGCTGATAAAGCAGAACATTTATGGGGGTCTGCAGAGGGCGACAGGCACAGAAGGGGATGACACTGAGTCCCGCTATTTACTCGTGCTGACCAAGAACTACGTGGCCCTGCAGATTCTGCAGCAGACCTTCTTTGGTGAGGACCAGCAGCCGGAGATCATTTTTGGTTCCAGCTTTCCCCAGGACCAAGAGTACACGCAGATCTGCCGCAACATCAACCGGGTGAAGGTCTGCATGGAGACAGGCAGGATGGTGGTACTGCTGAACCTACAGAACCTCTACGAGAGCCTGTATGATGCACTCAACCAATACTACGTCTACCTTGGGGGCCAGAAGTATGTGGACCTTGGCCTGGGCACCCACCGTGTCAAATGTCGGGTCCACCCGGCCTTCCGCCTGATCGTCATTGAGGAGAAGGATGTTGTGTACCGGCAGTTCCCTGTGCCCCTCATCAACCGGCTGGAAAAGCATTTCCTAGACATCCACACCATGCTGGAGCCCTGGCAGAAGAAGATTGTGTGCCAGCTCACACTTTGGGCTCAGGAATTCGCAGATGTAAAGGCAGACCAGTTCCTGGCTGGGCACAAGTACAGCCCTGCGGATGTCTTCATCGGCTACCACTCGGACGCCTGTGCCTCTGTGGTGCTGCAGGCCACAGAGAGGCAGGGTCCCAGGCCAGAGATGGAGGAGCTGGACCACAAGGTGATGGAGGAGGCCAAGCTGATTCTGCTGGACTGTGCCACACCTGACGCCATGGTGCGGTTGAGCACCTCCAAGCTGGGCTCGTTTGCTGCGGGGACGCTGTCAGAGGTGTACTACTACCAGCAGCAGCATAATTCCTTCGCAGATTTCCTGCAGGTTCATCTCCGCACCAGGGGCCTGGAGTACCACGCCATCTTCACTGAGGTGAACGTCTTCCCCCAGCTATACCCCAGGCTCTATTATCCAGGAGTTCTGATCTTTTTTTTTCTTTTTGTCTTTTTGAGACAGGGTCTCACTATGCAGTTCAGGCTGGCCTTGAGCTCACTTTGTAGCCCAGGCTGGTCTCGAACTTGCAACAGTCCTCCTGCCACGGCCTGCCAAGTGCTGGGATCACAGGCATGCACCACCATGCCTGGCAGGAGTTCTGATCTTGAGGGCTAGAAATTCACGTTCTGTCCACACCAATGCTCAGGGATATCCATGGGCTGGTGGGGACTTGGGGTTCCTTTCTACATGATGTGCAAGGAGAGTGAGTCCTCTTTAACCAGGTTTCTGACCAGACCTCTGTGCTGAGGGTTGTGAAAGGCATGTACAAAGTGAAGTGGCACAGTTCTCCTCTGTGGACTGAGGTCAGCAGAGGTGTAGTGTGGGACACACAGCGCTGCAGTGTTGTGGATAAACACTGTGCAGGGAAGCAGCAAGAGATGAAGTCAGATGCCGTTCTCCCTCCAAGAGTCCCTTGCAACTGGCTGAGCAGGCGTCTGGGGGCAAAGAGATTGAGGTGTGAGACATTGCCAGAGCCCAGGAGGGACCGCTGATGGAGTTAGAAGTTCAAGGGTGTGAGTGCCAGGTCACGGGGATGAGATAGTCACAGAGACCTCATGGAGGGCCTTGCCAGTGGTCCTGAGGAGCATGGTCTTTTCTGGATAGAGGAATGTGTGCTTTGTCGCACCCCATTGCTTGGGTGATGGGAAAACAGTGAGATAAGACTGTTGCAGGAAAGACGGATAAGTCAGAAAGCTGTTGGATCAATGCAGTGAAAGTAGAAGAGAGAATGGAATAAATGGTTAGGAGCCAGGCCTGGTGGCACATGTCAGCACTCTGGGGAAGCTGAGGCAGCAAGTTGTTAAGTCTGAGCCCAGCCTGGGCAACTTAGCAACTTAGGGAGGCCCTGTCTTAAAATAAAAGAACTGATCGCATAGCTCCATGTGAAGATGCTAGGTTTAGTAACCAATACAAAAGCAAAAAGGAAGGTAGGAAAGAAGGAAAGGTGAGAAGCGGGTGGGAGGGTTAGAATGCAGATGGGTGAGCTGATTACCTCCTTCTTAGAAAGGTGGTGGGCAGTGGAGGAGTCTTGAACCAAGATTCTTCCTGAGCTATTTGGGGAGCCAACAGTAAGGTCCATTTGAGATACATTTAGATGACTTGCTATGCAGTTAGATATAGGAACCAGCAGCTCACTGGCCCAGAAAGGGGGACTGGGAGCAGAGGTATTACCTGCCTGAAAGAACATTTGAGTTTGCACTATGGGATGCAGTCACCCATCTGTGGTAGAGGAGAACTGCTAACTGCTGAGTGGGAGAACAGGCAGCCAAGGCTAACTCTGTCTGAGAGCGTGACGCTAGATTACAGGAAGACGTGGCATTTGTGCTCAACCTGTAGCACCAGGAGAATCTCGGGAGGCACCAAAGCAAACAGTCTTCTCCCGCTCACCTTGGCCCTGCTTTGTGTTCCAGGGCCCAGCTCTTTGGGCTGTGGTTGCCTCTTTGTCTTGGTCCTCACTCTGCGAGGCTGTGGCTCTAGGAGACAGGGTGAACCCTGCATACTCCCATAGCTCCACACCCGTCCCCATTCCTTGCATCCTGGTGGGCAGTGTGTGTGCCTCTCTTTGCAGATCACCACTTTCTCCAGGCTGCTGACAAGTCACGACTGTGAAATCTTAGCAGCAGAGGTGGAGGGCTTGGCCCCAAAGCCCACCATCCTGTCGCTGCAGCAGTTTGACACGGAGTACTCGTTCCTCAAATCAGTCCGGTGAGGCCCCCACTCCCCACCCCCAAACCCCATCTCCCATCTCACTGTGTAGGGTCTGAGGTGCAAGGCTGGATGTTCAGGCTCCCCCTGGGCCTCTGTGTCCCTCCCCGTCCCTCTCTGCTGAGGTCTGTCACGAAGGGCCTTCTCCACAGCCTTGTCCTTCTGTCCTGGGACACATGCATTGGCCATTTCCCTCTGTAGTAGACGGCCTGCTCGCCTCCTGGAGGAAAACTCAGCTGAAAGCTGTTCTCTGTGTAGCCCATTCTCTTCGGGGAATTTTCTTTACCCATTTTTGGGGACAGAGAACTCATTTGGACAACTTTTTTCTTTTTTCTTTCAGAAACTGCTTAGCAAGTAAAGCTAGCTGTAAAATCCTTATCATTCAGACCGACTTTGACGATGGCACTTACAGTGCCCAGCTCATTGCCTCCGCTAAGTAAGTTTTCAGTATTCTCACAAACAATGTTGGAAAGCCAGATGCAGCAGTACACACTTAAAATCCCAGCACGCAGGAGGATGAAGCAAAAGGATCACTGTGAGTCCTGAGTTACCTAGTGAGTTCAAGCCTGAGCTATGTAGCGAGACCTTGTCACAAAAAAAAGAGAGAAAGAAAATTTAAAAAAGGAAAACAATGTAAGAATTATTTCCACAATTTATTTAGAACCTCCTAAAGAATTTCTTCCCCCAAAACAATATTGTATTACAAGTATAGAAATAAAAATAAGAAAACTTTCTCTCCCTTCTCATTTCCCCAAATGTGGACCAGAGAAAATGAAGACAGATGAAACAAAAAGGTGAATAACTGTAAAATGTAAGAGGTGTCGCTAATTGGATCTACATGAATATTCGTGAAGCATACATTTATAGTCATTTTTGTTCATATTTTGTTTTTTTTGTTTTGTTTTATTTTGTTTTGTAATAGGAATCAAACTCAGGACCTTGTGTTTGCCAGGCAGGCACTGTGCCACTGAGCTAGATTCCTGGCCCCTGGGTTTTTTTTTTTGTTTTGTTTTGTTTTTGGTTTGTTTTTTTTGAGGCAAGAGCTCACTATGTAGTACAGGCTGGCCTTAAACTCACTTATATGGCCCAGGCTGGCCTCAAACTCACAGTGATCTTCCTGCCTCAGCCTCCCAAGTTGTAATCCCAGCCTCCTCAGCTGGGATTACAGGCATGCACCTCTACACCAAGCTGTTCATAATTTTGAATTACAGAATCAGAATTTATTGCAAGTTCAAGGGCAGTAACAATGTATAAATACTTCTGTTCATATGTCTCAGACATTTCTACTGTCTGTGCAAGGGAAATCTGATTCCTTTAGATGGAACTGTATTCTCTCATTACTTCGTGTCCAAGTGGGGATGATTTCTGTGCCTCTTGAAGCACTGGAAGCCATGCGAGTTTTAGGGCTGAGTCACATGGTACTGGGAAATTGGCTTGGGCTTGTGTCCTGTGAGTGACGTCATACTGAGCTCAGAACTCTCTGGAAATGGGGAGGCCAGCAAACCTCACCTCTTATCCCAGCAGGGCAGCCCCTGAGTGTGTGGTCAGTGGAGAAAGGCCCCTCCCGAGCAGAGGCACGGGAACAGGTGTGAAATGAACCCAGTAAGAGAATGGCATCCTTTCATAAGGGAAGTGAGGAGGTTAAACTGACTGAGAGCTTATAAAACCAGGGCTCTTAGGATATGCTTCAGCTTTGTACAACTTTCCCATGACTCATTTGCTTACTTTGTTCTGATTCTTGTTTGTTTTTTTAAACAGGTATTCTGCCCTCAATGAGGTCAATAAAACACAAGAAAGGAATAGCCGTGTCTTCGTCTATTTCATCACTAAAGTGTCCCGGATGGGAAGTGGAGCATCCTACGTGGGGTTCCATGGAGGTAGGACCAAAACCTTAGTGAATATTTTCATTCAGGTCATGTCTGGTTGCTTTCTCAGGGGGTCCTAAGTGACACAGGTCTGAAATGAATTTGTTTGCTAATTTCAAAAAAGGGGCTTTTTTTGGCTTTTATTTTTTATTAGTCTGTACATAATGGTTGCATTCTGTATGTGGAATTGGTACACATACGTAATGCATCCCAATCATTTTTTCATCCCCTTCCCCTTTTCCCCCATTCTCTTAGTCCCCTTCCCACCTGAAGAAGATCCATCTCTCTGCTTCTTATTATATCCATCTTTTATTTTGCTTTGTTTATACTTTGGGTTTCTCATATGAGAGAAACCATGCTATATTTAAGCTTGTGTGCCTGATTTATTTCATGTAACATTACGGTCTTGAGCTGTATCCATTGTCCTACAAATGACTCAAGTTTTTCTTTATGGCAGAGTAGTACTCCATTGTGTGTAGATACCACATTTTGTTTGTTCATTCATCTAACATGAGCTGTGATGCTATAAACATGTGTATGTATGTATCACTCAAATATGTCTTTATCTCTTTCAGGAAGAGGAGTAGCTGGGTGAAGTGGAATTTTTAGTTTTAGTTTTTTGAGGAATCTCCATACTGATTTCCATAGTTGTACTATGGTTGTACAGTGTAGAAGGGTACCTTCTTCCCCACAGCCTTGGTAGCATTTGTTATTATTTGATTCCTTGATGATAGCCATTCTTTCTGGAGTAAGACGGAATCTCAGTGTTGTTTTAATTTGCATTTCTCTAATGGCCAACAATGTTGAATTTTTAATTTGTTATGATTTTATATGTTGAGTCTTGGTACTGTTTCTTGTGTGATTGGGATTCTGTTCAGAAAATCCTTGCCTACCTCTGTCTTGAAGAGCTGTACCTATTTTATCTTCCAGCAGATTGTGTTGCTGTTTTAATATTTAGATCTTTGATCCATTTTTATTTTAGTTTAGTACATGGTGAGAGATACAGATCTAGATTTCAAACTTCCAAATGTAGTTACTCAATTTTGCCAGCACCATTTATTAAAGAGGCTAGCTTTCCTCCAGTGTATAGTTTTGGCCCTTTTGTCAAAGGTCAGATAGCTGAATGTAAAAGTAGAATGTTAATTCTGACAGTGTTCTCTGCAGGTATAGTTAGGTTTCTCCTGCAGTGTCACTGCTCAAACCCACCCTTGGGATTCTTGCTGCAGCTTCACTTCTTCTCTACTCAGGGGGATATTGGGGGGTGTCCTCTGGCTCCCACCTGTCGTGATTATGTGGATGATTCCGAGATGATCCTCCTGACGCTCATCAGCACTGATTCTTTGTCCCAGTATAGGAAAAGTGCTGTCTTCAATTTACCTCCTTCCCTCTTCCTCTGTGGAATGGTTACCAGCTGTACTAGATATGACAATTGGTATTCTAGAAATAGGAAAAACACTTTACTCTAGTAATTCCATAGATACTGGAAAGCAAACTTCACCAGTGCTTTACATCCCTTCACTGATTATGGTGCAGCAAATACAGTAAGACATATAAAGAATTACAGTAAGATGTGTAAAGAATTACAGTAAGACATATAAAGAATTACAGTAAGATGTGTAATATACATATATTCTTTGCAACTCAGTTATCCGAGGCCTTAAATCTGATATTGACATTGTTGACACGGATAAAATGGGTCCAATGGTTGCTGTTGTGTTCAAGGACTTAGACTTTGGGGATACCAGTCATTCCTCTAGCAGCAGTGTAATTAAAAATCAGGGCAGTAGTACAACACTGCTTATGGCTAACAAGAAGAAACTAGAAAAGATACGAAAAGACTCTGGATGACTTTGTTCTTCACAGGGCTGTGGCGGTCTGTGCACATCGACGACCTCCGGAGATCCACGATCATGGCCTCGGATGTGACCAAGCTGCAGAGTGTCACTATAAGCCAACTGTTCAAGCCAAGAGACAAACCTGAGCGTGAGTCTTGAGGTGGCAGCCTAGGGATTAGAGGTGGGATGACGGGTAGAAGGTGCCAGATGTGGCCACTTTTTTGGCCATTTTGGGGTGTTGGAGGCAGGGCCACCACACTTGCATCACCTTCGAGTCCCTGTACCTGCTCTTCTGCAGGAGCTTGGGACATGTGTGCTGGACTACCTGGTCCACATCCAGAGCACCAGAGCCAAGGGGAAGGTCACACAAGTGAGCACCCATAGCATGTGACCTGCACTTGTGGTTCCTGGGCCAGCCCTTGGCCCTGACTGTGGAGCACTCCCATGGTGGATTTGGGGCTGATCTGCACGATAGATGTCCCCTCCATGGAAGCTCTGGACAGGAAACCTGGTGAGTTCCAGCCTAGACACAGAGTCAGCCAGTGCTGTCCCAAGCCATGACCAGATTGCATTTGCTTTCTATGCAGGAGAAGGCAGCGGGGAGGAAGAGATGGAAACAGAGCCCAGCAGGTCAGGAGAAGCAGCCGAGACTGAAATGGAGGTAAAAAGTTCCGAGGAGATGGAGATCAAACCCTCGGTCCCAGAAGGTGTGGATGTAAGTTCTAGCCCTGTGTTCTCCCCGTGGGCTCTACAGATGTGTCTCTGACCCCCTCCTCCACTAGGAGCTAGAGAAGCCCACACAGCTCGGCAGAGTTTTTATCCTTTTTTCCAGAAGCATTGTGGGAAGTATGAGGGCAGCATCTGGCTTCCCCACTTCACGAGATCTCCTAGCCAGTTTTACACCATTCCTGACTCCCGGGCAGGTGCCCTAGCGTTTGCCCACCCTGGACATGGTACAAGTACAGAACGTGTTTCCCCTGCAGGTGCAAGTCCTGGACACCACCAAGTTGCTGCAAAGCTGCGTGCAGAGCGCTGTGGGAATGCTCAGGGACCAGAACGAGGGCTGTACCCGCAACATGAGGAGAGTTGTCATCCTCCTAAGCCTTTTAAATGAGGATAATGCGTGCAATGGTAGGAGTCATGCCTGTCCCCTGCCCACGCCCCAGTGTGGAGAGAGAAACATATAGGGCTGACTCAGCAGAAGCCATGGACACAGCAGGCATTTCTCATGTTCTGCTTCAGAATTGGCCTGGCCAAAGAACCTGTCAGAGTAGGTCAAGAAGTATGGCAGATGCAGTGCCCATGAGTGAGCCAGCTGTACACCCCTTTACCTTTTTACAGCCTCTTTCTTGAGGGTGTCCAAGAAGCACCTCCATGTTCTTCTGAAGAAGCAAGAAGAGAACCAGCCCTGCAGTTTGAAGGAGTGGGTGAGCAGGGAGGCCTCGGATCTGGAAGCTCTCCAGGAGGCGGGCACCTTCCGGTAAGAGGCAGGTGTGGGCAGGCAGGACAGGGATTTGCACTGCTGCTTTCCACCGAGCCTGAAATGTACCCAGTGGACCTTTGTAAGCCTCAGCAATTGGAAGCTATAGTATTTTTCCACACAAACCCAGAATCAATGTGGATGTGGTTGAGCGAGGGTGTTGGACACTTTTCTCACCTTTTGTATGTTTCAATTTTTTCATAAAAAAAAAAAAAAAAAACTTTTGTTCTGGTAACAAGGCTATGTGTACCAACCTATCAAAAACCATGGAACAGGGCGTCAGTTTAGCTGATTAAAATGGTGCCATGGGGCCAGGGATTTTGCTCAATGGTGCAGCGCCTGCCTGGTGAGCGTGAGGTCCTGAGTTAGATTCCTGGCCCCCCCCACAAAAATAAAATAAATAAAATAAAATAACATGGTGCCAGGTGTGGTGGCACATGCCTGTAATCCTGAGGTAGGAGGATCACGAGTTTGAGGCCAGCCTGGGCTACATAGTGAGTTCAGCCTCAGACTGGACTACGTACTGAGACCTCTCAGAAATACAAACAAGAAATGGGAGATGATGACATGCAGGGAGAGGAGAGAAACCATTTTCCCAAGCGTATGGCTTGAAGTAGCAGTGGCTGCAGAAGTGAGACCTATGAGAATCATTTATTGCCCATGGCCCTTTCCAGCAAAACATGAGCCTTTCCCTCTGGGCCGAGGACCCTTTAGCACTATGTGGCAGAGTAGGAGGGCTACTCTTGTGCCAGGTCCCTGGTGGCATACGCTAGACCCTGGGTCTGCAGGGTGACTGCAGACCTGACCTTGTCACTCTAGCTGGGTTCACTCATCTCTAAGGACAGCAGAGCTTTTCCCTGAGTTCGTCTCCAGGTCTCACCCTGTCCACCGAGCTGTGTTCCAGGTGACCTATGCTTTCTTTTTAAACTTGATCTAGAACAAATTTGCTTCATTCTCTTCATCCTTCTCTTTATTGTAGTATTTTATTTACAACTGATTTTTCTTCTTTTGGTACCAGGAATCGAACTCAGAACCTTGTGCTTGCCAGGCAGGCACTTGTGCCACTTAGTTGTATCCCCAGCCCTACAATTGAGTTTTCTTAAAGCTTTTATTTTTTCTAAATGAATTTGGTCATTTTCTTCATTTGTAGAACCTAGATGACTTGTTTTAGAAAAGCTATATAGAAAATTAAGCAAAGAGCTTCTTCACCTTCTCAGTAAGCAAATTAGTTTATCAGTTGTAGAATATTTATTCCATTTCTGCCTCAAGTTTTAGATACTTCCATTTATTTGGGGGGGTTTTGGTGGGGGATTGAATCCAGGGACTTTGCAGTAAGCTACATCCTCATTCCTCTTTTTTGATGATTTTTTTTTTTTTTTTTGTCTTTTTGATACAGGGTCTCACTATGCAGTTCAGGCTGGTCTTGAGTTCACTTTGTAGCCCATGCTGGCCTCGAACTCACAACAATCCTCCTGCCTCAGCCTCCCGAGTGCTGGGATTACAGGCGTGTGCCACCACGCCCGGCATCCTCTTTTTTGAGACAGGATCTCTCTAACTCACAAAATTGCCCAGACTAGATTTAGCTTCCCACAGTGCTAGATTATAGGCCACCACTACCACACCGGGCCTCTATTCTTATACGCAAAATGGTAAATGTTTCATTTTGTTGTCCTGGCTACCATGTGGTAATTAGGAGACTAGAAGGGTTTTTTGTTTTCTTTTTTGGTCTTTTTGAGACAGGGTCTCACTATGCAGTTCCGGCTGGCCTCAAGCTCACTTTGTAGCCCAGGATGGTCTCGAACTTGCAATGATCCTCCTGCCTCAGCCTTCCGAGTGCTGGGATTATAGGCGTGTACACCACACTTGGCTCGAGATTAGAAGTTTTGCAAGGCTGAGAATGACTAAGCCACAGCAGCCCTGTCCCCAACCTGCAGGCACACCCTGTGGAAGCGGGTCCAAGGCGCTATCACCCCTCTTCTGGCAAGCATGATAGCACTCCTTGACAGAGATACCAACCTGGAGCTGCTGGCTCAGTCAGACTTACCAACCTGGACACGAGACCTTTGGATGTTCATTTTCAGTGACGATAAGCTTCTGGACATTCCACTTGTGCACAACATGAGGTGAGGGAAGACTTTCTTATTTATGGGAAGAGGAAGGTCAGGACCTATACCACCCTTCGTGTGCTCCCCCCATGTGACAGGCTGTGGGTGCTGCTCTCATGGAACCTGGAGTGGGGTGGCAGGCGATGCTCAAGCCCTGTGAGTTTGTTCCTCCTCCATTCTGCTCACCACCCTGCCCTTGGAGCCCCCGGCACCTTTCACAGAGCCAGGAATGGTGCATGCACCGTGCTCCATGTGCAGAGAGGCAGGTGCCAGCCAGAGGACCTAGTTCTACCAGAGACGTTTAGCACCTCGCTCAGTCCCTACCACACTGGTCTGTTTCTGTTTCATCTATGAACAAGGGTTTGATGAGGGGCCTTTCCAGGTCCTTGTCTGCGAACCCTGGCCTGGGAAGCAGACCAGCAGCAGTCTGTAGCCCTCGGCACCTTGCTTTATCTTGCTCTGTGTGTGTGGTGCTGGGGCTCAAACTCAGGGCTTCATTCACGCACGGCAAGTGCTCTCTCCTGTTGAGGCACACCCCAGCCCCAGCCTCGTCTCTGAAGACTGAAGGAAGTGGCTCAGGGGGTGCATGTTGTATGGAGTTTCAAGCGTTACAGTTAAATGGGCCCATAGTAATCCAGGTTCTTGTGTACACCAAGGGAAGGATTGCCAAGCATATATACCCAGTAATAAGTAGTAACCAGCTAAATTTATTGATGATCAGAGAAAGTTGTACTCAGGGCCAGACCGTGCCAAAGAAATATAACACAAACCAAGAAAGCTGCTGGGGTAACAGAAAAGCACTACATACGGGTCAAAAGTAGCAATAGCAACAGGAAAAAGGGGGCCAACAACTTGGGCTTTCACAGTTTAAGGGCACCTCTGCTTTAGGTGCTTCCCTCTGAGTCTGGATGTGATTGACAGGGATGATTGACAGGGCACTTAGCACATAGGCTCATACCAGAATGTACTGATCTTAGTTATATTTGTGAGATATAGTGCATGTTTGCAAGCTTGTAATGGGGTGGAAGTGGGGTAAAGGTAACCAGAAGGTCAGGCTAGGACCTGCAGGGTGCTCTTGCCTAGGGCATTGGTGATGTCCTATTTTCCACCACCTCTCTTAGGACAATGGAAGCAGGAACAGCCGCAGGGTATGGTTTAGTATTGAATGTAGGGAAGGAAGTGGCTCTCAGCTCTGATGTTTCTGATTGTATTAAAGGGACATCTCATGAACATACTCTCGGTCCTTGTTGCAGATCTAGGAGTGACATGCCCTCCATCCTGGTGCAGAACTACATGGCTGGGAATGCCTCCAATGTCGTCCCCTTTAGCTGGAGAATCAAGGACTACCTGGAAGAGCTGTGTGTCCAGGCTCAGTACATCACGGATGCCAAAGGTGAGGTTCACTGTGCGGAGGTAAACCAGTCCTCGTTTGCAGACATCCTGCTGCTGGCACCAGGGTGACCTTTTTTTTTTTTTTTTTTTTTTTTTCTGGTACTGGAAATCGAACTCACGACCTTGCTCTTGCCAGGCAGGCGCTGTGCTGCTGAGCTAAATCCCCAGCCCCAGGGTGGCTTTTAAGTTCCTAATTTAAGTACTTTGCAGGTGGGAGAGCCTCAAGTTCATGTCATTTCTTCATTTTAAAACTTGTGCTGAAGGAGTGTCTCCAGTTATATTTATGAGATGTAGTACATATTTACAAGCCACTAAGTCACACAGCAAGGGGGTCTTATGCTCAGCCAGGGATCTGGTGAATTGGGATATGCTCTGGCTGGGAGAGAGTTTGTTACCTGTGCTCATTGCTGGTTGTTCTCATTCTGAGGCACCTGCACAACTCAGGCAGGGGACTGAGGTGCTATTCCTGTTAAGCTTCCTCAGCAAATAGGATCAACTGGAGTGTAACATCCTCCTCCATGCTGTCACCTCTGTTCCTCCTGAGTGACACAAGCCAGATGGCCCTGCACTCTGCCTGGCTGTCCCGTGCCAAGGGGTCTGGCCATAGCATTCTAGAAAAACAAATGGCAGCATGGTGTTTTAGGAAATGTCGTCATTCATAATGTGAAATCACCTTCTCAACATTTACGCAGTACTCACTGGTCAGTCTGCTCAAAGGTAACCTTGTCCCTCAAGGTCAGCTTCATGCCACTTTGTGAACCAGCGTGACCCAGCCTGGCTCATGATGAGTGGCCATTTTCCTTTTCAGGGCAACACCCTTCATGGTCCTGCTTGTCTGGGACACCATGCAACCTGGGACCCACCCCCAACCATCTACCCTTAGCCAGATCTCTCTGGTGTGCTTTCTCTCACCCCAGCCCTTGAGGAGCAGCCCACACATTCCTGATTCTCTTGGAACTGGGGTTCCTGTTCCCTGTTCTAATGTGACAGACTCATCTATCTCAGACTCTATCTCCTGCTGGGGCTAGCTTGGCTCTTGCTGCCTTAAATGTAATATGAATCATGCCTTTCTTTCTGTTCCCCCATTGTTTCAACAGTGTACATTTCTACCATTTACAGTAAGGTCAGGTGGCAGGTGCCATATGCACCTGAGCTGGGCTTCAACAGGCCCCCGCCGCTGCCCCTGCTCATGCTCTCCTGCTCAGTGCAGTGAGCTCTTCTGAGAACTCATATCTCTCTCTCCCTCTCTCTCTCCCCTTCTCCCTCTCCCCCTCCCCCTCCCCTTCCCCTCCCTCTCTGTCTCTCTCTCTGTCTCTCTCTCTCTCTCTCACTTGCTCTTTGGCTTCCTCCCTGCAGGACTGCCGCAGAAGTTCGTGGACATCTTCCAGCAGACACCTCTGGGTCAGTTCTTCACTCAGCTCCCCGAAGAGCAGCAGCTGGAGCTCCTACACAGCTACTCAAAAGACTTCCTGCTCCTGACCATGAAAGTGTCCAGCTTGGAGGAGCTGAAGGTAGATGCCTGCTCCAGTCATACATGGGCCTTGTCCAGGGTAAACCACAGGCAGTGCAGGAGTGCGTTCTCAGCTCCCAAGAGCTGGTGCTGTGGTTGGTGGGGAAAAGAGTAAGAATTGTGCAGACTATGCACTCAGATGGGTTCCTGACTGTGAACCCAGAGCCAGAACCTTCTCTGTTCCTTCAGAAGTCCTTCAATGTAAATTTAGTTTTCTTAAAGGATATTAAGGTAAATATTTGACTGACCCCATAAGGTAAGAATAATAAACGAGGTTCACTGGAAAGACTGATACCTTGGACTGTGTAAAAGCCTTCACACTTCAGTACACAGAAAAGGAAGGAGATAAATCCAAGGGGGACAAGTGCTATAACCAATGTGACAAAAGGTTAATGAAGTGTTTTTAGAAATCAGTAAAAACATAACCTCACTTTAAAAGTGGGTAAAAGTTACAAGCCACCTGTTAGAATAATAATTATACAAGCACACTTGTTTACTTCACTAGAAAGCAAAGCACAGCTGGTTCTCAGATCCCTCTTCTACCTGTTCATTTGGAAAAATGGGTTTTTAAAAAGGACAGTAGTCAGTGCTGTGAGGGGAGGGACCAGTGGCACTTGGGAATCCATGTGGCTGGTCCAGTTGGAGCTGTTGCATCTGCCTGTACCAGTGTCATCAGAGATGGAGACAGATATTTCCAGGAATGTTCTTTTCAGCCTAGTTTCAAATAACAAAGAATTAGGAACAACTTAAATGTCTAAAAACTGAAGCAGGAACAAATGTGCCTATTTGCAAAATGGTTGTTTTTTGCAGACACTGAAAATAATGTTTACAAGCTGAGTGTGGTATACACCCGTGATCTCAGGTACTGAGGAGGCTGAGGCAGGAAGACTGCAAGTTCGGATCCTGTCTGGACATCTTCTGAAATAATTTCAGAAAGGGCTGGGGATGTATTTTAGTGGTGAAGCACCCCTGGGTTTTTTGTTGTTGTTCTTGTTGTTTTTTGGTGGACAAGGCTTTTCTATGCAGTTCAGGCTGGCCTTGAACTCACTGTGTAGCCCAGGCTGGCCTCGAACTCACCTCAATCCACCCGCCTTAGCCTCCTGAGTGCTGGGATTACAAACATGTACCACCATGCCCGGCTTGCCCCTGGGTTGAATCCCCAGTACCACTCCCGCCCAGTTTTTCCCCTAAATGCACTTAATGATAGTTGTGTGTTCATAAGGCTATACCGAGTGAAAAAAGCCAGGAGTACCGTAGTCTTTGAGGATGATAGTGAGGATGACAGTGAGGAAAGGCATGGATATGAAAATGGCTGAGGATCCCACCACAAAGAAACAGAGAGGTCACAATAGGAAGTCGGATTTTTAATTTTCTTTTCTGCAGTTTTTTAAAAGTTCTTATTTTCCATGGGAAAACATATCTTTATAACCTAAAAGTGCAACTGAGAGCCTCTGTTGTCCTCAGTTCCTGCAGATGGCCTTGTGGTCCTGCCTGAGGGAGCTGCAGATGGTGCCAGGAACGCCTGAGGGTAGACTGTCCTTGCCGTGGGTGCACCTGGCCTACCAGTACTTCAGGACACGGCTGCAGAACTTCTCCCGCATCTTGACCATCCATCCCGCAGTCCTGCGCAGCCTCAGTGAAGATCCACCAAAGCACAACTTGGCTGGCTGCGAGATGGTATGGGCCCTCCCTGTGCTGAGGCATGTCAGACGATTGGCCTCTTTTCTGGGAGCAGAGGCATATGGGTCTGTGTCCCAGATGGGAGACTTCGCAGGCATGTGGGTCACGGAGCTCAGAGTTGTTTCAAACACATCTAACTAAGGCTTCCTACACCCCAGGACGCCACAGAGTAGTTTCCAAGCCTGGAACACAGAGCACCGTGCTGGGCTAACCACGGGGCCGTGGCCTGAGGATACAGCAGCTAAATAATGGGCAGGGAAGGGCCCCTGCTGTCCCACAGGACTGTTTTCTTTCCAGACACTGGACGCATTTGCAGCAATGGCCTGTGTGGAGAAGCTGACAGAAGACACCCTGAAGCCCACTCCCCAGGCCTGGCTGCAGCTGGTAAAGAACCTGTCCACACCCCTGGAGCTCATCTGCTCTGATGGGTACCTGCAAGGCAGCGGGGACATGACCAGAGTTCTCATCAGGGAGGTCAGGTGAGAACCTGGGACTCATCCTCTCATCCTGTGCCCACCAGTAGCTGCCATGTCCTGGCACATCCACACCGGGGTGAGCAGGCACACCTCCATGGGTAGGATTTTCCCTTCACACCCTACTTCATAGGCACTGAACCCTGGGAAGTGCCCAGAGTCTCATTAGACACCAAAGGAAACCTGCAAGAGCAGGACCGCTGTGTCCTGCTAGCCAGGGAGTGTTAGCCGGTCCTTATTGTGAGGCCCTTTAAGGGTCACTGTGACAACAGGGAATAGTCAAAAAGGACAGCAAGGACAAGACGGCAAGTGGAGAGGGGCAGACCATCAGGCTGGACTTTAGAGCAAGGAGGGACTTAGCAGGGGCAGGGCTAGTGGGCCTCGGTGGCGTTGAACACAGGACACTGAGCCTTGTGTGAGCTGAGTATCCAAGGGACAGTACATATCCAGGTAATGATCCTCCCGCTGGCCTTGTCTTCTCATCCTCCTGGACCTGCTATCTCTTTCTCTCTGCTCCTCATGTCCTGAGCTCTCTTGTCAGCTGAGCAAATGACTTTCCTCTTTTGACAGAAACCAGTGGAATCGCATCTTCTCTGTTTCGCTCTTTGTGGAGCACGTACTGCTAGGGATCAAAAGCCAGGTACCTTCGTTGAGCCAGCTGGTGACCAAGTACGTCTTCCAGCTGGACAAGGTGAGTCCTGGGGCTGGTCTCAGCTATGGATGTGAGTCCATGTTTGGCAGGATGAAACGTCACCAAGGCACCCTCACAGGTAACTGGCCTTGCTCTGTCCTCTTGCCATGATACCCAGCAGTGCTGGGTGAAAGGAAAATGATTTCAGTAACTGACCACTACATTTCCAGTGTTTGGTTGTCTGTTAACCCTCCTCTTTGGTACGTCAAGGTATATCATTAAGGCCCCAGTGCCGGGATAGAAATGATAATGGGGTGTTTGAGGAGGGATGCAGAAACTGGCTGTAGTGGCCACCCCAGAGCAGATGAGCAGCCTAGCTCCTGGAGAGCAGTCTCCAGTGCCATGGTGAGGATGACAGCGATGCAGGAGATGACACTCTGGGGTTGGAGCCTTCATGATACGGTGCTATTAGTGGAACCAAAGGAGCAGGAAGCCATTATGCCTCTGCCTTCAGGCAACTTTAACAAAGCCAAAGATGCTGCAGCACAGTGGTCTTGTACAAAAAGCCACTGTTGTGGGATTCTCTCAGAGAGGCTGGACACCAAGGCTTTTTCCAGGAAGTAGCTTTGTTTGTACTAGAATGGGCCCAGCGGATTCGTATCCAAAGGCTGAGTGTCCAGCATGGCGGGGTCTTACCCTTTATAGACTTCTTGGGTCTTTGTCTCCCTTCTATGGTAACACACTAAGAAACTGCAGCCAGGCTGGGTACAACCTATGTTACATAACTGTACTAGAGCTATGCATGAACACATAGGAGCTAATTGTGCCACATCAACTTTGTCTACTCTAAGAAAGTCCATAGTCCTTGAAGGTCTACATTTTTGATGGTTCACATTCCCTAAGGCGGGAGGCTCTGCCACATTTTTTAGGGAGGAGCCCTACCACACCACCAACTGAGTGAGCGAGCTGTCCACCAGCAATGCCACGCAGTGTAGCACAGACTCTGCGTCTCTCACCCATGACCTCACCCCATAACTTTCCCATGAGCACACCTAAGAGGATCACAAGTTTGAGGCTAGGGAAGTGGAGAGAGATGGTAGAGATGGTAGAGACAGATTCCCTGGTGTGTGGTCTGCTTTCCTGGGTGTCACACACAACAGTTGATTTTGACACAGATCACCAGGGCCTGTCTGTCACAACCGTGTCCTTACAATCCACCACCCAACCTCCAGGCCCCTGCAATATGTTTTTTTATGTTGTAAAATATACTAGCGTGAAATGTACTATCACCACACCACCATCCAGCTCCAGAACTTTTTCATCTTTCCAAACTTAACTCTGTCCCCATTAAACACTAACTTCTCATTCCTTCCTCCCCAGCCCTTGGCAACTGCCATTCTACATTTCTATCTCTAGGAGTTTGACTACAGAGGGATCTGACATAGCAAGTTGTACAGTATTTGTCTTTTTGTGTCTGTTTTATTTCACTTACATCATGTTTTCAGGGTTCATCTTTGCTGTAACAGGTGTCAAGAGTTTCCTTCCTTTTCAAAGTTGAATAAGATTATATCGTATGGATGGGCCACACTTTGTTATCCATTCCTCTGTTGACAGATACTTAGGTTGCTCCATCTTACAATAATTCTGTGTTTAACTTTGAGGGCCTACTTCACTGTTTTCCATGTTTATTTTAGTATCTCCTTCCCCAGCCCCACCCCTGTTGCTGCACTGGAGTTTGAACCCAGGTCCTCTCCTTGAATTGCGTGCTTGGTCCTTTTTATTTTTTGAGATAAAGGTTCACTAAGTTGCCCAGGATACCTCAAAGTTGGCAATCCTCCTGCCTCAGGCTCCTACGTAGCTGGGAATCCAGGCATGCCATAACAAATTCCATTATACATTTCTACCAGCAGTGCACAAGATTCCAGTTGCCTTACATCCTGGCCAATACTTGTTCCATTTTTTTATAGCCATCCTAATGGGTGTAAAGGAGTAGTTCACCATGGTTTTGGTTTGCATTTCCATAATGACCAAGGATACTGAGTGTCTTAGTAACTTTACTCATTGTTGAGACAAAGTATCCAACACCCAAAACTAAAGGAAGAAAAGTTTATTTTTGCTCATAGTTTGTAGAGGTTTCAGGCCATGGTCAGCAGGCTCCAAGACAAGGCAGCATGGCAGAGGGGCATCACAGAGGAGAAACAGTCCATGGCAGGGCAAGCAGGATGCAGCAAGCAGCAAAGCAAGCCAGCCTCCTTTCTGTCCCTGTATATTCCATCCAAGCCACCCACACTGAATGTGGGGGTTCTGTCTTTAGTAAATTCTTTTGGCCACACCCAGAACTATGCTAATTCCAATCAGTGGGCTAATTTAGTACCACACACACCCTTAATCCTAGCATCACACACCCTAGATCCAGCCACCTCCAAACTCTACCTGTGAACACATGAAGCTTTGGTGGGACCTCTAGATACAAGCCATAACACTGAGCATCTTTTCATGTGCTTTTGGAGCATTTATATCTTGTCTTTGGAGCAATATCTAACTAAACTCTCTGCCAATTGTTTGAATTGGGTTGATAATAAACAAATGGAATTTAACCAGGTATTAAGGCCACACAACATGATCCTGGGAATTCAAGGAAGGCTTGAAATATTTAAATCTATATGTGTTAACAGGCATGTAATTTAAAACGTAAATTCTATAAACAATCATTTCAAGATTTGGAAAAGATATTCTTGGCAAACTAAGAACAGGGAACTCTTTTTGCTTAATCTTATCACGCACAGTGGAATACTTAACATGAAACACCTATGCAAGCATCATGCCTAACCACAAACCTCCAGAAACATCATTAAACTTACTCCTATTGTTGAAGATGTATTCATCCTACCAACTGATGTTTCCATTTCTAGATATATCCTGAAGAAACTCTCCTTTTTTCTCTTTCTTTGTTTTTCAAAATTGCTGATATTTCTTAAAGGTTATTTGTGTATTCAAAGGTGGTTATAATATTTTTATTGTTACATAATAAATTATTATGTAGAGTTTGAAGTATCTCATAATGAAGATGGGGTGGACCTAAAAAGAAAAGAGCAGAGAAAAAAATCATCACAGGTGGCATTTGTATAAAGTGTGCAAAATTATCTGGGCATGGTGGCATATACCTATAATCTTAGTACTTAGGAAGCTGAGGCAGGAGGATTACAAGTTCAAGGCCAGCCTGTCAAACTAGGTGTCCCCAGCCTGTTCCTCTGCTGCTGGGACACACTCCTCACCTGGCCACCACCCTTTCTCCACTCTGCCCGGCCACTCACACCTCTTCATCACCACCTTTCTCCCCAGTGTCTTCAGGAGAACTCAGACATCAAGACTCACAGGCCTTTTGTAGCTGTAATGACCACTCTTTGTGAATGCAAAGAGCAAGCCAGCAATACCTTTTCCAGGTGAGATCTGTGGCCTGTGACCTGTGGAGGCTAGAACACTATGCTTCTGGGGGCGTCACTCATGGCCAGCTTCACTGCCTCCAGACTAATTGCCTTCCCTGTTCCAGGTTTGGTATTCACCCGTGCCCCATCTGCCTGGGAGATACACAGGACCCCGTGTGCCTGCCTTGTGACCATGTGTACTGCCTGGCTTGCCTCCGAACCTGGCTGGCCCCTGGGCAGATGCTCTGTCCTTACTGCTTAACGGCCCTGCCAGACAGCTTCTCTCTGACTATTTCTCAAGAGCACAGGTAAAGCTCCCTCTTAGAAAGCTCTCCTCTTTTTTCAAATATAATACTCAGAAATGTAATCACTACTAACCATCATTTGATAGCAAGCCTGCCTACAGAGGGCTTTGGAAGAGCCACTGGCACCCACATAGTTTCCTAGATGTCAGGGCCATTGAGTTCATCACTCTGCCAGATGTCTACACATATCGACATGGAGACAGGAAGATCATATGACCAGAAAGTCATAAATTAAAGCCCTTGAAAAGAGAGCCATGGGATTTACATAGAGCTGGTCTTTTTCTCCTCCATACTGGGGCTAGGCCCAGGGCCTCGCACATGCCGGGGAAGTAAGTGCTCTCCACAGATCTCTGTGCAGAGCCCCAGTGTATGACCTTCTGCTGGGTAAGGCCATACATGTTCTCTGGCTTGAGGGTGACACCAGTTCTCACCTGGCTTCACAGTGGGAAAGCATCCTAGCCCTGGGCCTTACTTCCTCTGTGATTGCTTTTCCTTCCTTTCCCTCCCAACAGAAGGGTCTTTTGACATGTTTTAGACATACAAGGGGACCACTGGCGGGGCCAAGTGACCTAGCCATTCCTAGGAAGAGATGAGGCAGATGCTCTCTGTTGTTATTTTGACAACCAGCACATGGAGCTACCAGCACCTGTTTACTTAAAACTGAAATGTTGTCCCAGTCTCTGACCACTCTGCATGGAGAGATGTGGGGTCCTGTGACGGAGCCTCTCCTCTGTTCCCAGAGAGGCCGTGAGGAAGCATGCCCACTTCCGGCGCATGTGCAACAGCTTCTTCGTGGACCTGGTCTCCACCATGTGCTTCAAGGACAATACTCCTCCTCAGAAGAGTGTGATCGACAGCCTGCTGTCTTTGCTCTTCATACAGAAAGAGATCCTGAGAGACACCCTACAGAGTGAGTGGGTTTCTTCTTGTAGCCCAGAGCTCGGTTTTTCTCCCCCTTGTACTGTAACTGAACAGTGGCTCCCACTTTCTGGCCACAGGGCGCCGTGAACACACAAAATCTCTTTCCCCATTTGACGACGTTGTGGATAAGACCCCTGTCATCCGCTCCGTGGTGCTAAAGCTGCTGTTGAAGTACAGGTAGGTGCGGTTCACTGGAAGGTTCTATAGAGCTTTAGCTTCATTTGTGCCATCAGGTCTTTGCCCAGGCCACCAAATGTCCCTCTCAGGACACAGAGCTGGGTTGTGGTTGGGGAAATGCTCCCTTTGGTGTGAGGGAATCTGGCTTGTGTTGCTGGGCTGAGGTACAGGTGCATGTGTAGCAAGAGAACAGCTTGCCACCTAGGGACCAAGGGATGGGTCACTGAGCTCAGAACTGTTTTTGAAATAACACTGACAGGACAGTATTTACCTTTTTCAACAATATTTGCCTTTTTCAACACAATGGTATTCGCAGTAGCTTTCCCAAAGCACAGGCTGGTGAGCATTGGCCTCTCAGCACAGAGGAGATGGTAGCAGGAGTGGTTTGCGTGCCTCAGTGCACACGGAGTCTCCCAACATGTTGGTTTCACTTCCTAAATCTTGACCCTCCATACAACTTCATATTGTTTGCAGAAACGGGAAATTCACACAGCAAACCCTAGCTTAGTACCAAAGGACAATATATATCTCAGAAAGTCTCTCAAGATGAGGCCAGCTAAAAAATCTAAAAAACAAAAAGATGAGGCCAAGTAGCCTGTGCCTAATGAGTGACTCTCAGGCCACAGGGTGAAGCTCTTAAGTGAAAATTAAAGTGTTAGAAAACTCTATGTTGAGCTGGTTAGTTAGCTTTCTAATACTTAGATTTTTGAGGTGATTTGTTGTGATATCAATGCATTTGGGTGAAGTATTTTTGTCTCCAATGTGTAGAATAAAAATGTGTCAGCATTGCAAGATTTGCCTAGCTCAGCAAACCAGGACTTTTCAAATGATCAGTGCTTGATGTCACAAAAGAAAGATACAGGGGCTCAAAGGTAGAGGGTTTGTCTAGTGTATGGTGAGGCCCTGGGTTCAATCTCTGGCACTGGGGAAAAAAAAGTCCATTTCAATTGTAATGTTGACCATCTGACTTTAATATAATTTACTATGACAACTGGTCTAATAACAGTGTCAGGTTCCACAACCAATGTTTAAAAACAATTGCTTATCAAGTCTCAGTAATGTATCAAAGAAGATATGCACAGTTAGCTGCCAATATTTCTCCTTTTCTAACTACATCATATGTGAGGTCAGAATTTCTTCATATACTTTTACAGAACTGATTGGAGTCAGAGGTAGGTATGGGAAATCAAATGACCTCTGTTAAGCCAGTCATTAAAGAGATTTGCAAAACAAACTTCGAAAAATGTGATTATTTGAATAAGTAACAGGTTTATTCTTGTTGTCATTAATGAGTCATTAATTATTTTTGGAAGTTTTTAGTTTTAATTTCTGATACCATTAGTATTGATAGATACAACCCATACAGACAAAATCTCCTGTGGTTATCAATAATTGTTAAAAAAAAAAAAAAGTTGCTAAGCATGTGAAAGGATCTTGAGACTAAAACATTTGAGAACAGCTTATCTAATATATGGAATTTCACACTGTAGTAATTGTCCTAATATATTTTTATAAAGTTAATGTGATATATATATATAAATTCTTTCATTGCTGGGACAAAATACTGGACCTCTCTAGGTTAAAGGAGGAGAAGTTTATTTTACCTCACAGTGTGTAGAAGTTTTGATTCATAGTTTGCTGGATCAAAGGAGGTTGGCATGGCAAAGAAAAAGAGCTTGTGGTGTGGTAGGTAGAAAACAGCAGGACTTCCTTCTTTCCCTTTTTATTCCATCCATGCTATCAGCATATTGGTTGGTACCACCTACAGCCAGAGTGGGTCTTTCCTCTTTGATAAATCCATCATCCACACCCAGAACTATGCTAAACCAATCAGAAACTAATTCAGTATCACGTATTCTTCTTTTTTTTTTTCCTGTCTTTTGGAGACAGCATCTCGCTATGAGTTCAGGCTGGCCCTTGAGCTCACTTTGTAGCCCAGGCTGGCCTCAAATTCGAATTTGCAATGATCCTCCTGCCTCAGCCTCCCAAGTGCTGGGATTACAGGCATGAGCCACCACACCCAGCTACAGTATCCTGATCCAGTGTCACACACATGATCAGTCACTCCCAGAAGCCCCATCTCCTAGCACATGAAGCTTGGGGGGACATCTAGATATGAGTCACAACATGTAGTATACATTTACACATACCCAGATGGATAGACTACAGATTGATAGATAGGTGCTTTCTTTTGTAAGATAAGTCTCAAGATCCCATGTAACTGAGAATAATAATTTTTTTCTGTCCACAGTTTTCAGGATGTGAAGAATTACATTCAGGACTACCTATCCCTGCTAGAGAGCAAAACATTCATCTTAGAAGACAAAACTGAACTATATATGCTCTTCATCAACTGCCTAGAGGTAAGCTGGCTGTTACTTCCCTGGGTCCCTTGAGCAAAGTATCTGAACAGTGTAGTCTGTGCAATGAAAAACTGTTTAAGGAAAACAGCATATTGTTTTAGTCAGTACAGTGATCAGATGCTCTGTTTGTAGGGGGATGGAGTTCCTTAGCTCTGAGCAACTATATATGCAGTCATGAGCTTCTTAATGACATTCTGGTCACCTGCTATTGACAGTGAGATGATAGCACCTAGTGCCACCGAAGCTATCTTCTTTTGTGTAAGTGTGCTCTGGTATCTGCACAACCATCCTCTTAGCCATGCCCTTCTCAAAAGCTGCATGGTTGTTGTGGGGTGCAAGGGCATGTAGCCATCCATGTGCACACAGCCTAGGAGAAGGCACCACTGAAGTCAACAAAGGTTATCACCAGGTGCTGAGATTATGAATACTTCTTATTGTTGTCATATTTTATTCCCAAAATGTTTACACTACATATGAAACAAACTGGACAATACAAAAATGTTTCTTTTTCTTTCCCCTAAAATAGAAAGGGATATTAGTTTCCCATGAGTAAAAAGATTTACATTCAGATCTATGATATTGTTTGTTTCCTTTATCTCTGTAGAAGCCTGCTGTGTGATAGTAGGCTTACCTCTTAGAAAGAATTGTGTCCTTTGCTTTCTTGTTTTCTGTTTCTTAGGATTCAATGCATGAGAAGACCAGTTCTTGCTCCAGGAACAATGAGCTGAGCTACCTGAGAGAGGAAGCCAATTTCCTCCAGTTGTGCTCCCGTACGAGACATGGCCAGGAATCTGCCACTGTGGCCTCCATCGAGTACCTGCAGGAGTTGGCCAGGATCCGCCTGTGTCTCGACAGGGCTTCTGACTTCCTCACGGAGTTACCCGAACATCCAGGCACGTCTATTATTTAGCTCAAAGTATGGGAAGCCTGTTCTAGAGGCGATCCTAGTTTTCCCTGCACCTTTTTTCTGGGTGTGTTCTGCACCATTGGTCCCTACATCACTCTTGCCCTGATCTTTCAGAGCTGGCTGAGGAGCGGCAGCGCTACCTGCAGAAGGTGCAGCAGTTCTGTGTCCGCAGCGGCAACGACTGGTACCGTGTGTACCTAGTGAGAAAGCTCTCCAACCAGCGTGGGATGGATTTTGTGCAGAGCTTCTCCAGGCAGGACCACCCCTGCCACTGGGTGTTTCCCAAAGAAGTCATCACAGAGCAGGTGTGATGTGGGTCACCTAAGACATGGGGAACCCTACAGGACACCCAAGCTGGACCTGGTGCAGCCACCCCTGCATGCTGCCCCCCATTCCAAAATGGAGATGGGCATGTGTCTGTCTGATCTTTGTCTCTGTACTCCAGCAGAGGTTTAGCTCTCTTGCCATATGGCATGGGAGGCATGCGCACGTGTGCACACATGAGTATGTGTGTTTCTGGTTTGCTGCTTGCTTTCAGAGTTTACGTAGGCATCCTCCTTATCATATTAGACACAGTAAAAGAATCTTTGCACAGCCTTTGCTTTGAGCAAATGGACAGTGGCTCAACTTGCAGGGTTGTCATTGTAACCTCTGCCAGGCAGAGACAGGAGGACTGAGAAGGACACATGATTGCACCAAGTTTGGCTTTAGGCCCTTTCAGCTTCCTTTCCTGGTACTCAGCAATTAGAGTGGCCTTACTGACACAGCCCTGGGGTTACAAAATGGCACTAGAAATTCTGGCATTTTTATGTTAGCAACTGCGGCTCAGAGGTGACAATGACACATTGTGTGTCATCTGGGCTTGGTGTGGTGCTGTGAATAGAAAAAGCCACCAGCTAGAAAATCAGCATGGCCCCTCCCTGGACTCTTCACCCATTGCAGAGACTGCTTTCCCCCAGAGAGCCCTGGCCTGTCGTGCATGGGGCACCCAGGCACTCCCAGCTCAACCATCTCCAAACCTCTGATGATTACTGGGCATCATTACCCATGGTGATCAACAGTTCTTCACAAAGTGTCATTGCCTTGTCCCCTCTGAACTAACCCCTGTCCTCCTGGGATTGCAGAAGGAGCACCTAAGCCAGATGGATGGATACCTGGTATACGGTGAGGAATACAAGGCCGTTCGTGATGCTGTCGGCCATGCCATGCTCCAGTGCAAGACTCCAGGCATCGGGACTGCTCTAATGGTAGGCTGGTCATGTCCTCTCGCCAGGATGGTGGCCCTCTTGGAGCCTGTCTCTTGCCTGCATTATGCACAGTGGTACAGGGTGATGCACAGGAGCAGTGAGCAGACTCTAGAGTGACACTGTGTATCAAGAATTCCAATGGCTGGAACAGGGAGCAGGGACAGCTGTGTTGGGCTGGTTGGTTACTTCCTTTGAGTTCCTCCTGAAAATTCATTTCCTCCAGGGTCCTCTGATATGAAAGATGCTCACTGAGTCTGTACCTGTATACAATCACAATTCATAGCTTTATGTGTGTTTATTTTGATAAAGATGCAGGGTTTTTAGAGTGCTTGCTTTTAAATTGTTACAGTCTTGCTTCTTCTTTGAGTCCCTGTTCCCCCTGGCATTGGTGGGAAAGAGGAAATAGAATAGCCTATTCCTGTGCAGGAAATGTTTCCAACACCAGAGAAGCAGCCAGAAAGAGAACAGATGTTGATTCCTGTTCTTTCTGTCTTCACCTGTCTGGTCAACATGCGCTGAGTTTGGACTGAGTATATTTGGTGAACCTCACAGCCCCAGAGTTCTTTGCCGAGGTGAAGATCTCTGAGGCGCATGGTCCAGGGCCCTGGGGCCTAGGAAAGGTGCCCTCTCCCTTGGTAGTTTGAAGACTGAGTCTCTGTTCACATGCAAATCGCATGGGTCCTGGCCCTTGGGTAGAGGCTTGTAACTATTTTGGTACTGGCTACTAAACTCAGGGCCTTCTTCACACTGAGCTACATCTCCAGCCCTTTTTTGAAAGAGGATGTCACTAAGTTGCCCTGGCTGGGTTCAAACTTGTGATCTCCTGTCATGGTCTCCCAGAGTGGTAGTGTCCATCACCAGCAGGTGTGCACTAGCAGGTGTGCATCACCATACCCAACTGAACCCTGTCCCTACTGATTTTTCACTTGATACCCATCTCTTTGCAGGCCTGCAGTAGCCCAAGGCCCCAGCAAGCGGTCTACTTATTGCTGGCACTGTACAGAGAGGTAGCTGCTCTGTTCCACTTCCACAGTACAGCCCTCCATCCTAAACCAGAGGTAAGTGACCGTCTTCAGGGCTTAGGAGAGGACCCTTATATGAAGAGACTTTTTTTTATTTTTTTTTATTTTTTTTTATTTATTTTTATTTTTATTTTTTTTTTTGGTTTTTCTCCGGTACCGGGAACCGAACTCATGACCTTGCGCTTGCCAGGCAGGCGCTTTGCCGCTGAGCTAAATCCCCAGCCCCGAGACTTTTTTTTAATACAATGAAAGTCACAAACACAAATTATGCCCCTGGTTTTTTTATCTAGGATAGAGGTTTTCAACCTTGTTATATGGAAGTCCTATTTTGTATTTATCCCAAAGCTTACAGAATCATCATGAAACAAAAGTCAAGAATGTAAGATAATATTTACCAAAACAGCTTATGAAAAATTTGACTTAGGTATGTAGTTACTGTGTCTCTACATGAGAAATTCTTCTCTGAAATTTTTCTCCTCAATTGATGATAATTTAAGCATATTTATCTTGATATTTATTACATATTTGGTGTAAAAATGAGTGACTCACAGAGCACAAGCCTGGAATTCCCAGTCCTCTGTGATACAACCTAATGTGAAAATGTTTCCTGCCAGCAATGTGAAGCTCTGAATAAATTCATTGAGGAAAGCAAACTCCTCTCTCCTGAGACCCAATGCTTTGCCACACCCCTTGTGGACAATACTCTGCCTCTGCTGCACATGGGGCCTGGCGCTGGCAGCCTTGAAGGAACAGTGGCAGAAATGGCCATTCACACTGCAGCCGTCCTTCTGTGTGGACAGAACAGCGTCTTGAAGCCCCTAAGGAATTTGGCCTTCTCCCCGGCCACCATGCAGGTAAGACCAGGCTCTGACTGCTTCGGCTTTTCATGGTAAAAATTCTGTGTTTTGTCACTGTAAAGACTAAGCCTGTATCTTGGGGACTGTTGAATCTGTTTGCCTTCTGGTTTCTCTCTACCTTTCTGTGCTGCTTTGCCTGTAGTGCTGCAGACTTGCCTGCTCTGTGCTCTCTGTCACATGTACCCTCCACGCATCCTACGTAAATCGCTTTGGTGGAGGTGGAGAAGAAACGTTAAGTTAGTTCACGGATGCACCTTGAGACCATGATGCTAAGAGAAATCAGACACACGATGTTAAATAGCACATAGCTCTCTAACCTGAGAGACCCCATGTATCAGTCATTTAAAGAACAAAGTAAGAGAGAGATGCAGGAAACGGGAAGTGAACTCAGAGTGGGAAGAGGACCTGGGGGAAGAAGAAGAGAGCAGTGTGAGGGGTGAAGGAGGAGGAAAGATGATTAAGGTGTGATATGTGTATAATATACCAGTTCCCCCAGATGAATGCAATTAGTATGTGTCACAAACACACGAATAAAAAATACATTTAAAAAAGTAAAAGAGTTGTACTTCCTATCTGTTGGCCTCCAGCAGCCTGGCAGGATGCCCATTCACCTGGCCTCTGCCTTTGGTTTTCTAGAATGCTTATCTTCCAACCATGCCTGAAGACCTGCTGGCCCAGGCCCGGAACTGGAGGGGTCTGGAACTTCTCCGCTGGTACAGTAAGTGTGGGGTCGAGGTGGAGCACTGTCCTTGCAGCTTTGAAGAGCAGCTTGCAGCCACACTAGAACTTGAATTGGGCCTGAGCTCCCCTGTGGTTCTGCCTGAGAGTTCACAGTCACTTTTCCCCTCCTGCCTTTGGCAGCTGGCAGAGTATGCTTGGCTTGAAGGACCCTGTACTCTGGTGGGTAGATAATTCAACTCTTTCCAGTTCTCCATCATGGGAAGGGAACCTGGGCATGGCCTTCTCCTCTCTGGAATATGCAGGCTGAAGAGGGGTACTGGGAGCTACTCTGAGGTTCACTCCAAGGCCAGTCACAGTGCAACAGGCTTTGACCCAAAAGCAGCTCTTTCAAAGTCAAGCTAGAGGCAGGCATGATGACATATCCCTATAATCCCAGCACTCTGAGAGGCTGATACAGGAGGATTCCAAGTTTGAGCCCAGCCTGGGCAACTTAGCAAGACCCTGTCTCAAAAAATAAGAAAGGGCTATGGATATAGCTCATTGTGGAGGTGCTGGGTTCAATCCCTGGTATCACAAAAGGAGGGGCGGGAAGGAGAGGCGGGGGAGGGAAGGGAGGAAAGGAAGGAAGGAGCTAGAAGATGGAATAATATAACCCATGACTTTATATGAATTTTGTTGATGCATTGGGTAAAATATAAAATAGTCTTTTGGAACTACTTTTTAAAGTTATGACATTTTAATGTCCTTGCTTTGTTTTGTTTGTATTTTGCTATTGTTCTTTTTTTTGTTGTTTTTACTATTCTCTTTAAAATAAAAAAAGTTATGACAAAACATGTTCATAGAGAAGAAAAGCCAAGAAACTGGTAAAATATAGTCAGACACAGTGGTACACACCTGTAACCTTAGCTACTCAGGAAGCTGAGGCAGAAAGATTGAAAGTTTGAGCCCAGGCTCAAACTTGGCAAGACCCTGTCTCAAAAATACAAAGGGCTCCAGGATAGACGATACTGTCTACCCTGTCACCTAGTGACTCCTGACATGAATCTGCAATCTGATTTCTCCTAGCATTTGTAAAGTTAGATTAAAACATTCTTCTCTAACATTTATTGAGCTCTGGGGTAAATGGCCAGTAACTCACCTGGCAGCATAGTTCAAGAGTCTGCTAAGGTGTTCAGAATGCCTCTTATTCATCATACTTCGGTCAGGAACAGAGAGCAGAGCATTAGCTTTCCCTTCCCATGTTGGAAGCTCCCAGCCAACATGTGTCTCTTATCTCTCAACAGCTTGTCCCAATGGTCACCCATGCACTGTAGGAGAGGTGAGTCTTGGCATTAGATGGGCGGATGAAGAAAATGCGTCCCTGAGGGTTGGGGGCAAGAAGGGTGTGGAGGTGAGGGTCTCTGCTTCCTAGGAACTGTGTCAGTGCTGCCACTATGTAGCTGTGGTACTCCAGGTTTCAGCCCTGGATTTCTCCCTGGGTGCTGAGTATATGGGTCTTCACTGCACTGCTGGTACTGTGCATGGTAGGGTGCCTAGCAGCCCTCCTGACTCAGCTCACCAGGGCAAGAGTAACCCCTCCGTGCAGTGGACCACAGGAATGTCTCCAGGGTCAGGGATATAGCTCAGTGGGGATATAGCATAAGTGCCTGCCTGGTAAGTGCGAGGTCCTGAGTTCGATTCCCAGTACCCCCCCCCCACCAAAAAGTGTCTCCAGACCTTGCCAAAGGTCCCCTGGGCCACAGAGGGCTGCTGGCTGGCGTCAGTAGCATAGAATAGCCTCCTGTCAGCTGGACTCTAGCCAGGCAGAAGGTGTGGCCTGGTACCAGATTGAGAGAGAGAGAGACTTGTGGAGGGAGAGCAGGGTTGGAAGACTGTGTCTCATCTCTGAATTCTAGAGCATCTCCTGGGGCCTCCTTATGGCACATCCACGCTTGCTGAGCAATGGGTTACTACAGGGAACCAACATTTGATAAGCCAGAGAGATGCAGGGAAATCTTGATAGAAATGCTTAGTCTTTCTGAGCTTCATTTCCTTCCTTGACTGTGAAATGAAATAGAAATAGATTCTTAGCCAGTCGTGGTGGCACCTACTCATAACCCCAGTACTCTGGGAGGCTGAGGCAGGAGGATTACATGTTTAAGTGCAGTCTGAGCAAGTTAGCATCTCAGAAATACCCTGTCTCAAAATAATTTTTAAAAGAGATGGGTATATAGCTTAGTGCACAGGCCCTGGATTTAATCCGTAGTCCCACCCACTCACCCCCAAAAAAGAAAGCTAGGTTGGTAGGTAGATAGATTGATTCTTAGCTCTAAATCCATGGTCTGGGAAACTGTGCCTGTTGTAGGTGGAAGTTCACAGTACCCAGCAGGACACTATTGGACTTTGAAAAATGGGCTTTTGGTAGCAGTAAATCTTGTGGTTGAGTTTCATTGTTTTTATTTGTTTTTTTAATAACAAAGTCCATTAGATGTAAAGATACGCATTTAGAAGCTATTTGTACGGTTATTCATGGTGTTACATAATGAAGCATTATGATACATACAAGAATGGAAAAAAGTGATGACAAGGAGTAAAGAAGGTGGAATCATATATTTGTCTGTAGAATGCTTCTCTTTGCAATTAAAACTTAGTCAGGCTTAAGTTTTAAAAAATAAAAGTCCATATCAGCATGTTTGCTGTAAGTGACCACCCTGTCCCCAAGGCTCTTGTACCCCCTGAAGTCCGTATGTCCCAGGAGAGGCCGTCCAGGGCAGGCGTCACTGAGTAGTGGCTCCCACACTGACCTCGTGTCCTGCTGTCCCCCCGTAGTGCGGCATGCCAATGCAGCAGGCCCGCTGTGTGGACTGTCACGCTCTAATTGGAGGCGTCAATCACAGACCCGAAGCCGGCTTTCATGTCATCCAGTACGTAAGCTTATTTCCTTCCTAGGAATCACAACCTTGGGCTCTGGGGCTGTTTCTGTTCCAGCTGAGAAATCAATGCCAGCTGTACAGGGTCACACATTTGCACCTGTGTTCTGTTGGGTCTCAGTGGCAAGGTTCCTGTAGTCAGATAGTAGTAAGATGTTTCATCTGTCGTTGGCCTTAAATACAAAACAGATGACACATTCATTCTTACTAAGAAGGCCTTCCATATGGGCTAAGGGTTGAGCTTGTAGAAATTTACACGGCGTAAAGAGGTAACCTCATTTAGACTAACATTTAAGTCTGCAAGACCAAAACCCAGGAGTGGTTCTCTGGAGTGCCTCATTTGTAAACTATCTTAGCATCCTCCTGTTTTTGTTTTTTAATTTGAGGATATTGAAGGACACATAATTAATCTTGGCAGATAGCCTCGGTATCTACGGGGTTTGGTTCCAGGACACTGCCCTCCCAGATACCCAAACATCATGTTTCTTATATAAAATACCATAATATTTGCATACCCTATGCATGTCTTCCCATGCACTTCAAGTCATCTCCAGTTTCTTATAACCCTAACAAAATGTAAAAGCTGTAGACATACTTACTTGGCTATATTGTTTAGGGAATACAGATGAGAAAAAAGCCTTTACATGTTTAGTACAGATGCAGTTTTTTCAAATATTTCTGATTTGTTGTTGGTTGAATCTACAACCTATTTATAGGAAAGCCCTCTGTACCAGCCTTTAGAATCTAGACAAAAATCTGACCTCACAGTGCCTTGCTTGCACCTGAGGTGGGTGTGGTACCAGCACTCCCCTTAGATGGCTGGTGGGACCTACTTGTAGTCACTGTACATCCAACTTCTCTGGTATCATCAGAGCTCAAAATATCCTAGCTTGTGCTGGGTGTGGTGGCACATGCTTGTAATCGCAGCACCCTGGGAGGCTAAGGCAGGAGGATCACAGTTTCCAGCCTGGGAAACATAGGACCTTGGAATTCCTATCTAAATTTTTTCAAAAGGTTGGCTGTGTAGTTCATGTGAAGGCCCTGGATTCAATTCCCAGTACCACAAAAAAAAAAAAAAAAAAAAAAAAAAAGAGAGAGAGAAAAATCTAGCCTTTTATCACCATAAGCTATTAGGATTTCATCAGATCACTAAATTTTTGTAGCTGAATGTATCATACTGCATCTTCTTTCTGGACATGGTATAGTTTTGCCTGGGTATGGTGGTACAGTCACTAGATAGTGCTATCTTGGCCAAAAGAAAGGAAAAGACAGTAGTTTTTTTGCCAGACCTTTTGTCCAGGATTTTCACTTGTGAAGATGACATGAATTTGTAGACATTCCCCCCATGATGTACGTGTCCCAAACTCTATCTGACCTGAGACAGGTGCAGGCCTCAGCTGACACACTGAGATCACCACCAGTTGCCCCTTTACAATGAGACCTTTGTGGGTAAGAAAGGTAAGTCTGGGGGACTGGGGATTTAGCTCAGCGGCAAAGCGCCTGCCTGGCAAGCGCAAGGTCGTGAGTTCGGTTCCCAGTACCGGAGAAAAAAAAACCAAAAAAAAAAAAAAAAAAAAAAGAAAGGTAAGTCTGAAAAAAAAAGACCCTTAGGCAGGTGGTCTAGATATAAAGAATAAGAAGTGCTTTTTACATTATTTTCTTCAGAACTGGAGACATAGTCTTTATTGCATCTTCTCTCATCCTTTCCAGACCAAATGGAGACAGAACTCAGAGTGGCCATGTGCTGGGCAACCCACAGCCCAGAGGGGTGGCCGTGGCACCTGACCGGGAGCTGTCCCCAGTTGTCTTCATTCTCCTCCGGCTGCTTACTCATTTGGCTCTGCTGCTGGGAGCTGCCCAAAAACCCAAGGTACCACTCACCACTGCCCCAGCACTCGGTTTTGTGCAAGCAGAACCTTCTGCACTTCCTCATCTCTTTTGTCTGAGGAGTCCTAGCCACTGTCTAGATTTTGACTAAGTCATTGATACCTAGTCCATAAATACTACAGTATTTCCATTTCCTAATTTTCTTCACAGTGGCATATGATGAAATGTGGAACTTCCTCTTCAGATTACATAAAATCCACTTTATTTTTTAATTTTTAAAATGTAGTTTCATTTTTAAGTGATACAGGCCATTGTGTGTATTTATAAGATACAGTGTGACACCTGAGTGCATGTATACAGGTGTCGAGAACAGATCATAAAACCAAGGACACAGCACCATATCCTTGGTCCACACTAGGTGTGGGGAGGGTGGTAGGGTCATACGTCTCCCACAGCTTTGAGGCTATAGGGGAAGAAGCAGGAGTGCTAAGCAGAGAACGGAACTTGGGTAAGAGCAAAGCCAGCAGCAGCAGCTGCTGTTTGTGTCATGAGTGGATCACTCCATGACCTCACCCTAGAAGCCGCGCTCCAATTCAGGGTTGGTGTGTACTTGTGAGGGCCTCTCCTGAGCTCACTTCTGATCTACATATGACACTGAGTTTGGTTGTCCCACAGGTTCTGGGGAACATCATTAAGCCTCCAGTGGCAGACCCAAAGGCTTTTCTGCAGCAGCACATCCAGAGGGATCTGGAGCAGTTAACCAAGATGCTGGGGAAGAATGCTGATGAGACCTGCCTCGTGGTCCACCTTGTTCTGCGCAGGCTTTTCAGAGTGCAGCACCCCATCTCTGGCCAGAGTAAGGAAAGGGAGAGAGGGCAGGCCAGGATGGGAGTTGGAGGCACAGTTGTCAAGAAACTGGGCCACTTCCCATCACCCTAGAGTGAGCAAAATCAATGGGCATGGAGAACCCAAAAGGACTCTCTTGCTGAAGGGTGGGAAGGGGCTGCTCTGCTCTTCTATCTGCCCTGGCTAGGACCTGCCATGTCTGCAGCAGGGACATTTGTACACAGAGCTGGCCCACTATACTGGGGACAAAGCAGGTGTGTGTCTAGTAACCAGTCACTGCTTTCCTAAATATGTCATTGTTGTACACTGGCGTAATACATTCACATGTCTACAGTTTGCTATGTGAGAAAAAGCAGGCTACAGATCATTGTTCCCTGAGCTGATTTTTCTATTTTGAATATTTAAGTCTGTGTAGAACAAAAAGGACTGCAAGATAACTTTGTAAATGGTTCTGACTGGTGGCATTCAGAAAGATTTTCTTTTTGCTTATCTATAAAAATCTTTTAAAATTACCATTGTAAGGACAATGATAAGTCAGGCATGATGATATATATCTGTAATCCCAGCACTCTGGGAGGCTGAGGCAGGATGATTGCAAGTTCAAGCTAGGCCTGGGCAATTTAGCAAGAACCTGTCTCAAAATTAAAAATTGGGGTGGTTGGAATTGTAGATCAGGAAGAAGGTTGTGGGTTCAGTCACCAGCACTGCAAAAGAAAAAAAGGCATAATGAAAATAATGCAATGAAAAGTTTTGCCCAGGACCAGAGACTGTCCCCACTTCAGAAACTTCTTTGCCAGGAGCCAATATTAGTATGTAGTTTCCACTCCAAAAAAAAATCAGATTTTAGTGAAGGCCTCTCACTCTGGAGATTTTTCTACCTATCCCTGACAAGCTCAGTGTGAAGGAGTTCTTGAGGATCCCACCAGCTGTGCATCCACATCACTTCCACAGGCCCTCTGCTGGCAGGCCAAGACCAAGATGGTGGATGGTGGTGTGGGCCACTGTCATGGTGACCCTAGGCCTCTGAATTTCAGCTCTGTTCTTAGTGATTTTGTTCAGAATAGGTTTAAGATTACAGCTTATATGGGCTAGAGGGCTCTTCAATAAGTTGTTGGTGTGACAGAAACTGCTTTAAAATACTTTGGGTAACTTTGGAAGGTATTACCACGAAGGGAGCATTACTTCTATTAACATTTATTTATTGTTTCTTTTATGTAGACTGCTGTGATCTTTATTCCTTGGGTAACCCATACATTTTGGTTTTCTTTGTAGAGACTTTCAATTTTGATGAACAATTATCAACCAAAGATCAGAGAAACAATTGGGAAAAATACATGGAAGTTCTTCTCTTACCTGAGCTGGAGGTGAGTCACCACCGTCCGGTTCCTCTGTCCAGGACCCTTCTGTCACTCACATTTGCTGGGCTCTCTTGAGGAAGGACTACAGGGGGCTTCTAGAGGCCCACGTAGGGTTACCCCACTTCCTGCTGTTCAAGAGTCCTGAAAGTATGAGCCGCAGTTTCCTTTCCTGTCTGTTAACTTTTTAGAGAGGATACAAGAGTAAGACATAGAGATGTAAACCATCTTATGGGAACTCACAAGAGAGGCTTTGAGATCAGATTCATTTCTCTTATGTTAGATAAGGACATCATTGGTGTAACTAACCACGTGAGCAAACAAGGGAAGGGCAATGACATGTAGACCTCCAGGGGGGTCTCACTCTATTTGGGGAGTTAAATCACCTACAAACAAGCAAAACTTACATTACAACAAAAGTGAACATCCCATGGCCTGCAGGCAGACTCCAGGAAGCCTGAGGTGAAGCCACAAGGCGCCGGTCTGTCTATCTGTAGCACTGTTTCACTTCAGACTTCTGTGTCTTTTTCTTCGTGTAGTCTCTAGATAAAACCATCCTCACCGTGAATACTCTCATCAGTCAAGATGAGCGCATCAGCTCCAGCCCTGTGGCCAAAATCATATATAGTGACCCAGCAACCTTCCTTCCCCACCTACCCAAGAAGAGCGTGGTCCACTGCTCCAAGATCTGGAACTGTAGGAAGAAGATCACGGTTGAGTACCTCCAGCACATTGTTGAGCAGAAAAACGGCAAAGAAACACTGCCTGTGCTCTGGCATTTCCTGCAGAGGGTACGTGGGCCTCCTTGTGCTCTTGCTCCGAATCATTGTTCCTAAGGGTAGAATGCTCACCGACCCATGCATGCTGGGGTTCTGAAGAGCATGTGGGTAGAAGCAACTCAGGGAAGAGTATGGAGGTCCTCAGACCCATCAAGCATAAAGTCACAGAGGGAGCATGCACACGCACTGGGGTCAGCAGTGACCTATAAAGAGCTTGATGGCCAGGAGGAAACCTCCCTGGTCACATTCAGCAAGAAAGCAAGGGACACAGCTTGTCCCCAGAGCCTAGAGCAGTTGGTCATCACCTGTCTGCTGGATGGCTAGAGTTCAGTGAGGAATGAGTAGCGAAAACCAAACAAAATCCCTTCCCTGTTCTTATATTATTGTGGCAGTACAGGCCGCAGATGGGAGTGAGCGTGTCCTGGCTGTGAGGGGCCACGGGGTGGGGAGTTGCAGGTTGTAGCAACCAAGTCTCTTAAACCTGGAAATACACACTGCTGACTTTCACCTGCATGAACTCTGATTGCCTACGATAGATTTTCTCATCATTTCTCTCTGTGGACCAGTATTTGCAGCTAGCAAGAAGCAGAATGATGCAGTCATTTCCAGTGCACACACTGGGAAGGACTCCATGTTAGTGCATGGAGTCCCAAGTGCTGGCCGCTCACTGAGATGCAGTTTCATTCAGCTGAGGGTACTTAGATCCTAGATCTCGGAGCAATGTCCACAAATTACAACAGTCACCACTGCCTGACCTCTTGGAAGTTCTTCCTGCAGCTTCTTTCCACGCCCAACCAGTCAAATGGGCCCAAAAGGCAATTTCTTTTTCTTTTTCAAATTCATTTTGCTATTGGGGCTGGGGATTTAGCTCAGCGGCACAGTGCCTGCCTGGCAAGCGCAAGGTCGTGAGTTCGATTCCCAGTACCGGGAAAAAAAAACAAAAAACCATTTTGCTACTAACATGTATCATGCATAATAGTGCAGTTCAGTGTGACAGCATGCACTAATCAAATCCAACAGCCCTTTTCCCACTCTGAATCACTACCCTAATTTCAGGTTGACTACAAGACGTCACAAGAGAGAGCAGGCAGTATTTGTCTTTCTGTGTCTGGCTTATTTCACTTCATATAATGTCTTCCAGTTTCATTATTTTGCTGCAAGTAACAGGATTTCGTTCTTCATGGCTGAATTGTGTAGCTGCTATATTTTCTTTATCCAGTCATCTATTCATGCATGCCTAGGCTGATTCCAAAGCTTACATTTGTGAATAGTGCCACAATAAACATGGGCGCAGAGGTGTCTATTTGGTATGCTAATTTCATTTCCTTTCCATATATACATGGAAAAAGGATGGCTGTATTATAGATCTGCTTTTAGTTTTTAAAAATTTTTTAAATTTTTTGTCTTTTTGAGACAGCATCTCACTATGCAGTTCAGGCTGGCCTTGAGTTCACTTTGTAGCCCAGGCTGGTCTCAAACTCACAATGATCCTCCTGCCTCAGCATCCCAAGTGCTGGGATTACAGGCATGCGCCACCACGCCCAGCTGCTTTTAGTTTTTGTTTGTTCTTAAGGAACCTCTATACTGTTCTCCAAAATAACTGTATTCATTTATATTCCCAGCAGCATTGTATAGCAGTACCTTTTTCTGTACATCCCTATTAGCATTTGTTATTTTATGTTCTTGTTATACTAGCCATTCTAATGAGGATGAGATGATATCTTATAGTTTTGATTTGCAGTTCCCTGATAGAGCTTAATAATACTAAACATTCTTTTATATATATTTTTTGGCCATTTGTATTTCTTTTGAGAAGTGTCTATTCAGACTATTTCCATTTTTAATTGGATTACTTAAGTTTTTGTTTAATTTTTAAATTTTCTTATATGTTCTGGGTACTAATTCTTTGTCAGTTGGTTAGTTGGTAAATCTGTTCTCTCATTCTATAGGTTGTCTCTCTACCATGTTGGTTGTTTCCTTTACTGTGCAGAAGTTTGTTTGATGAAATCTCATTTCTTAATTTTGCTTTTGTTTCCTATTCTTTTGGGGTTCTATCCAGAAAATCAGTGCCCGTACCCCCATCTTGAAATATTTACCTAATGTTTTTTTCTAGTAAGCTCGAAGTTTCAGGACTTATTTTGAGGTCTTTGATCCCTCTTGAATTGATCTTTGTGCAAGGTGAGAAGTAGGGGTCAAGCTTTAGTCTCTTGCTTTGGATCTTGGCACACACACTTGACACATCAGCTTCAGGATGGCATCCTCCATCCCTCAGGCCAGTGTCTAGCATACTGCAGCTCCTCCAGAATTACTTGTGAAAGATGGAATGGCACATTTCCCATTAACCCTGAGTGTGTCTTTCTGTAAAATGGCCCATCAAGCAGACTAAACCACAAAGACATGTCCTCAGCCAGCTCTAAAGTCTGTATGCCAAATAATATTTCCAAGGTGAGTAAAAGAAGTGTTACTGAGCGGTCTTCCCTTCTCCAGGAGGCAGAGTTGAGGCTGGTGAAATTCTTGCCTGAGATTTTGGCCCTGCAAAAGAGCTTAGTGAACCAATTCCAGAATGTTCCAGAAATTGAATCTGGCACCATCAGAAAATTTATTAAAAGTCACAGTTCAGGTATGTCTGTGCTCTCTGCCCCAACCCAGTGTGTGGTGATTAGAAAGGATGATTCCAGTGAGGCTTGGGAGGGTGCTCAGGGCTCAGAGTTGGTCCATGTCCTAAGCTTTTAGTGTGCAGTGAGGGTCCCCTCGAACCTGGAGACACCCTAGAGGCTCTTGCTGCAGCCAGATTTCTCTCTAGTTCCACCAACTCAACCCCTGTTTTGTGATTACAGGGAAAAGCCTTTCACTCTGGCTGGCTAGTTAATTCCATGGGTTCTTACCAAGCATTTTGTTCAACAGATAGACTGAAGAAGTTGTTTGAGGACAGGATCACTATTTTTCTGTCCACATGGAATGCACTGAGGCGATCTTTGGGGACCAATGGTGAGTGTCCTCCTTCCCCTCAGCACTGAGCACCTGGAACCTGCTCTTCTGCTGGCTCTGCCAGACACTTGGGGCAGAATGCTCTCTGCTGAGAATTACACTGTCATTTAAAGGTGAGATCAAGCTCCCTGAAGAGTACTGCAGCTCTGACTTGGATCTGGACTCTGATTTTGAAGTCATCCTACCACGTCGGCGGGGCCTGGGCCTCTGCTCAACTGCCTTAGTCAGCTACTTGATTAACGTACACAATAAAGTTGTCTACATGGTGGAAAAGTTCTCCAAAGAAAACAACAGGTGCGTGCATAAGCAACAGCACAGTGTATATCAGACCCTGGGTCTTGGGCCCCTAAAGCAGATGTCAGCTGGCTACATCTCCATCCCCACCAGACCTTCCCTGTTCACCCTCGGTAGAGCCCCGAATTTGTGAATGGCTTTTGCCTGTTCAAACTATGGGGGCAGAAGGAGGCACAGGCTCCATATGCCCCAAGCTCCAGCCCCATACAGCTACCCTGGACACCCAGCACTGTGTCATGTGTCCCACAGCTATTCCGTGGATGCCTCTGAGATCACTGACCTGCATGTCATCAGTTATGACGTGGAACGTGACCTGACTCCACTGATTCTGTCCAACTGCCAGTATCAAGTGGTGCAAGGTGGGGAGACCTCACAGGAGTTCGACCTGGAAAAGATCCAGCGGCAGATCAAGGGGCGCCTCCTACAGGGAAAACCCAGGCTGACAATCAAGGTAGGCTGAGCCCTACTGCCAGGGACATACATGGCTCTTCTGGGTCCCGACAGATACTTTGTAATTGGGTGTTTTACTCTTTCTCATTGTCCACAACTAGGATGTGAATTATTTGTATCCAAAGCCTTTTTTTTTTTTTACAAACTGGGATTTTGAACTCAGGGCCCTCCCATTGAGCTATATCCCCAACCCTTATTTTCTTAAACTTTACAAGGTTTCCCTAAGTTGCCCAGGCTAGACTGGAACTTGTGATCCTCCTGTTCAGCCTCCCAGAATGCTAGGATTACAAGCATGCACTACCATGCCTGGCTGTAAAGCCAGTTTTAATTCATTCTGACAACTGTGTTGTCTAGCAGAGCAGTCTATGCTCGGTAGTTGCTGAATGGATATGTGAATTTGACATCATCCCATCCCTGTCCGCAGCACCTCCTGTGATCCTCAGTATACAGTATATTCTCCACGGCAAGATCTGCAGGGCCATTGTGGCTGGGCTGGGTTCTTGTATTGCTATTTCCAGAGATTGTGGCTTAAACAGAGACTTCATGAGATGACAGAGCTTTGTGCGCTGTCCAGGAAGACTCTCCCACTGAGCTACTTACTGTTCACGATGTATGTCATCCAACTGGACCATCCTCTATGGAGGTAATGTCTAAATGCTTTTTCTTTCTCACTTTAGGGGATCCCTACGCTGGTGCACAGACATGACCGGAACTATGAAGGTCTCTTCATGGACATCAAGAAGAAGATGATTCAGGTGATCATGACAAACCTGTCACTTGCAAGGGGTTCCATCCACATTCAGGCAGCTTCAACCACTCTGTGGTATCTGTGAGCACCAGGGTCTCAGGTTCCCTGAGGACCCAGGGTCCTCCCTGACAGTGCTGTTTGCAGAGGGCAGGCAGGACTGTGGATCACTATTTTCATGTTTGAGTATTGTTTTTGTTACTTTTCTTTTTGCTGAGACAAAATAGCCAACACCCAAAGTTAAAGGAGGAAAGGTTTATTGTAGCTGTTTGTAGACATTTTAGCCCATACACTTGGCTGGCTCCAAGGCAGGGTGCCACATGGCAGAGGGACATCACAGAGGAGAAACAGTTTATGGTGGGCCGAAGGCAGCAAAGTAGCAAGGAATCAGCAAGTAAGCCACAGTAGCAGCCCTTTTTCTGTCCCTTATATTCTATTCAGGCTGCACGGCCTAGGGTACATAGAACTCACACCAGGGTAGGCCTTCTCATTATCCACACCCAGAACTATGCCAAACAAATCAGTGGACTAATTCAGAACTATCCCAATCAGTGGACTAATTTAATAATCACACACCCTTGATCCCAGCACCACACACTCTAGATCCAGCCATCTCTGAAAAGCACCCCCCCATGATCACCTGAGGCTTTGCGGGGGACATCTAGACACAAACTCTAACAAGTGTAATCCACTGAGATTGTGTGGTTGGTTTATTAGTAAGGATGTTTCAGGTGTAGGCTAGGCAAAAGATCCAGAGAACTTTACTTATTCCTGCTCTTTTGATATTGATACTGGGAGATAAATACTCTCTCTTCATATCCACACAGTGTTGTTTTGAGGCTTCAGTGAGCTCACAGGTATTCTCATCATGTCTGTAACCCTGCTGCACTTAACACTACATGTCAACTGTCACTGTGTAATTTGTGCCACCTGTAGTTTGGACAGTGACAGAGCTAAGCCTTTCCTAGGGAGTGAGAAGCAAGAATCCCAACCCATGGTCACTGTCCTCTGTTTGGTTTCCAGAGTGCCCTGCCGAGTGCAGTTATGGGCACCATTGGTGGGCAGCTGCAGTCCTATAGTGATGCCTGTGAAGCCCTCTCCGTCATAGAGGTCACCTTGGGCTTTCTGAGCACGGCTGGTGGGGACCCAAACATGCATCTGAATGTGTACATCCAAGAAAGCCTGCGAATGGGGGACCAGACAACTTCAGTTTTAAAGGTGGGTCTGGCTGTTCAAGGAGATCAGCAGCCTCAACCAAGTTCCCTGCTTCCCATTAGAAATCTACCAGGCAGCCAGGTGCATGCCTATAATCCCAGCACTCAGGAAGCTCAGGCAGGAGGATTGTTGTGAGTTCGAGACCAGCCTAGGCTACAAAGTGAGTTCAAGGCCAGCCTGAACTATATAGTGAGACCCTGTCTCAAAAAGAAAAAAAAAAAAAAGAAAGAAAGAAAGAAAGAAATCTACCAGGCAGGAAGTAGCAATGTATGCATCCCTGGAAAGGGGAAGCCCAAAAGCAATCCCCCTAGCCAGTTCACAGTGTAGACAGAGCCACTTGGGACAGTAGAGACAGACACACCCAGTGCTGACAATCTAGACAGTAGAGACAGACACACCCAGTGCCGAAATCTAGACAGGGCACACCACACGTGTGATGACAGCATCAGCCGTGCTGTACACTGCACAGACTCGGAGCTGCTGCTGGAAGCAGGGTGGCTGTCAGAGATGTTGGAAAGACGAGGCAGGTCAATTCGTGATGGAACAGAGATGGCTGCAGGACAAGGCACATGGAATTAGTGCAGAGCATAGAGGAAGTGTGGGGCATGGGGGCACAGAGTGTGAGACCTCCGCCTCTTACCACGGTTCCTGTTTCTCTTTAGGTCTTAAGCAGATGTCAGCTAAAACACACCATTGCCCTCTGGCAGCTCCTCTCCGCGCATAAGTCGGAACAGCTGCTACGCTTGAAGAAAGTAAGTGGGAACTCTGCCTCCTCTGTGCAGGGAGCTCAGCCCTCTCTTCCCAGCCTTTAATGGTCCCTTGGTGGTCTTGCATTTTAGGAACCATTTCAGGAAATCAGTCCAAGGTACAAAGAGGCTCTCAGCCCAGAACATGCCAAGCTCCTCAGCACATTCCTAAACCGCAGCAGCCTAGACACCTTCCTCCTGGAGCTCCACGAAATGATGGTGCTAAAGCTGAAAAACACTCAGGCCGAGGACAGCTTCAACCACAACTGGAGGTAGAGCCATGCACACCACTGCCAGGGCAGGGTGATAGGAATGTTCTGCCACAGCTGAGCCCTTCCACAAACTTGCAGTGAGCCCTGTCTTCCCACAGGGCCCTTTTCATGCTGTTCCCCTACTAGCACAGCACCTGAAGGTGGCTTCTACAAAAGTCTTACATTCCAGCAGCTGGTTTTCTCTATCAAAGAGGTGTGCATTGTCAACACTGTGGAGTACTCCAAAGTACTCATGTGTCAATGTGATGGACAAAGAATAAATCTGGTTGTCCCTTGTATTTCCCTACTTACTAGTATGGCTGGGCACATTCTCTTATTTATTAGCCACTAGTTTATTGTCCTCTGAATTAGGTTTTTTTTTCTTTCTTTTTTTTACCTTTTTTTTTTTTTTTTTTCTTCCTGAAATGGTCTCTAGGTGGTTCAGGCTGGCCTGGAACTGAAGGCAGTCTTCCCCCAGGTGCTGGGCTTACAGGTGTGCGCCACCATGCCCCGCTGTTTATCTTTTTCTTAACGATTTAAAAAAGCTCTTGGTTTTGTACAGAAATTAATCTTTTCTCTAAATGTGTTCTTACAAATGTTTTATCTCAGTCTTTGAATTTATAAAGTCAAATCTAACAGAATTGTCCTATAAAACCACTTAGAAATATACATCAGTAAAAGTCTTCCTTCTCATATCCCAAGGTTAGAAATGTCCCTCTATGATTTTTGTTTTGCTTTGTTTTGCTTTTGCTGCTGTTACTTTTTTTTTTTTTGGTACTGGGACTCGAACTCAGGACCTTGTTGCTTGCCAGGAAGGCACTGTGCCACTGAGCTATATCCTCAGCCCTTTTGTTCCTTTTATAGTTCCATATTAAACACTTTTTTTTTTAGTGAGTTTACTTTTATGTGTACTGTGAGGTACAGATTTATTTTTTTTCTCATCAATAGTATTTATTCATGTGAACAGCTTTACAAAAATAGTAGCACTCGATTTGCTTAGCATATACTCATTGACAGCTAGTTTTGAATAGCACGCTGTTACATATTTTAAATATCTTACGTTCCAAGGGAATGATTCTCCTTTAAGAACACAACATATCTGGAAAATTAAGGAACAGGAAAAACTTTTTACATACTGGAATTCTAACAACCTGTGATTACTAAAACTCTGATATTGTTTTATATCTGGTCTTTTCCTGTTACATAATCACTACTGTTCATATCAGGTGAGGATTTAACTTTACTATTTTTCTAAATAGTTGGATTACTGTTTTCCACACCAGTGTATTTCTTTTTTGGGGGGGGGGGCGTTGCCAGGAATTGAACTCAGGACCCTGTGCTTGTCAGACAGGTGCTTGTGCCACTGAGCTATATCCCTGTCCCCCACACCAATACATTTCATATTTGCTATTTTCTTCCACTGTGCCATATGGCATATACCCATATACATTGTATTCTTTCAATTTAGTCTTTACTATCCTGAACTTGCAGTGTAAAAACAGTTCACCTTCTAGAGAATTTGTGATCTTTACTTATGTAAAATATGAAAGGGAATACGTGCTTTTTTTTAAAGCAAAGCTTTTTCATACAAATAGATCACATTAGAGTACCCGACATCAGCAGTGACAAAGCCAGCACCAGCCGGCACAAGCTGGAGGCCAGGATTCCACCCCAAAGTAGGCAGGGCCCAGTGCCAGTTCAGGAGCTCAGGACTCAGCTGGCCTGGAGCTGACCTCAATTTCTGATTTTAGGGAGCACACTCGTCCTATGGAGGCCTCCTGATGTTATAAACAATGTCTCTTTTTCTTGATTTTGCAGCCTGAGAGACACCCTGGTAAGTTACATGGAAACTAAAGACAGTGAAGTCCCTCCAGATTTGGAATCCCAGTTCCCAGAAGAGATATTGCTGTCCAGCTGTGTCTCCGTGTGGAAAGCTGCTGCCATACGGAAACGGGACCGGCAAGCAAAGTAGAGTGACTCCCTCAGCTCTGGCCTGGGACCCAGCTGGAGAGATGGCTCCACCCCTTGCCAGCGGGATTCACACCAACTGTTGCCTCTGTGAGCACTTAGAGGAAAAGTGGTGCAGCGCTGAACTCAAATCCACCCACACTGTTCCACACAGCGCTATAGGAGCTGCCCTGTTTCTGCATTCCAGAATTTTCTTACTATACTGTGAACACAGTTCATTAGGAGTTAAGAGCTTACAGGAATTTGGACATCAGACCCCACCTGTGCTTCCCAGGAAAGACAAGTGATGTCAAAGTAATGGTCATGTCCAGTCACGGTCTGTCTCAGGCCTGCCAACCTCTTACCTTGAACTTCTGCCACAGGCTCCTTCTTCCTCCCATTACTATTAACACAGGGGAAGTAATTTTTCCTTTTTTTCTACTCTATTCCACATTCTCAGGAGAGAATCCGGTTTTCTTCTTTCTCCCAGTCTCTTAAGCTCTGAGTATTATACATATATTTCTTGGCTTCCAAGATGTACATGTCTTCTCACAACACAAGGATTGCTGAAGGAAAGCCTCTGCCCATGCTTATGCCACACGAACAAGAGCTGACCCAGATCCTGTATGAGTCACTGCCAAATTTCAGAGAGTCAGGGCCAAAACTGTGAAAAGCACTGACTAAAAGTTGACTTTTACTTTTATGGCCTCAGTTCCCCCATGAACAAAGTGGACTGACAGTCAAAGCCCCTTCCATTTCTCATACCTTGAAATTAGTTTTTTGAGACAGGGTGTCAGGGTATGATAGCCTGTGTAGTTCAGGCTGGCCTCGAATTTATGGTGATCCTCCTGCCTCAGCCTCCTGAGTGCTGACATCAGAGCAGCTGTTTACAAGGTGGAGCCTGTGTCCTTCACATCATTCTCAGTGAGGTAGGCACTCAATCAACTTGAAATCAGGGCCATGTACTAGAGCTACAAAATTCAAAATGGTATCAGAATAATGAGAGCACCTCGTGGGAGGGGCAGGTGGAACCATGATTGTCTTCTCATTCCAGACTATGCAGAGCCACTTCCCACTCACCTGCTCTCAGACATCTCTGTGCTGGGGGTGGGAAGAAGGCTTGTGGGACTCCCCACCTTGGCTTTGGAGTGCCTTTGAGGGTTGGGGCACAGCTCAGGCCCAGGCTGTTTTTCACTTTGCCACACCTCAGCAGGTAGGAGCAGGTGTTACTCTCTTGCTGTGAAAACTTTCTGTCCCCTTTGGCCAGGCATTGATTTTGTTATGAAGGGCTTTTAATTAAGATGCTTCATTTTGTATGCTATGCTCTCAAAGCCTTAACTGCCATATCTAGCATTATCTTGTTTGTACAAAAATACACTGGTCTAGCATAGAAAAAGTAAATTTCATTATACTTGTCATACCTATTTTAATAAACTTGAGTTTTGCTGCTAACAAATCCTTTTTGGGGGCAGAGCTTCCATTTAGGACACCTATACCTCAGCCGGGCTTCTGGAAATAGTTTTGCATTTTTTGTGCTAATGTCCTCACGCAAGTAACTATGAAGTAGAGGGTTCAAAGAGAAACGTACACTGTGATTTACAACGTGAGCAGAAAATTCCTTCTGGACATAGGGATAGCAGAACTGCTCTTCCACAGTGGCACTGTTCCCTCCAGCCAACCTCAGCTTAAGCCTCAGCCTCAGTGAGGGTCCTCTGGTCACTGGCTGGCATGGGTCTTTGCATCACTGCTAATGGAACTTAAAACGGAGGCAACATTATGAATTTACAGGCAAAAGTTTTAACTGGAAATTTATTGTAGAAAAGAAACAAAGCTGGTGTGAGGAGGTCCTATAGGCAACCCCAGGCAGGGACAGCAGTTGGCTCCTCCACAGTGATTGGCTCTCAGACTCTTCTGTACTGAGAGAATCCACAAACAAAGGGCCTACTTTTGGGTAATAGCTCTTTTATGGGATCCCAAAGGAATGTCATCATTCATAAGTTTTCTCAAAAGGGGAAGGTGTGTCTCAATAGCAGGGACTTTTAAATTTCCTGGTCAGGGAACCAAATGCTGCATCCTGTGGGGGCCCTCAGAGGGAGGGGCCTAGAGGGTCCACTGTAATGGTCCTTAATACTGTAGTTATGAGATTTTGCCATCTGAGACAGCCATGAGCAATGTTCAGGCAGTTCCAATGTAGAAATAAACTTAAAATAGTGATAAATAATCCTAGTGAAGAAAACATCAACTCAAAGGGCCTAGCCAAGTAGGTGAAGTAACCAAAGTCTAGCAGTGCCCCTGGCATGGGAAGCAACCCTGATAAAATGCAGGAAACACTGCATCAGCTGGGCTTGGAAAGTAGGCTCCAAGAGTCAGGAGATGCCCCGTGGCTTTGGTGAGTCCCAGGCAATTCAAGTCCACTATGATTAGCATTTGTATCACATTCTGCATTTTTCTGTTCCTTTCAAGCTTACACTCAAGCATTTTTGTCTAGTTGGCAAAACAAGCACCAGGGCAGCACTTTTTCCTGAGAACAAATGCTGACAAAACATACCTTCTCTGTAGGATTTCCTGGGGACAGTGGCCCTACTTCTTTTTGAAGCAGAGGGAGTTTCAGTCATCCGGGGCAAGAATGTGGGGGGCACAGCACATGCAGCAGCCCCCCCTCTTCCTACTCTGGACATCACTCCCGGAGGCTGCATACTTATTCCAGATTGATAGCTGTACCTGAAGCACAGGAGGACTTCACCCAGGACAGCACCTTCCTCAGGCCCCACTGCCTGCCCCATCTCACAGGCCTGTCAAATGGCTCCCAATAACCAAATCCAATAGCCCCTTCATCCTGACTGCTCTGTAACAACAGCCTGGATGGAGCTGCTTGGAGATCCTGGTTCTCCTGTTTGCCAGTTCCTTGACCTGGGGCAAGCATTAAGCCTCAATTTCCTTCCCAGTTTTATTTAAGAAATAAGGTAAAGTAGGCAACACTCATAGTGTTATAGGAAGATTCAACAGGACAGGCACTCACAAGAGACTGAAAATAGAGGAACAAACAAAGCTTTACTGAAGAGCCATCAGACAGTCTCCAAGGAGCCAGAGAACATGTCCACCCGGATCTGGGGTCTGTCTCCAGTTTATATACCTTTTTGGGTTTCCATAGTAACCATACATTAGCTCATTTTCAGGAGTTTAACAAGAATGTCACAGAATTGTCACAAGGTTTACATTTCCCAGAAGTGGCTGGTCAGGTAGACCTAAGGTGGACATTACAGTTTAACATTTAGCCCACTGCCAAATTTGTTGTTTGTTCAGCTCCTATATTATAGCTATTTTCTTCGGTGGGTTTTATAACTAACCAGGGGGAAGGGAGTAAGGAGTGAGTTCATCTACAGTTGAAGTGAACTTACGTGGCTTCTCTTAAAATGGAGTTACAAAAAGAAAAATGGAGTCCCTCTTGTCCTATCAATAGTACTCATCACAATTACATCACATATTCACAAGTCTTCCTGCCCCAAATGAGACAAAAAACAACACCGAAAGGAAGCCATAACCCCAGCATCTAGCACAATTCCTGGCACAGAGGAATCACTGAGTAAATATTCACAAAACTGAGAAGCACTGGGTAATAATCAATGTTGCATGGCACAGGCTTGTAATCCCAACACTCGGGTAAGTGTGGAGGGCTGAGACTGGAGGATCGCTCCCAGTTCGAGGCCAACATGGACCACATAAAGAAACCTTGTCTCAAAAAACAATGTTCCAAAGGCCATGCTGGACAGATGCAGCCCCTGTGTGTCCAACCACGCCCAACGCTGCGCAGGACTAAACAGGGAGCAGTTCTGCCTTCCAACCCTTTCCACAGTCACTGAACTGCCACCAAAGACCGCGTCAACGGCAGGGCTCGCAAGGTGCTCGAATTCGCTGCTGGACCGTCGAGGCCCCTGGCGAGTGATTTCGGAGTCGGGCAAAGCGCGACTAGGGCAGGGGCGGGAGGTGGAGAGCCGGTCCAGCCTTTCCCAAAAACAGAGCGGCATCCTGCAGTGCAGGCACAACGCTGATGCTGCGACAACAGAGGGGAGGCCGAGCCACCACCACGACAGAATCGTGCGTGGGCCATTCGAAGCCGGATACGTGGGTGTGCGGTTCCCCGGGGCTTCCAGCCAGTCCATGAGAGTCTGCAGATTCGGGCGCGAAACCCAGGTCGCTGCAAAGCGGCCCCTGGCGGCGGCGGTGCCGGTCGCGGAACCAGCTCCAGGGCCCGAACGCAGAGACTACAAGGCAACAACGTGAGGCGCTGCGTCTGGCGCACCGGAAGTGACGTTTGCCGGAAGCGCGCCGGAGGATGAATCATGGCTCTGAAGGCCGCGGGCCATGTGTCTGAGGAAACTTTATCACTCTGGAAACGGTAATGGAACTACGCTCAGCAGCCAGGGGTTGGGACTTTTTGCGTCCCTCTGCGGACCCGCTGACCTTGGAGCCCCGGCTGTGAAGGCGCAGGTGCCGGTGCTCGAGCCACCGAAGTCAGGCGGGCCTGGCTTCCGGCGCGGGCCAGAGGCCTCTGGGTGTTGTAGTCCGCCACCCTCGCCTCCACGCTTGTCCCTGCTTGTCCCCGCGCCCCTGCGCTGGCTCCCTGGGGCTGTGGCCTGACCAGCGCGTACCTTGCTTTCCCTGATAAAGAGGAAAACCTCTGGCAAGACTAACTGTCCTGGAAGCGAGGGAGGACGCTACAAGGAGAGCGCGCGCCGGACAAACTGGCGCAGCGGTCTCCGGGGTTGAGGTGGGAGAGTCCGGCATGGGGACCCGGGACCAGCTTTGACCTTTCTGTTCTCCTAGGGAGCAAGCCCGGCTGAAGGCCCTCCTGGTAGACCGGGACGCGGAGGCCTGGCAACGGGACCCCGCCTTCTCGGGACTTCAGAGGGTTGGGGGCGTGGATGTGTCCTTCGTGAAAGGGGACAATGCCAGTGCCTGTTCTTCCCTGGTGGTGCTCAACTACCCCGAGCTCGAGGTAACCTGGGAGGGACGCTGAGCCAGGTGTCGCCTCAGCTGACAGAACAGACCTGCCAGACTGGGAACCAACTCAGGGTAGAGGCCAGCCTCTCCTCTTCTAGAATTTCTTCCTGAATTCATTTTATTCTCAATGTTAAGAATGGAACCCGGGACTTTGCGCATACTAGGCACGCATTCCACTGCTGAGCTCAACCCATGGCCCTCCTTTTGTAGAATTTCATTAGCAGATTGAAGAGACTTTGAAGGGGAAAAAAAGGGCAAAAGTTAGGGAATTCTCCCCCTTGCCCTCACACCTGTTTCACCCTGCCTCCCTTGTTTCTGCCTGTTAAATCTTGCTGTACTCACTCCCCTGGTCTGCGTCCTGTCATCTCCTTCCCTATCTGTGCTGCCATTGTTCTTCCTGTAGCTGTGTTTTCCTGGACTGCCTGCCTCAAGTGCTGCTCTTTGGTTTCTGTTAGCAGAGCAATTTTCTTAAAAAGCAAATGCGATTATGTCACCAGGAGTCCCTTGAAAACACATCAGTGCCCTTCCTGTGGTGTCATGGTAACTAAAATTCACACTGTTTGACATGACTTCATGACCTTCTGCTCCCTGCTTGACTGATCCTGTAGGCTCAGCTCCCAACGCTATCCTCAGTCTGTCCTGCCTTTAGATGGCTTTGACTCCCTCAAACATGCCATGTTCTATCAAGCTATGTAATCTTTGCAGTATGCTTCCTTTCCCATTCAGGTCTGACCCCTCTCAGGGCCCAATTTACACATTACTTCCTTCAGTGAGCTCCTCCCTCCGACAAGACCAGGAGTTACTCCTCAGCACCCTTGTCCTAGTCCCTGCAGGCTGCTGTAGCAAAATGCCTCACACAGGGTGGCTTATAAACAACAGAAATTCCTCAGAGTACAGAGACTGGAAGTCCGACTTCAGGATGCTGCATGATCAGGTCCAGGTTCAGACTCTCTTCCAGGTTATAGATAGTTGCCTTCTCACTGGCATCTCATGGTGATGTACTCATCTCCCAAAGGTGCCTCCTCTTACTGTCATCACTGTGTGGGTTTGAACTTCATCATATGGATGGAGGGAGAATCATTCAGATCATAGCCAATCCTGAACTTCCTCTTTGCCACTCTGGAATGGAATAGAATTGGCCCGTTTCCCCTACCAGAAGATAAATTCCGTGGTAGCAAGAACCTGGTTGTCTTGCACACCAGAGGTGGCCTCAGCACCTGGCTCAACACCTGGCAGACCCTCGGAGCCTGCCTAATTAGATGGCGTGCATGAATGAGCAGTAAGCCCATGGTTTGTTTGCAGTCCCCAGTTCAGGAAGCCTTGGCTGCGCCCCAGCTTCCCAAGGCAGCAACATCTTCCTGCTTCTGTGGCTTTGTGCTTTACCCAGAAGGCCCCTTTTAGACCGGGTTCAGCACAGAGGTATTAAGTGCCCACTGTGTGCTAGGATCCAGATCTGTAGTGAGGAAACCAAGGTCCCTGTTCTCACAGGTCCCTGATCATTCTATACAACAGTGCACAGGGTAAAAGCACAGACGCCAGTGCCAGACTGCTCCTGTTTACACCCCAGCTCTGCCACTCCCCACGGTTCTTGGCTTCTGGTTCCTTTTCACTTGGGTGGGCAGGATGATAGTATTAATGCCCTGTTTGCAGAGTTGTGGGGGGAATATCAGGTCTCGTGTGGAGAGCAGGCAGCACAGTGTTCTTTTGCTCTCCAGCTCTCCCTGGCTACAGACTCAGTCACCCTCATCTGTGCCCCCGGCCTCTGTTTACTGCACCTGCCACCATCCTGCTCTTGTCCACACACAATTACATGACTGATTTTTCTTTTCCCAGGTTTTTAATTTGAAAGTGTACAACCGTACTGAAAAATTGCAAAAGAATACATTAAATGCATCCATATGCTCTATTTAGATTCAGATGTTGCTGATTATGTTATGTTCTCTGTGTGTGTTTACTGAGTACTTGAGAACATGTCCTCGAAGTTGTAGCAGCTCATCTCTGAGTGCATGAGCAGTCTACCCTGCACATAATGTCCTATATAACTGCAGGCACATTATCACACTATGAAAAATCGCAGTGATCCTGTAACATTGCTCGAACCTGGACACAGTCTCATTACCCTCTTGTCCCCATTATGGATCTAAAAGCTGGTTTTTTTTTTCTGATCTATAAATTTTTAACATTTATGTTCCCTATTCAGGGTTGTAACAAGTATATTGTGTTTACTGTGGGCTTTTTTGTCTCATCTTGCCTGTTTCCTTTACTCTTTTCCTCACTGCCATGTGTCTCAAAGTAACTTCTCTTCTGTTCAATTCAGTTTCCCAGGTCACAGTTGACTCTTCAGTATGTGGAATCAGATCTCCTTTTGCTTTTGGAGTGTTTCTTGTATTATAGTTTTTTGGGTTGGGTTGGGTTGGGTTGGGTTGGGCTTTTTTGTTTGTTTATTTGTTTTTTGCAGTACTTGGGGGACTGAATCTAGGGCCTTTGCACTGAGCCATATCTGCAGCTTGTTTTGTCTCATTTTATTTTATTTTATATTTTCTGAGACAGATTCCTGTAAGTTGCCCAGGCTGGACTCAAACTTGTGGTCCTTCTGCCTCAGCCTCCCAGGGTGCTGGGATTACAATTGTGTGCCACCACCCCCAGTTTGGAGTATAGTTTTAAACACTGACCTGTTAGTTGGGCTCCCTAGTTTTGCTTCTCTCCTTCAGTCCTGTGGATGCTGGATTTTCTTTGGTCACCTGCATTCTTTTTCACTTTTTTTTTTTTTTTTTTTTTTTTTTTTTTTTTTTTTATGCAGGGTCTTGCTGTGCAGTTCTTGCCTGCCGTGAGCTCACTTTGTAGCCCAGGCTGGTCTCGAACTTGCAGCGATCCTTCTGCCTCAGCCTCCCAAGTATTTCACTGTTTCTTTTAACTTCTTCCAGCATTTTGCTTTATTTCTCTTGTTTGCTTCATTTCTCTCCTCAATGGCTCTTGCTGAGTTATCCCCGAATCAGTCCCCTTTGGTCACTCTGTAATTGTTTCTGAGTCCTTATTTCTGAGGTGACTTTGATCAGGACACCATCATGCCCTGTCCTCCTCACCAGCCCCCATCATCCTCTGCCCAGTTTGCTGTCTGGGCTGCTCTGTGACCTATGGTGTTTCTTCCCCCACAGAGATACACAGTGATGTTTGTCAGTGTTTTCTCCTTATGCTATGGTCATAGGATATTGGGTGGGGGTCCTTTCCTGTTTTTTTCTCCAGTTTTGGGCGCTTGTGTGGAGGGACTCATACATTCAGCCACCATCACGCTGTGGGGATACAGGCTGTCATGAGTTTCCTATTGAGTTGTTGATTAAAATTTTGGGGACAAGCTCTGTCCCTCCCTACTAACACAGACCTAGGTACATTAGCTTATTGGTTCAGCCTCAAGAAAGGAATGAAAATTGTGATTTGGAAGCTATCATCAAGAGATTTAGGAGATTCAGTAACAGAAATGCAGGAAGGAAGGGGGTTCTGGAGAATGTGTGCACATAGGAAATTCCCTCCTTGCTGGGCCATGAGACTGATGAAAACACAAGGTTAAGACACTTGCTGCCCTGAGTACTTTAAGCAGAGTCCCTTGATGGTCAGTCCGGTTTTAAAAGGGTGTCCTTCTTCCCCTTTGTGGTCTGTCTTGACTCTGCCAGAGAAGACCTAAGAAAGGTAGATGTGCTTTAAAAGCTTTCTTAGCTTGGTATGGTCACACATGTCTGTCATCCCAGAACTTTGGAAGCCTGAGGAAGGAGGATTGGAGGTTTGAGCTTAGCCTGACCAACTTAATGAGACCGTATCTCAAAATAAAGGAAAAAGGGTCTGGGAGTGTAACTCCGTGCAAAACTCCTGGATTTGATCCCTAGTCCACAAAACAAAATCACTCTGGGTTGTCCCAGCCATTTCAGAAAGCCCCTGACCACTTGTGGCCCTGTGTCCTCTACACCTCCTTGCATCTCATACAAGGCCTGTTGTCCAGGGGCTCCCTTCCACTCTGGAGTCAGTAGCATCCTCAGAGTTTTTCTTCCCAAGCTCTCAGATTGTCCAGCTCCCCTGCTCCTAAGTGACCTGAAATTCCTTCTCATAAAGCCATTGCCACAGCCTCTGAAGACGCCTCCTCCAAGCTTTTCTAGTGTACATAGTGCTGCGTTGGTTCCTGGTGTTCTTCACACTAGTACTGTGCTGTGCTCTGAGCCTCCAGCAGCCTGTACAGGGTCCAGTGAGGAGACCCAGGGGCTGGGGGAGGCTGGCTCAACCTTCACCAGCTCCCGAGAAAAACCAGGTGGGGAGCACCTCAACTCACCAGGTTGCAAGTAAGCACCTTAGAAATGATATCAAGGTGAAACCACCGCGCCCCCCCCAATCCAGTAGCTCATAGGCAGAAAAGTGGGCTGTGGGTGGGACAGAGGGTAACAGGGTGGTGGGAGGGAGCAGGTGGCATGGCTGCCTGCTGACCTGCATGCCTGGTGTCAGGTGGTGTATGAGGAGAGCCGAATGATCTGCCTGACGGCCCCTTACATATCAGGCTTCCTGGCCTTCCGAGAGGTGCCCTTCCTAGTAGACGCGATCCGACGGCTGCAAGAGAAGGAGCCAACCCTGATGCCCCAGGCAGGTGCCATGTCCTTGTGCAAGAGAGCCATTTGATTCCTGGGGGAGGGGAGGGGAGGGCCCCTGCAGGCCACCATCACTCACAGCCTGAGAGGAATGAGATTTTCCAAAACTGCACCCCAGTGGCAGGGTCCACCCACCCCTACCCCTGGTTGCTGGGACAGCCACCTCAGCTGACTGTGACCCCCTGTGGCTCTAGGTCCTTCTTGTGGATGGAAACGGGGTGCTCCACCACCAAGGTAATCCTGCTTCCCAGAGAGAGAGTTGGGGTGGGTGCTGTGGGAAAAATGGGAGAGAGCACCTCCCATGTCCACCTCACTAAGCTACGTCATGTCTCCTGTCCAGACCGATTTTCATGGTCAGGATGTACATTGTCCCTCACTCAGAAAAGAGCTCTGCCTTCTCTTCACCGCCACATCTTCCTGCTCCTTCTTCCCCAAGATGCCCCATACTGGCCCATCTAGAGGTGCCACCATCCAGTGTTGACCTCACAGCTGTGAGAATTCACAGGGCCCCCACTTAGAGTAGCCCCATGCCACTGCTCACCCTGCGCCCTAGAGCCCTGCTTCCCACCAGTGCCTGGGCCTTGGCCCAGGGAAGGTGCTGAAGTTGATAGGCTATTTTACCCTCATCCAAACTGTGGTGGCCCCCAGAAGGGTGTCCAGGGGAAGTGTTGGCCTTCCTAGCAGTAAGTATAGTTGGGTCCCAGCTGCTCCTCTCAAAACTTACGTCCTTAGAGCAGTGGTAAAATCAGGGTATACAGGATCTTGTCCAGGGTCAGCTTAGGCCTCCAAGTCTGCTTCCCAAGTATTCTGCCAGTCTGTAGGCAGCAAGGTTCCAACTTTACCCCACTTCTTCAGCTTATTCTCCTCTGCTCCCTGGCAGGCTTTGGGGTAGCCTGCCATCTTGGTGTCCTCACAGGGCTGCCCTGCATTGGGGTGGCCAAGAAACTCCTACAGGTGGACGGACTGGAGAACAATGCTGTGCACAAGGAGAAGGTAAGGGGGCTCATGGGCCTGGGAGGGCCCTGGGGGTATCTGAGACGTTGGCTACCTCCTAGAATAGGGTGTGATGTCCAGAGGGAGCAGGTGACATCCCCACTTTCCCAGTAGACAGCAAATTCCAAGACCAGAGATTGTGTGTCTCCCCATGGAGCAGTTGCTCAGAAAATGCTTGTTGAGTTGATGGGGTCCCCGACTGCTGGTTCAGCCCTGACCCACTCCAACTACTCAAAAGAAAGTTTATTGACTCTATTCAAATGTGCTCAGATTCCTGGTAGGAGAGGAAGCAATTGTAAGGTAGTAACCCTGCCCAAGGTGTGCTGTTCAGTGGCACCTCCTGTGGGTCCATGGCCCACACCTCAGCTGGCACTGGGAGAGCTGTTACACCTTCTCTGAGCCTTTGTCATCAGGTTAGATGGGATCCTGTAGGCAGTGCCCACAACACAAGCCCTGATCATGCTGCTGCCCAGCGTACTCAGTACTGTCTTGGGGGCTTGGCCTTGCTGGCACAGCTCCCAACTAAGACTGGCTTGTGACTAGGTTTTAAAAATGGAGAAGCATGCCTTCAGCCCTGCAAGAAAAGACTTCTGGTTTTTGTTTTCGTCTTTGGAATCAAACCCAGGGCATTGCTCATGCTGGGCAAACATCTATCACTGTGTTATGCCTCAGCCCCAGGAGACATTTCTTACAAGTTTCTTTTCCCTGTTTTCCAGATTCGGCTCCTCCAGGCTGGGGGAGATACATTTCCTCTGATGGGCAACTCTGGGACTATCCTGGGAATGGTGAGTGGCTTGAGGCCTCTGTCATCCCCAAGTTCTAGCTCAGAGAGGAAGGACAGTGGGCAGTGGACCCCTGCAAATGCACTCACATGTGTGCATACAAGACCCACTCAGCTCTCCATGTCTTTCTGCCTCTCTTACCAGACAGGGAGGTGATGTGACATGTTTGTTTATCTCCTCCTCTGACCCCAGTGAAGCTGAGGGGACCTCAGCCACACTCACCCCACCCTGCGCAGGAGAGACATAGGGAGGTCCTTGGGGGCTGGAGCGCCTTATACACTGCACACACCCTAAACTGCCACTTGCCACCTGAGATGTTATCAGAGCCTCCAGCCTAAGGCTGGTCCTGACCCCCTCAGGGCTATGTCCCCACAGCACTCTGACCTCACCCTCTGTCCACAGGCCCTCAAGAGCCATGACCACAGCACCAAGCCCTTGTACATTTCTGTAGGCCACAAGATGAGCCTGGAGGCAGCTGTGCGCCTGACCCATTGCTGCTGCAGGTTCCGGATCCCAGAGCCCGTGCGCCAGGTGATGGGGCTTCCTGTCGGTGGGTGACAGGTTGGGGGACTGGCACAAGCATCTCTCTGCTCCTTGCCACTTGATTGTCACATGCTGCCTGTCAGCCCCAGTGGGATCTTGGAATAGTGATGTGAAATCAGGATGATCCTAGGCTGAGGACAGGTCTGCAGGCTCCTTGCTGGAGAGCCAGTTGGCCTCCCCAGACCCTGGAGGCAGGGGTAGGAGAGCAGGGACTGCACTGTTCTTCCTGAGGCTGCCTGACCCAAGCCACCATGCCCTACACTCTGCCTCACTGAGCCTGCTACACCCAGGTACCATCTTATGTGGAGAACGTACTGACGTTAGCTCAGGAGGCAGAGTGCTGCAGTTACCACTCAGCTCGCCTGCCCAGAGGAAGTGGTCCTCTACCAGGAGGCCCTGTAGGAGTGGTGCTGAAGAAGGTTTGTACTGGCATCAGGAGCCCCAGTCAGGTCTCCAGGGTGTAGTGCTCAGGGCCCAGGGGATCAGCACTTTGATGAGCCAGTCAGCTCAGTGGAGAAGGAGCACAGCCTGCAGGCAAGGGAGTTTGAGCTCAGCATACAGGGCCTGGGACCACTTTCCTACGCTCAGCTGTGATGAGAGCCCCCAGTTACAAGCTGGTAAATGTCCCAGAGCAGCACATAGGTCAGGGATCCAGGAGAAGCCATCCCCAGGAAGAGGAGCAAAGGGCAGTCCAGACTGGAACAGCATTTTTGAGGCCCGAGGATAGGGAAGAGTTTGAGGTTCTTGAGACACTCTGCCAGGGCAGGAGGTATAGAATGGGTAGGAGTGAATTTGTGTTTCAAGCCCCACTTCAGGGACAGGGGCAGCTGAGGGCTGTGCATGTGCAGCAGGACACCCAGATGCACCTGTGTGCCACAGAAGCAGTGGAGTCTTGGGAAGTTCCAACCCAGCCTGGAGCCCTCTAGGTGTGCTGAATGGTGGGGCCCCAAGCCTCCCTGTTGCCTGCATCTTCTCTGGCCCACTGTGGCCCCACAACCACCCACAGAGGGCCATAGGCTAGACTTAGCTGGGAAACCCACCCCTAGGCCCCTGGACTCTGACCCTGTGGCCTCCATCCTCCTACATCCCCAATGCAGGTATGCAGAGTGGCCTCCAGGTGGCAGTAGCAGCCCACACACCACTGCGATGCTCGCAGCCACAGGGTGGCAGTGCCCAGCGGTGGCTTCTGAGGAGCTTGTAGGCACAAGCAACAGCCCCCACAGTCTCATCCTCCCTACTCAGGGTGTTGCTGGGCTCATAGGCACATAGGCTCCCAAACCTGTGAGTTGTGTCCCCAGCTCCAGGAGGCCTTTCCCCCATTCCTTCACGCATGGTCTAATGAGAGAAAACCCCAGAGATCCTGAGGCCTGGGAACCCTGGGTTACACTGTCCTAAACCTGCAGGACACTGGTCCCCTGACCTTGCAGGTGAGGGGCCAGCTGCCTGAACACCTAGAAGTGGGACAGAGTCATATGTCTGGTGCTGGAGAAGAGCCTGCCAAATCCTGCCCACACTCCGCAGAAACGCCGGCAGGCGTGGGATGCGTGCCTCCTGGGCCTGCTTCTGTCTGCTGGGGAAGGGGGTGTGTGCAACCCTGGAAGCTTGGTCCGCTTTCATCCTGGGCCCACTCACCTCAGCACTGACCCTCCCTGCTGTGCATCCAGAAGTTTCCGGAGAGTGGGAGAGATGTGGCTAAGGGCAGTGTCCTCTTACAACGTGGCATTGGGAGCTACCCTACCCTCTGCTCTGGCATAGCCCCTGGCTTTCAAGGGACCCTTTGGTAGCAAGTGCTGCTGCCTTCCCTGTGCCAGGTGCAGGCTCTCCTGCTAGGCTGGGTTGCTGCCCCCAGGATACCCCTCTGCCTACCCGCCCACAGCCCCGTGAGCTACAGCAGAAGTCGTCTGGCAATCAGCTGTTGCTGTCAGTGTGTCATGAAGCCAGAAGCTAAGCTAAACCCATTTGAGCTGGGATCAGAGGGCTTCCTGAGGCCAGGCCATTTAAGAGTGTCCCAATCAGTGTGACCCCATTCTGTGGCCTCCACAGGGTCTGTACTAGTCCCTATCTGTGGCCTGTGAGCCTTTTTTTTTTTTTTTTAATAATTTTGTGGAACTTTAGGAGACAGGCAGCGGTCACAACTGACACTAGCCAGAGAGACAGACAGTGACCCCAGAGTAGGGGTAGACTGGCCAGCTTGAGCCCTCCCCCGTCAGAGCAGAACTCCCTGGAAGGAGGAGCTATGAGCACAAGGGAAGCTGAGCAGCGCAGCCACCCACCAGCCTCAGCAGCAGGTCCACAACCCCTGAGGTCTTGGCCCTCCTGTCAGTCACTCATAATGATGGGGCTATGGGAGCTAAGGGGACCCAGATGGACTTCTTGTGAAGGGTGTGGAGGCATTTCCCAGTCTGTTTGGCAGCCAACCAAGAGCCCACCACTTCTTATCTGTGCTCTTTCCTCCAGGCTGACATCCGCTCTCGAGAGTACATTCGCAGGACTCTGGGACACTCCGGGCCACCTGTATCAGGGCAGGAGAGGTGAGTGCCAGAGAGCCTCAGGATGCCCACAGGCATCCTCTTCCTGCTTGCAGTGTTGTGGCTCAAGACCAGGCCTGGTAGGAGAGGTCCCAAGAGTGTGGAGAGGGTGTGGACTTTGAACCTGGTGGGAGCTCTCCAGAAACACCACCCCATGACCATCTGAGCCCCACCTCCCAAAAGAGCTGCTGCCGCCTTTCCTGTCTTTCACCTACAAGTGGCCCTGGCATGGCCAAGCCCCGAACAGCCTGCCATGTTGTACCCTTTGAGCCTCAGTTTCTTTCTCTGCAAGGCAGGCAGAGTAATTCTTTTCCTTCCAGGTTCTGAGGTAGAGTGAAACTACCTGGTAGATAGCCTCAGCTGACCGTACAGGGGTCAGACTAGTTAGCCTGGAATGGCCTTCCGCAGAGCAAGTTTACAGAGAAGCCTACTTTACAGATAAGGAACACGAAGCCTGGAGCATTGGGAAGTGGCAGAGTAGGGTGCCATATATGGTGGCTGCACCCCCCCGCCACCTCCTGAGCTCCTTGCCCCCTAAGATTTCTGCCAAGGGGTGAGTCGTTCAAGGGCTGCACCGCCTCCACTCCTCTTCCCTGGCAGCCAGCAGCTGTTCCCAGGCCTGGATAGTCTGCTTTGAGAATTGAAGGAAAGGGCACTGGGAACCCCCACTTCAAAGAGTTGTACTGACCAGCCTGAGTCAAGGTGGATCTGTCCAGCTGGCCATCAAGTCCTGCCCAGTTCTCTGGCCCATGCCTGTCAGCAGCCCTTCCAGGAGCTCTTGAGGAATAGAGGGAGTCAGGACTGGCTCTGGAATCCCTTTTGAGGCTTCCCCTTCTGCATGTGATTGCAGGAACCAGAAGGGACCAAAGTTAGAGGCATACCCCAAAGGAGGTTTGGTAGAGCCAGCAGGAGAGGGCACGCACCCTGAGGACCCCAGCAGAGGCCCTGAGACAAGCCTGGATACTGCAGCCGGGCTGCTGGGAGAAGCGGAGCAAGGCCTGGCAGTTGCTGGGAGCTGGACACCGTGAAGATGCCAACTGTCAGCCTCCCACTCCAGCTCAGGACAGTAACCACCCCAGGAATGGTTGCTAGGGACGGTGGGTGCCTGCTCTGGTAGAAACACTGACCAGAGGCCCCAGCAGGACACCGCTTGGGTTGTTGGTTGTCCTGCCTCCTCTAGCATTGAGTGATCTGTCTGATCACTGTCCCAGGACAGATGTCCCCAAGGTGAGTGCCAGACCAGAACATTATGAGATCACTCTCCAGAGCACACAGGGGATTTGGGGTTCAGATGCCCAGTGGGCCAGAGACTGGCAGCCTGTGCAGGTGCCCACAGCTCCTCCTCTGCTGCCCCAGTTCTTTCAGACTTCTGCTTAAACCATACCCCACCAGCCAAAGCAGGCCACCCCTATAGCTGGGAGGGGCCCAAGCTGCACGGCCCCCTCCAGTACCACCCACATGTGTTCTTATGCTAACCTGCCCATCCTCCAGCCTGCCCACTCTGGGTAGGGCCCAAGAGAGTCCCCAAGTCCACCGGTTGTTCTCCCCAATTCCTGCCTCCTTGCTTCAATACCATCCCTGCAGTGGGAGGAGCCCAGTCCCAGCCCAGCAGGCTGCTTCCTTCCTAAGTCTGTGCTGATGAGGCAGCTGAGACGCAAGACACAAAGGGTGGCCTGCTCCAGTCTGTCCCTCCCAGGTTCCCAGAGGGGTTGACAGGTGGTAGATAGGTCTGGCTTCCCTAGTTCTGGGTCAGGATGGAGGGGAAAGAAAAGGAGGGTTCCAGAGATGAAGGTGCCTATATGCTCAGTGTACCAGGTTCTGCTGAGCCAAAGGGATCTCTCTCTCGCTCATTCTCTGTCTCTCTCTCTCTGTCTCTCTCTCTGTCTCTCTCTCTGTCTCTCTCTGTCTCTCTGTCTCTCTGTCTCTCTGTCTCTCTGTCTCTCTCTCTCTCTCTCTCACACACACACACACACACACACACACACACACAGAGGCATCCAGTTTGTCCAGAGGAGACAGCTACCAGGCCTTCTACCCGAGCCTCAGAACTCTCTGAGGTAGAGTGCTCTGGCTCCTGGGCAGAACCTGTTTTCTCACAGGTACAGCCTCTGCCTACCTCCCAGGCGTTTAGCTGGGAGAGGGAGGACCTGGTGCCCTAGTGGTGGGGTCCTAGGGCACAGACTGGCCCACACAAACACACTTCTGGGTCTCTCTGCATCCCCACTGAACTCCGGGCTTGAGGGCTCACAGCTTTCCCCACCATCTGCCCTCCTAACTCCTCCAGACTTTCCTCCCAGAGCTCCAGGGGACCAGGGGTTGGCATCAGAAGTGCAGGGCTAAGGCTCAGCAGAGCTGAGTAGGATCCAACTGTCCCTCACGAGAGCTTTGGTGAAGTGTGTCAGATGGGGATAATGCCTGTGCTCCCTCCTTGTGGCTGGGGAGGTCCCATGAGGTGACATACATAAGGGGCTTAGCATGAAACCTGGCACATGGTGGCCCCTTGATTCCAAATTAAAGCCATTAGTTTGGAAAAGTGGGGCCCACAGAGACCAGAGCTGATGGCCATGCCAACTCAGATGAGAAGAAACGAGATTAGAGTTCTCTCCCACCCCCAACCACAGGTGGGGGCAGCCCTAGCTGCAGCTTCCTTCAGGACTCGACAGGCAGGACCAACTTCCTGGGACAGGTCCTGCTTTCCCCTTCGGTAACCCCCAGGCCTACTGGGAGGCTCACAAGTGGCAGCCCCACACTGCGAGGCACACTGTAGACCTCACACACAAAGAGGTAGCTTCAAGTGTAAGGCAGAGGTGGCCATGCCTCCTCCTGTGGGGACTAAGTCTTCACACAGGGCACAGCCAGCACCTGCAAGAGGTCTGCCCAGCCCCTTGCCCTTCCCACAGTAAGGAGCAGGCCAGAGCCCTGAAGCAAGTGTGTAGATAAACTGTGTTGTTTTGCAGTACTAGGGTTGGAACCCAGTCCTTTGCATACTACACAAGCACTCTGCCACTGAGTCACCTCCCCTGCCCTGCAGACAACTTCTGTGTGCCTAATTTTTGTTTGTTTTGAGATTAAATTCACCATTCCAATCATTTTAGAAGTGTGTACTTCATGGGCTTTTTCTAGCCAGGCATTTTGGCATGAACCTATGATTCTAGCTCTTCCAGCTAAGATGCAAGGATCACTTGAGCTCCAGAGATCGAGGCCAACCTGGGCTAATAGTGAGACCCTGTCTGAAAAACAAACAAGAACATCCACAGTCTGGTTTTTGTTTTGTTTGTCTTTTTGAGACAGAGTCTTGCTATGCAGTTCAGGCTGACCTTGAGCTCACTTTGTAGCCCCGGCTGTTCTCAAATTCACAACAATCCTCCTGCCTCAGCCTCCCGAGTGCTGGGATTACAGATGTGCACCACCATGCATTACCCCAAGGGGAAATTCCCTGTCAGCAACCACCCTGCATCCCCTGCTGCCAGAAGCTGGCAGCCGCAGGTCTCTTTCTGCCTCTGGATCTGCTCACTGAAAGGCACTGCATGTAAATGGAATCCTACCCTCCTTCATGTGTGGCCCTCAAGTCTGGTCTCCCACACTTACAGAATGCGTCAAGGTTCATCTGTGTTGCACCATGTGTCACTACAGTAAGTCCCCGACTTACAAACATTGGCATTGGGAACGTACAGGTGTAGTATCAGGCTCCCTCTATCTGATTATAAAAAAATCCAACTTAAATGTTCTCCCAGAATGAAACTCATTCATAAGTCGGGGACTTACTGTCCTTAGCTCCCTTTTGTGACTAAAATTCTGCTGCAAGGATCTACCACATTCTGACTCTCCACAAATCAGATGGCATGCATTTGGGTTGTTGCTGTTTGGAGGCTATTATGGGTAATGCTGCCACAAGTGCTGTGGACAAGTGTTTGTGTGACTGTGTTTCAGTTCTGGTGAGTCTACACCTGGGAGAGGAAGTGAGAAGCTGCCAAAATGTTCTCCAGTGTGGCTCACAATATTACAGCCCCACCAGTGTGCATCAGGGCGTGGTTTCCCCACGTCCTCCTTAGCTTGTGACTGTCTGTCCTTTGCCTTCTAGCCATCCTAGGGGCACAAAGCTTCATACTGTGAGTTTGGTTTGTATGTCCCTCGTGATTCATGATGCCACACATCTTTTCATGTGTCGCCAGCTAGTTGTACACCTTCTTGGGAAAAACATCTGTTCACATTCTTTACCCCTCACCTTTTATACTTGGGTTGTCTGTTTTTATTGCTGAGCTGCAAGAATTCTTTGTATGTCCCAGATACTCAATGGTTGCTGGTTTGTGTGCTTGGAGTTTGTCAACATAACTGATTCAGTGGTGTATACTTCCTTGTTTGTGGTCTCTTCTTTTATGTCCATGGGGTCATTAGAAATGGCCCACCTTGATTCCTGCTTTTGGTAACCTGTGTCCTCTCTGACCTTGATGAGGCTCACCTGGCGTGGGTTTGAGGAGTGTCCCCACAGTGACCTGATCCTCGTGAGTGGTGGGAGGACAGGCACCTGCTGAAGACCCGCCTAGCCCAGGATTCAGAGGGCTGCAGCTCAGACCACATCTGCCTGTGACCTTCCCTGGCTCTCCCCAAGCAGACAGTCACCCATCGCCTGGCCTCAGGACCTAGCAGATGCAGATCCAGCCCCCACCCCAAGTCCTTGGATGGGACCTGACTTGGGGGCACAGGGCTCCATGAGCGGGAACTTGAGGACATGGGCTGGGCACTGTTCCTCTTGGAAGGCAGCTGTGCTCACCACTCGGGAAAGCTCTGCCACAGGGTTGGGTTTAATGAGGGCAGCCCTTGAACCTCAGGGGCTAACTAGAGTTTAGCTTGAGGAGCAATGGGGGGCAGTACAGTGCCCACAGCATTTGAAGGGTGCAGGCATTAGGCCACAGGCCCGACCTAACTGCTAATGGCCACATTAATACCATGTCAGCGGTCAGCAAAGAGAGGGCTCTTCTCAGCTTTGAGACCCTGGCCCTCCCCTTGGTGGTAGGCAGTGACAACAGTCCAGAGCCAGCTGGGCCATTTCCCCATCTGCTAGAGGGGGCTGGGTGGGGCCAGGGCCAGGAGGAAGAGGGTACAGGGGCCTAAGGTCTGCAGACTGAGAGGCAGGTGAACGGGCCAGGGTGCCATGGTGGTGGTAAGGTATGAGGCATCACTGCTGGGGCAGAGGGGTCCTCTGGGGGCTCTAAGTGCTGTGGCGTCTCCACTCCTTCCCACAGAACCTTAAAAATAGGGCCGCGGTGAGGGCCATCTCAACAGACCACAGCTCACTGGCGCTAAGAATATTCTTGAGCCTCTTAATAATTCAGGTGGGATCCAAATAGATTTTCCCGTTCACCTGCTGGTCTCCATGCCCCCCTCCCAGCGTCCCCACGCTATCTGCTGCTGGAAGCACAAGGCTTTCAGGAAATGGTTTGGCCTGGCTGCTGGGTCGCACCCAAGCCCCTCAGGGCTCCCTACTGCAGGACCCCTGCTTGTCCGCCTTGCCCTCTCCTGCGGCTCTCAGGAACAGGACTGCCCGAGGGCTGCAACCTGATCAAGGCAGCCCCAGGAGGGGCCAGCTGTGCTGCAGGCAGCCCCAAGCTCACCTGCTGCAGGCTGAGTGTACCTGGACAAGTCACTTCACAGCTGTGCCTCTCTCTGTCACTGCATGGTGGCATCAGTGCCTCCAGAGTAAGCTGTGGTGTTTGAGTGGGAGGGGTATCTGCACCAGAACCCTGGCCTGGGCCTCCCTCCTCTCCCAGGCCGTGCCCAAGCAGCAGACAGTGCTCACCTGCCCCGTCAGCCCCTGGCCTGGTCGTTCAGAGGAGAGGAACTGGGGTGCTACCTGGGTGGTAGTTGGGGGTCTCCAGCTTTCCTCACCCCCGCCCCGAAGGGAGCAGTCCCGGTTGCACTGGCCTGGCCAGGTCCTTAGTCTTAACCAAATTATTAATTAAAGGCAAAGGCACACGGCAGCACTGACAGCCAGATAAATAGCATGTGGGGTGGTTAAGGAGGCGTCGTGGGAATGATGGAGCACCGCTCTCCCATTCATCTCCCTCCCTGCAGCCTGGAAGCGGTGGCAGCTCCCATCGGGTTCCTGGTGCTCTGGGCAGCCAGAAGGCCAAGTGGGGGGCAGCGCAGGCCCTGGCAGACACAGCTGGCTCCCTCAGAACAGCCCCCTGCCCTTTGTCCCGTTCCTCCCCACCCTAGTGTGAGTATGCTGGGAAGGTGGGCAGGGGAAGCTGAGGCAGGCTAGAGCGGGGATGAGGCCTGAGATGGACAAAAGGACAGAAAGACCCAGGACAGGGAGAGGGAAGGAGGAACAGGATTCCAGGAAGAGGGATCATGCTGTGCCTCCCCAGGTAGAGCTGGGAGTGGGGGGCCGCTTGGATATTTTGAATTTTGTTTCCAGTTACTTCAGCTTCATTTATATGTTTTTCTGTCATAAATGTGCATAGTTGGATAATAAAGCAGTTCTGTGAGGCCTGCAGTGAAAACACAATACGTGACTTCTCTCCCAGCCCTCTCTCCTGATTCCTCCTTCTCAGGCTAACTTTTCTGTCATAGCTGATTCTTTTGGTATTTACTTGTAAATAGCATGCTAATATTCCTGCTTTTTTTCAGATTTAGAAATTATCCATTGACTTCCTGCTTTGAAGACTGAAAATTTGTTCTCTAACAGCAGCCCACACACAGGCATGCACACCCGCGTGCGCTCACACACACACACACACACCCATATACACACACTTTCCCCATCTCTCATTTCAGGGACTCAGAAGCCAGTGTGTGTGATTATTTCCTCACATACACTCGTCACAGCTGAGTGCTGGGTTGTAATTGCTTTTCTTAGACAACCTCTTGTTTGTCCTGGACTTAATAATTGCCTCAGCTATGGGAGGGGTTGG